AATAGTTTAAGCAATGCACTCTAAAAGGAAATTCCCACTGATAAAGAAAATCATTCCAATTCGCAAGAATATTTTTAAGGTGCGGTATGAAAATTGACTACCTGTCTATTGCAATCTTGAAGATGTACAACAAAATTCAAGAGAAAAGACTAAGAACAGAAAAACATGCTCCAATTCATTGAGAACAAACAATCAACATTCAGAACTTCCGACAAACCCAAAATAATATTTTCAGTTTGATCTTTAATCTAAAAGTTTATTGAAAGGGATAAAAAGGTTCACCTTGCCTTACAAGATCTCTCTAGGATATTTGATAATGTAACCTGAGTGGAAATCAAAGAGGTATTAGAAGAAAAAGGAGTTCATATTAACTTTACTCAAGTAATAAGGATTTCGGTTGCAACCAAGCTATTTCAGTTTTCAGGAGAGCCAAAAAAAAAAACAAGCTATTATTCCACTGGAGAGGTTTTATAGCATTATTTGTTCCTTACTGGGATCACCTGGCCATTTTAGACTGACAGATTTTTTCCACAATGACTTAATTTACAATAGTCTTTAGTTTTCGAAAAATGCTTGGTTTCTTCCAAGACATCTGAGATAACTGGTGTTGCCACTTAAGCAACAATATAGAATAGTCAGGTTTAATGGTAATAAATCAAGTGATGAAAATTGTAATAACTCCAAAATAAACCAGCACAAGAAAGTAAAAAATTAGCAAAAACGCTCAAGAACCCTCCTATTTCATAAGTGGTAAATGGGAAGTGGAAATTAAGACAAAGATGACTTTATATATTTCAGTACTGACTTATTCAGCTGAAAGCTGGCGTAGCATTAAAAAATTTGAGAGGCTCCATCTTCCCCCTAAAAAATTTTAATTATTTCTTGAGCAGTTTGTATTAAGCAATATTTTAATTGTATTTAATTCAATATCCCTCTAATTCAGCTGCCTTATTAATAGGCTAAAATTGATTATCCTCATTTGCAGTCTTTTTTTTTCCTAACAGTGTTGGGCACCTCCCTGTAGAGTAGATAGATGTACAACATTCATAGAATGATAATTCATAGTTGTTGAGGATTGAGGTAATTTCAGCACTATTTTTAAATAAAAGAATGGTGATAAATAGATAACAAAAACTTGTATGGTAAGCTACAATGAGCACTTAGATGGCTGAAGAACAAGTGGGAGGATCTAATATCAGACGTAGCAAGGAACAGAGGACTCACTCTGGGTGAGGATATGAAGTTGGCTACAGAAAGAGAAGAGTTTAGGAAATGAAGACTACACAGTATAAGATGTAAAGATTGGATAAAAAATTAATTCAATCCATTTCCTTATAATTTCTTTTTTTCTTTGGTAAAATACTGAACTTCCATTTACAGTGAAAATTAGATAAATAAAGGAGAAAAAATTAGACGAGAACACCCACTAAGTTATGACATTCCCAGAGAAAATATATAATTTGTGTTGGCTTTTCCATAACATGGATCTTTAATGATGAATGAGGCAAATGAATCAAAAGAAGTGACCAAGCAGGAACTAGAGCTTATTTGGTACTTAGTAAAGAGTAAGATAATCTCTCCCAAAGTAAAAGATCGTATGTACAAAACCCTGACCAGACCTGTTATTTATGGAGGGGAAACATGGACACTAAATAACATATGTGATAGGCTTGACAGAAGGGTGTTATCCTTATAACGACCTCTGACAGTCAAATGTAATAAGAATAAATAAACTGAAATGGTATGACCATTTCAACCGAATGAAGAGAAACAGGTGGGGATGGTGGAGGTTCTTTAGAGAAAGAATTTTGCCACTAGACCAAATGGATGATCAAGGGCATGATTGAAGAAGACATGCAACTGGTTGGTATCCAGATGGTGGAGGAAGAACAGAGCTCTGTGGCTATTGTTATTGTAATGGTTGGAGCAGGTCAAAAACCATTTCGATGGAGAAGAAAATTTATAATAATGTTCTTATTGTTTTTGATGACATAAATAAATTGGTTTTATTAACTGCATTTGGGCTTTTTGAAGTTGAAATCTCTTACAATGCATACTATATGATGTTCAACATCATCATCATTCGTGGCACTAGAACTGTTGTAGAGTCAAGGCCTCCCGCAGCTTGCTCCACCAATCTTCTCTATAGGTTGCCGCTGCCACTCCATCGACTATATGATATTGCTATAAAAAAAAAAAAAAGATAAAGGAAATATATCAAGTTCAGCCAATGGAAACCCTTTTTTCTACTAGTTCCATCCTGGATAGATTACTAGAGCTCCTAGAGAGACCTAGGAAGGCCAGGTGAATTATTTTGTCATTTTCAATATAGGAGTAAAACATATATCAAACTGTAAAAATATTATCAAGGGTTTATTGACCACTTTTGAGTGCTACTCATAATATCAAAAGATCATATTCCACAATTCTTTCTAGCCTTTTTTAAACAATTTTTGCAGAAACCTATATTCACAAAAATGCCAAACAAATAATTTCTTATAGAAAATTTATCTCATGGGATCCATCAGAAATAATTTTGAAACAGACCTAACAGGATTTCAAATGAAAACTTTTAAGATAAAGAGTAAATTAAAATTTGTAACATAATTTTCTTTTAAAAATACAAATAAAAAAAATTCTTTTCTTTCCAAGATACTAAAATACAAAAAATGTATTTTAAGTACACAAATTAAATTACCGAATAGAGGAGATTCCTATTAGTAGTGTAGAAAGGATGGTCATTTGAACAAGAATTTTTCTCTATGAAAAATGAGCTTAGAAATGGTTAAAGGTTGATTATGTTAAATTTATAATACAATAATCATTGGCCATAGAAATTATCAGTCTTAAATATATAAATATATATATATATATATACAATTAGTTACTGTTTAATATATATATATATATATATTAAACAGTCAAGGATCTTTTCATAGGAAAGGATAGGAAAATATATTTTATTAAATAAACATAAAAATGGGAATCTTTTTTTTTTAAATAATATTTTCATGTACATTTCAGAAAATGATCTAATTTATGAATGAATATTTAAAATGAAATAATTTGGCCAACCATCACCTTTATTATGAATGACATATAACTTTGTATTTAATTCGCTCTACACCAAGATTGTAGTTGGTGACCATTCCAACAAACTAATTTATTAACTATTAAACATAGAAGATAAAGTTAAACACAATTAAAACAAGTGTTAATACACAAATTCTATTTTAAATTCAATGTTGTCTGGGGGGAAGGATTTAGTCCTCTTTACCTCATGCAAAGATGAACATGAATTGTTTAACATCAAGATACTATTTACTAAACTGATGTTAACCATTTAGAATTTCAGAAAGAAACAAATATAACTGAGTACTAGATAGGTAATTATAAAAACTCCAGGATAACTTACTAAGTTAAGGCAATTAGTTAACTAATTATGAAATAACAATGCAACCAAAACAGAGAAAATAGTGATTTGAAAATTCAAAAATAAATGAAGGAATGAAAATAACTTTACTACAAACTAATTCACTACATATTAATTTCCTCAATGTAAACAAAAGAAAACTAAAAAGTCCTATGATTTATAATAAGATTAAGAAATTATCAGTATATTAACCTCATAAATATAAATATGAATGATTATATTGTATACAAATGTATAGGACTAATAAGAAAAACAGACTGGTTCCTACCATAATTTCAAAACATCAAAAATGAATGTAGAACTATAATTCTATAAATAGGTCATAAGAATATTTATGAAATTTTTATGACACCAGGAAAAAGAAATTATAATTGGTTCAAAATTAGCTTTAACATAGTTGTATTAATTTTGGGTCACTTTATTTCTGTACAAAAACAGTCAACTCCTTGCAGGTGCACAGTTGACGTTTAATTAAAAAATCTGGTTTCGTAAGTTAAACTACTTTTTTTTTCCAAGCTGACATTAAAAAAAGGAAAAAAAATCATATCATAAAAATTCATCAATGTCTAACGGATTATTTATAGAATCAATCACGTCAGCAGAATAATGCAAGATTGCAAAATCAATTGAAGATTTATTTAAAAAATTATGTTGATATAAAAATAATCCATATCGGGACTGACAAAATACCATAAATAAAGCACATTAAAATTCAACATTGACTTCCATTTCTTCCGCTAGAAGCGTTGAGCGCTGCTGTACAACTATGTGCATAGAGGTATGAAATAATGAGTAATTATTCCCTTCAATCCATTTTTATTTTTATTGTTATTATTGGTTTTATAGGCTAAAATGAATATTCATTGAATAAAAAATTATATATGATTTGCATCGTTTCGTTGTCATAGATATATGAAACCACCATTTTTGTGAAAATAATCTGAATTTGGGACCGAGAAGTATTCCTCTATGGTGCTGTTTATAGTCAAAAATATCAAGCCGCTAGCCAAGTATTTTTCCCTTTTATTTGTCTATTAGAGTAACCAAAATTAGATTCTTTTCGCGTGTTTTTGAATAACGGTGGTGTTAATCAATCTTGTGACCGTTTCATACAACGATTAGTTTGTAAAAGTTTTAAACTTATCGACGCACCCGTCATGTGTGTAAGAATGGGTTCCATGAACTGGGAAGGACAACATGTCATTTAAGTTCAGTCTGTCTGGAACACCAGCCTAATCAGCGCAAGGCCATTTATGGAATGTAATACTGTTCTATTCTGTTTGGCCCTTCAATTATGATAGGGCCCTTTAATACTTTATGTAAGTTTTCAGAATTTTTCTTAAGATATATAAGCACTGAGATATTTAACCACTGTGAAAAAAAAACAATTGTTTAGAATTATAATTTTGTTTGTTACATTATTACCATTTGTTTACAATTTCTGTTAACCCATCTTTTATATAATACTATTTTGTATTGGCAGGACGTGTCCAGGCATTGTCGCCCAATGCAGTCGGAGAAGAGCGATTGTTATTTTAGCTGGGCGATGAGAATAAAGTGAAGTGAAATGAGCCATAATATTGGAGGGATGGCACCCTATGTTAGGTATGTGTCAATTTGAGTCTAGTTATGTACCAATCATAAGATCTTATGGTTATATCGTATTATGCCAGTTAAAAGTCAGTAAGATTGTAATAATGTTATTGTGTTTAGCATGCCAAGGGGGCGCAACCAAATGTATTATCCTCCCTGTCCAGGGATGGAACCTCATCCTCACATGACAAGAACCCCTTTCTTTCCAGATGAAAAGATGAATTGTGGGTATGTATGTTTATACACATTCAGAGTATCTTTAAATCAGGTGATACGACTTTTAAGTAAACAAGATTCTTATTATTATTTCTTACTAGAGATTTTTTAGTTAAATGAAGATCATGTTTTTCCTTTGTTAAATATAACTATTAGAGATTTGTGAAATGGCTCAAAACATTGTAGTAAGTATTGCCTGTTAATATTGTGCATTAATTAGAATTTTTCAAAGTTGGATCTTCTTTTAATGAAATACTCAAGATTTCAATTGGATCTGAGTTTACAAATGTTATTATAATAGTATATTTCTTGTTTTTTATATATGAACTGATCAAATAAATTTTAAATTATTACTATAAGATATTTTTCGTAGGTAATATGTAGCAATAATACTTTAATTGGTTAAAACTGTCGCTGTTATTCATACTTTTTAATATATTTGTTATAATTTGTGTCGTATATCAACAATTATTTGTCAAACTACTTTTAAATCTTAATTCTGATATAATATGTATGTCTTAATTCTAACCACTGACATAATTCAATTTATAGTATGGGCATGACTGAATTCAAACCACCAATGATGACCAACCCAGAACCTCCACCACCTAAAAAGAAACGGAGAGCTTCCAACAACAATTCTGCTGCTGCTGCAGCTAATCAGCAACCTCCTCCCGTCATGCAAGATCTTCTCCCGCCTCCACTAACAGGTGAAAAGTGTTGCATTTGTTTTTATCCTAGTAAGAAGTGGCTCTGTGATTAGAATCTATATAATTAACCTCGGGTATAACAGTCTACAGTTGTTTTTATTGGTTTGTCTATACCTGCAATAAATTAGTGTTTTGGACCTAATCAGATTTAAAGAGTTATTCAAAACCAGATTGTTTTGGAGTGATACCGAAATGTGAAATAGCGAACTTATTATTTAAATGTTTAATTTATGGGAAATAATCTAACTTGATATTATATGCCTAAACAATGGACATTTTACTGTAAATACTTATTTACAAGTGCTATAAATAACTTGAATATTTTATGAATTCGGTGTTCAGAGTTTCCTGTTACATTTTAAATTGTGATCTTGTGGACTGTGATATGTGAACTTAACAAGTCATCTAATGAGTCAAATTTAAGATTCAATTTTATTTTACTCTTGGCTGAATGATTTATAATCACAATGTTGAAGGTTTGCCATTTTTGAGTTAAGTTAAGATTTAGAAGTTTTTTTTATTTTCACCTCCATATCTTTTGGCATCAATAATGTTGTGATGCATCATAGATAAAAAAAAAAAGACTGATTTAAATTTTTTTTATTTAATATGGTTTAATTTTATATTTGCTTGATTTTATGTATAATTGAGTTGTTAGAATAACAAAAATTACTGATGAATAATAAAATACATGTGTATATAAAATTTAAAATTATTATTATTTCTATAAACACATTGTGTTTGTCTAAAGTGATTCTTAAACTGTGTTTACTCATTTCAAAAATATAAGAAATACAAACAGAGGGGAAAAACACTAGAACAGGCTTATTTACACCTTTCCATATTTCTTGAGAAACTAATGTGGAGGACATTGAGAAGTGTATTTGCCCTAATCTATTGTAATTTTAAAAGGAGAACAAAAGAAGTCATTAAATTCATTGAAGAAGATATGGTGGCTGAATAAAATTCATTTAAATCATACCAGCAATCATTAAATTCAACGTCTCTCAAGAAACAGTGAACGAATGTGTACAAGAGACACTGGTACCTACCCAAAATCACTTGATTTCTCTTAAAAAACTGACCGCAGATGGCTCCCTTATAAACAGGGACAAAAACATTGGCCTTAAGCACGGGTCTTCAAACTTTTGGACCCACAGGCCACATTGATCCCTCCACAAAGTTCCTTGGACCGTATTAAGACCTTCACATAAGTCCCACAGGTTATGATAAAAAAAATTCTTGTTCTATAAATGACACTTCTGCTGTGAAATGAGCTTTCTAAGAGAAAAAATCATGCAATAAATAATGTAGTAACCTCTTGTGTACGTAATTTGGTAAATTTCATATTTATTTTTATTTTACCATGTAATCAAAGAAAGGTTTGTGGGCCGGATTGGAAGTGCTGGTAGGCCGTAGTTTGGAGACGCCTTGCCTAAAGAAACACCCTATTTACACATTTGTGTTTGCCATACTTTGTGAAATGTTTATAAATATCTTTAGGTGTTTTTTTGACCAAAGAGAACAACTGGTTAGTCTGTTGATTTTAATAGCTAACTTAAAGGAAGTCATTAATGTTGCTGTTTGTTGAAAATTAATTCTACTTTTGATTATTTTAAAATTAGTTAGAATTCATTTGTAAAGTACTTAGTATGCCCTGTTATTTCATGTAATGTGGAGTAAGAGACTTTTTTTCTCGGATTTTGTGATTTTATGTTACCAAGCTTAGGTGTTACTAGAGCTTGATTTATGCTCCACTGAGTCTTGTAATTATGGAAGCTAAATTTTTATAATAGAGAATATGATTGTCACTTTTTGTTAAAATGGTTCTTCATTCTGAAAGTTGGCTTAATTGATGAGCCCTCCCATCAATTTCTACGCTAGTACTTATTCATTCAGTATTGAAGTACTTATTCATTCAGAATAGCTGTTTACTGCTTAGTCTGTCAAACTTCATCTGATAAAAGGATATTTTTTATTACTTCTCATTCCTTAAGGGATGTAAACTCATATCTCACACAAAATCTGTACCTGCAATTAACATTTCCTGAGGGTTGTGATATTTTTTTTTTGTTACATCATCATATTCATGCAATTTTAGTTGTAATTGATGTCTATAAGTAAAACCTATTATTAAAATGTAAGATAAGTTGTCTTATGGATATTATCTTGAATCACATTAGCTAGATTAGTCTTATGATTAAATTAAATATTTATATTAACTGTTGTCACTATGAAAATTTAAAGAAAAACTTTTGGAAACATGATCATCGTAGATGTATTTGTTTAATTGAACAAAATATATTTTAAAGTTGGTAAGACATGGTATAGTAATTAATAAACCTGAGGAAATCGTGTCCAGTTTAATAACTTAAAATTAATTTTATCAAAATTAAGAATTTCTTTTCTTTTTAAAGATTTATTTTCTGCTAAAAAAATAAGTTCCTTTTTTATCCAGATCAGTAATTTAATTGATATTAATGTATTTTGATAACGAAAAGAATTATAAAAAGTAACATAAATCTGTACTTACATTGCTTTAAATTAATAATTTTAAGTATTTTCTATAAAACCTTTTTTGTTAGAGTTGATGGTGTTCAGTAATTTTTACTATATTGCATTTTAATGAGCTTGAGGTGCTTATTTTTTTTTAAATTGAAGTTATATTTATTTAGATACCATCTGAATGATGATCTTAGGTATTTACTGTTTTATTTTAGCCAATTATATTATTTTATCTAGGATTGGGGATTTTGTAATGCTCATGAGCTGAGGTATAAAGTTAACTGTACTTTTTTTTTCAACCACCATATTTTTAGAGCTTATCAAAATTACTTTCTTTAAATAATATTAACAAATGACGCTACAGGCATTCCCTGATAACTTTTTTTTTTTTTTATTGAGCACTATTACAATAAAATCTCTGGGAAAATAGATATATCAATTGGTTTGCAAAAATAAAGTAGATAATACAAAAGTGTATATTCTTACAAAATATACATATTCTGTATAGTAAAGGAATAGAAATTGGTTAATTGATTGTTTCTGTCTCCTACAGGATCTCAACTACAGCTGATTGATTTCTTAAATAAAATTCACAATGTTCATTATATCAAATAATTTTTTTCTATTCTTGTGACTTTGTGTCTTGAACATTTTTCAATCTTAAAGAAATGTCAAACTATGAATTATATTCTAAAAATTTTGGTTTTTCCTTTTAATTTGTATGTGTCGCTTTCATTTTACCTGAAATGTATTTTTGCTTATTTTGGCCAGTCTCTAATGCTTAACTTTGATTGTAGGTTATGGAGATACAATCGTCGCCTCTAATCCTTTTGATGATACTCCGCCACAGCAACATCAGTCGAGTGCTAGGCACATGAGCTGTGGACCTATGATGATGGGTGGTGGATCATGTGGTGGTATGGCGGGCTCTCCTATGAACTGCGGACCACCGATGAGCCCCATGGGTATGTGTGGACCTCCGATGATATCAAGTCCTATCGGTCAGAATAGAAGTCCTCTTTGTGGTCCTGGAATGATGTGCGGCCCTACACCTGGCAGCCCAATGCCACATCGCAGTCCGACAGTTGGTAGTCCTCTTCTTAATATGGATTGCATGGGTCAGTCCAGAAAAGGATCGCCAATGATGCCTCATTCTTCCATGAATTGTGTTTCCCCTATGGGTTCACCTCTTGGAAATGGACCAATGTGTCCTTCAGGACCAATGTCGAGTCCTATGGGCATGGACATGAGGCCGATTAACAGCCCGATGTGTATGAACAATGGTGCTCCACAAAATAACATTCAGCAGTGTAGTATGCCTAGTGATATGTGTAAAAGTGGTGTCGTGAATACTGCTAACGGACCCATTAGGCAACAGAACACTATGATGAACCACCATCCGCCTCCTCCCCCAACAAGCGGGCCACCGTTAGGAATGAACGTTCATCCCGGTATGCATCCCATGTCGATGCAGCACCCTCCTCATGGCTACCCTCCACCCAAGCCGATGCCTGTGTCTGCTGGAAAGGTGAGATTTAATTGTTATTTTATGATTTCATTAAATTAAGGAGATCTTTTAATGTTCAATTGATTTTAAATTAATATAATTTTTATTTCATTAAAAATTGTATTTATTAAATATCACAGTAATGTTTGTTTTGAAGAGATTAGATTAGAAATTAGACTTAGGAGTTATCAGATCAGAAATATGAAGTGCCAGTCAAAAGAATTAAAATAGATACCAAATTATGATTTATCCTGCTAGAACAAACTTAATTTTGTTTTAAATTTATACTAGATTATACTTCTTTACTTAACTAGTAACTTATTTTGATGGGCTTACCATATTTTATTAATTATAGGGGAAAACAATTTAGTTGATAGGACAAAGAACTTTGTAATATTATCTACAAGATAAATTATTGATAAAAACCTATGTTGATTATTTCATGTTGCTAGGAAATAATTAGATCAAACTAGGTTTAGTCAGATAGAGAGGGACAGCTGAAGAAAGGTGGGTTTGTAGGAAGTTAGTAGACGAGGCCAAGGTTCTGCAATGGCCATAGCGCCAATTGGATGATGATGAAGGCATAACTTTTGTATATTTCAAAAATGTATTATTCCTTTGACAGAGATACTCTTTTTAAGAGCATTGAAGAATTATACAAAATAAAAAAAAGACTTTCAACTACTAAACTAATATTAATTTATCTCCTTGCAGATACCTTAATATCTTTTCTTTCTTATCAGTTTAAAAGTGCATATTACCGGAATAATATTAAATTAATCAAACATGACATCATAATAAGAAAACAAAATCCAACGAACACCACCTCAGAAATTTTTAATATTTGCTGATTTTGATTCATAATTTAGAAGTTGAAGCAGCCTCAAATAAAAAATTTTACTAGGCTTCCACAAATCAAGCTTTTTCTGATTCCTCTTTCAATCATCCACAGTTATAGTAGTTATTCCTAGTTCATTTGCAATCTTTAGCTATAAAAATCATTGACAATGTGTTTTAATTTCCCTTTAAGAGATAGAGAAACTTATTTCTGTTGAGAAAGGAGATGCACATTAAATATAGTTCCTTTAATGAATGCCAACATTTCAGCCTAAGTTGTTGACTTTCATCAGGGCTAAGAAGATACATTCGTATTAGTAAAAAAGAAACAGAGAATGAATATAAGTATTGTTGGAAATAATTGAATAATATTCATAGAAATATATTAAAAATTGTAGCATCAATGTGTTTCGATAATTACCTGTACATAAATAATGAGGAATGGATGGAATAATGATATATGATGATATTTCTCTGAAGAATGAAATTAAAATTAAACAGAAAATCTTGTTCTACTACATAAAAAATTAACATTATAATATTAAATATTAATTATAATTAAATAAGTCCCTCCATAGATGACAAAGGGGAAACCCTAAAATATTGACAGTTTAATTCTTCTCAGAATAAAGAAAATGACAATGAATAAGGATATCTAGTTGGAGGACTCAATTAAGACTTGGAAATGGCCCTAGTGTTGGCTGAAACGTCACAATAAAATGTTGGTGGAATATGGTCTTAATTTATAAAAATAAAAAATTAACAGTTTTTCCGTCTTCAATTTTTATTTTTGGCAGGGTAGCTGTTGTTAATTTGATAAATATAAAGGAAACAGAGAGAAAATTGTAAAAAAAAAAATTTCAGATATACATTTTGACAATAAGTTCAATGACTAAAACAAGAAAACATAATTCACCGTTTTACTGTTATGTGTTTGACATTTACAATGTCTATATACAACTGCAATACATCATATTGCATTATAAAAAGCAAAGAAATTTCATCCTTTAAATTAAACATGAAACTACAATAGCTTAATTAGATATTAATTTCTTATTTTGCTTAAAGATTTTGTTTATTAGAGCTTAATGAATTTTGGGCTACCATTTCAATTTATGAAATTATTTTTAGTAAGGAAGGTTTTAGGATGTATACATTTATACTACTAACCATGGGAACAGATTGGTAATTCCAAATGCCAAAATGAAGAACTATAAGCTATACACCAGCACCACGGACCAATTGAATGAATCTCGACCCTCTGTCAAGTAATAGTGGTCTCTTCTCTTCTCTTTCAAAATACATATTAGTTTCCATCCAAACAGATTTTGGGTAGAAGAGAAATTGTTGCTGAGAGTAGACAGATTCATATACTCCTGGCTCTACAATAATCTTAATGTATGACCAACAGTCAGAAATGAATCAGTGTATAACGAGCCTATTCTGATATACAGTGGCATTGACAGATTCAAGGGGAGAACCCCCCACATGATAACCGAAGCAATATAGGAGCAGATTACTAACCAGTAGAGGAGAAGAACCAATACAGGCCATCTTAAGATGGGCAGGATATAATAATAATAATAATGCTTTATTTATTCTGGGACGAGTCCCTTTAGAATAATAGAGAGAGACAAAAATGTGGGCTAAGGAGCCTCAGAGATACATAAACAAGAATATAGTTTGATTAAATAGTAAAAAAAAAAAATAAGAGAGATTATAAGTTACTTTCTAATTTACATCAGTTAATAATAAAAATAAAAAATTGAAAATAAACCTGAAGTAAAAATAATAAAGAACGATCTGGTAATTTATATACATATTTACAGTAGTAACTATTTACAATTTTATGAGGACTGGGTGGATAAGAAATGATTAAACAGTTGGGATTTAAAGGAAGGGTTTTGGATTGACGGATGTGGGGTGGGATGAGGATCGAATAATAAAAGATTTATCGAAAGCAGCGGTTCGGTGGGCCACTATATATAAATCTGAATACCGGGAATGAATGAGTATTGCGGGAGTGGACAGAGGATTTAAATTGAAGAAACTTGGCGATGTATGAAGGATGGCGGGAGTGAATTACTTGAAAGAGGAAGGATGCCAGGAAATACTTACAGCGGTAGGAAGGATAAAGCCACTTCAACTCTTCATAGAAACAGAAAACAGAGGCGTCTCTTGGGATCCCGAAGATGAATCGTACAAAGCAATTTATCAAATGTTTTAGTTTCGCCTCGAGACTCCCAGAGACTCCTCCATATACCGTGCAGCAATAGTCGAAGTGGGGAAATATTAAGGAGGTGATCAGGAGTCTACGGATTTCAAAAAGAAAAAGGTGTCGCAGGCTATTTAAGTGTTTTAGGGTGGAGAAGGTACATCGGGAGATATTGGACACATGGTTTTTCCAGGAAAGGGTTTGATCAAAGATTATTTCAAGGTTTTTGATGGTCGGATAAAATTTAATGGGGTTATCATGTAGGAACAGCGTTGGAAAGTTAGGAACAGTTTTGAGGAGGTGATTGGAGCCTATTAGGCTATATAGCTAGGAGCAACTCATAAGGAAGCCTCTACTACTATGTTTAAAATGAAAAGATTCAAATTTTAACCATGACAACTTATATTATTAATAGCGAACAATTAATAACTAATTAAAATAATAAAAACGTAAATAATGTATAAAGAAATAATAATTATAATAAGACCAGCAATTGATCTAAACCCAATCTCCCCAGATCATTCTTAATTCTATCTTCCCATCTTCGCTTTGGTCTACTCATCGGACACTTGGCAGTCGGCACAGCGCATATTAACTTTTTAGGAATTACTTCATTACTAAGCAGACCAATTTTATGTGCACAGTTCATGCTATTCAGTGTTGTGTAATCATCTGTATTCTCTGGTTGAATCGTCCTTCTTTGGTCCAAATATTCTGTGCAATATTTTATTTTCAAAAACCTTATGACATTGCTCATCCCTCAAAGCGGCCACGTTTCGCATCCATTAAGAATCGTAGGAAGTATAATGGTTTTGTAAATTCTAATTTTTAAGTTTCGGGACAGGAAGGGTAAGCTAAGTAGTTTTGACTAAGAAAAATAATAAGCACCTCCAACCCATCTTTAATCTCTTCTTCAATTTCGTTTTTTCTTGTTATTGTAGACCCTAGATACCTCAAATTCTGTACGTGTTCAAATACATTCTCTTCTATATTAATATCATCGAAATTGTCGCTGTTTTTGTAGTTAGCCACATGTTTCGTTCTTATATAGTTCCTTACTGGCTTTCATCAATGTTATATTTAGTTTTAGTTTTTTATACTAAAACTAAATGAAATAATATAAAAATATGGGGTTTACGTATCGCTAAACATACGTTGTCTGTCAAATTTATAAACCAAAGTTTAAATTAAATGATAAAATAATTATGAGTTTGCGTTCTGGTGCCAGGGAGGCCTTTTAACTCTTCAATTAATTCCCTGTCCTCTCACTTGGTCTGGTAAAATGGGAGGAGGGAATAGTATTAGATAACTTACAGTGAAAGAAATATTATTAATATTACATTTTAATTTAGTTGATGATAGTTTAGAATGAAATTGAAGTAATTAGAGTGCTACCAGTGGGTAGTTTCTCAACAAGCGTGTTTCATGTAATAATATTTCTCTGTACAAATTTACTTGATGTATTCATACTAATACAGTTGTAAATATCATAATAAAAGTTAAAAAAAAAAAAATAAATTGAAGTAAAATGCAAATATGAACACATTTTTAGAATTTTCTAAAAAACGGCTCTAATGATTTTGATTAAACTCGGTGCATTATTGTATAATTAAGTGGTCTTTAATATAATTTAGGTCTTATCCCAATTGATGTCACTTTATAGGGCTTAAATGCCCAATGTTCCTATACGTCTTTCTCTAAAATACTTTTAATATGGTTTATTTAAAAAAATTAACTTTCTTTTATTGACCGTAACTATAAAAAAATGGCTAACTATGAAGTTTTATAGAATATGACAATTGGAAACTGGAGAAAAAAAGAAATATGCTTATCCAGGTTGAAAATGAATTCTCCTGAAATAACAGTCAGAAAGTATATGTACGATATATTTATCATTGGAAAGCAGAAAATTTTAGAAAAAATAATACCAAATAAATAAAGTTGTAACGGAGAGTGACGAAAAAATATATAAATAATAATTTCAGTAAACTAACATCATTAACGTAAATCACATGTTTCCAAGGAAATTAAATTAAATTTTCTTACTAAATGTAAACTTTTAAATTTTTCTAAGTTTGAAAAAAAGTAAAATCTATCGAATCAAGCCAATGCCATTGTTTAAAATACTATTTCATTGTACTTGTGTGAAATATAGAAATATTTGGGGGATATGTTTATAATCTTAAATATATAAATATGTTTATATAACTTAATTTATTTTTGTTTCTAGATTTATCCAGTAGATCAGTCTATGGTCTTCAATCCACAAAATCCTAATGCTCCTCCGATATACCCGTGTGGAGTATGCCATAAAGAAGTGCATGACAATGACCAGGCCATACTTTGTGAATCTGGCTGCAATTTCTGGTTTCACCGGTGGGTATATTATTAGTTATTCACAAAATCATAAAAGTTAATTCTGAATTAATATTTTTAGGATTTTTGTAGAAGCAGTGGGTTTCCATCTCCTAAATTTTCATTGGTTTCTATTAAATGTTTTTAGGCCTTCATGGCCGCGGTGCATTTATGCCATCTGGGGAAAAAAAAAATCTGTTTGATATCTATGTTCTATTCCTCCACCACTTTCCATTATGTATGATATTATTTTTTATTTTCATTTTTCTTGGTCTAGTATTTTTTTTTTCAACCCTCCCCTACCTCTAGACAATACGGATATTTACAGAAGTACGATTTTAATGTTACATAGCAATCAATTGCTGCAGTTTTAAACTATACCATTTCTCTTCCTCGCCTGTGCACACCGCTTACTGTTTTCTTCATTTCTGCCTTGTCTGCTTTTCATGGTCTACGTCGTCATCAATTTCTTCTTATTTTTGTACTTTTTCCTCCTAAGCTGAAGGTCTAGGGTTAAAATCCAGCTATGGTAGGTAATTATTTATTCTCTTGCATCAGCAATGGTTCGATCCTGGAATTGGTAGATCCTGGGTCATACCCAGCCTCTATAAAGTGGGTACTCTTAATTAAATAATGATTGATAATGAAGGGGAAAAACCGGGCACGTATAGCATGATCTAGGTTTAATCCCCGCCTTGCAAAACTGTTGGCCTTAAAACATTACTTCCTTCTTAAGTACTGAAACCAAGTTTGTTAATAATAACATTTTATTTACTCTGGGACAAGTCCCTTTAGAATAATGAACAAGAACATATTGATATAGAAATACTGATTTTTATGAAGGGAGAAAAGCACAATAAAATTGTATGGCTGCTCAACTGTGTTGAGTTACTAAATCGTCAGCATCCTAATCAGTCATAATCGATACCATTTAATTAAGGGAAAGAGAAATAATAAAAGAGAACACATAGAATAAAATATTATGGGGCCATCATCCAACGTACCGAATGTTATAATTCATTCATTCATTGTTACAACTTTCTTCTCATTTTCTTCCCTCTCACTTTCTCGTCCGGCAAGTCCACAACAAAGCACCCAGAATTAAAACAGGTGGTGGGTCTAAAATAATGGATTCTGCCATACTCTGCAGACGGTTCCTTTCCACACCCAGTTCTTCCAAAAAATTAGCAGTTAAAGGTGGAATCGCTTCTCTACTCCCGAATCATAGTCTCTGAACCGAATATTCTCTCACCAAATTCCTCTCTATATTTCTCTAGGAGGTGTACGGTATGAATTTTTTATAGATTCCTCTTTTTCTTTTTGTATTTTGAGATCCTGATCCTCATCGTTTGTTTCAAATCTAACAGTAGGATCAACTATCAGAGCCTCTTTTCCTTTCACATTAAAGGCTAAAATACCTACTAATCTCGCTGAACCTTCCTTATCAAGGCAATACACTTCCAAAAAGCATCTACACTTTTTCGTCTCCAGGAATCCCGCCATTCGACATCTCCATTCACCTGACTAATTTCTTGCTCTATCTTCTTTTTTATAGATTTGGTTGAAATTAAATTATATAGTCTTGTTATTAAGCACTTTTCATCTCCAGGAATCCTGCCGTTCGACATCTCCATTCACCTGACTAATTTCTTGCTCTATCTTCTTTTTTATAGATTTGGTTGAAATTAAATTATATAGTCTTGTTATTAAGCACTGTTACTTTTTCTCTTCTTTATTATTGTTTCTCCTCATAAGTTCTTAAAATATTTTTTATCTTTGTCCCTCCATATTGTCACTTTCAGTTATGTCTATTGAATGGTTGCTTGTCCTCATTCATGAGACCATTGAAATAATTTCAGGTAAGTTACATATTGTTTATTTGTAAGAAGGGTGAGTGGATAACCCTATTCCAAAGGTACTTTTATACTTACTTGAACATATTAATAGATTGTTAATTAAATTGATATCTATGAATATTGAAACTTCCATTAAAATTTTAGTTGGGCCGTCCTAACTTCCCCAACTATATTTTCCAACTATACTTTCCACTATATGTTACAGCTCCTTATAAATACTCTCCATTCCATGCATCTGAACTTCTTGTCTACATGAAGAAACCTTGGATTTCATTCAAGCCTTTAAGGCATCCAACTACTCTACTACTACTATATCAAGTTTCAAAATTCATAGAAATCAACTTAAGTAACAATCTACAAATAATTTTTTTTCTTTTATTTTTTATAAATATTTTGTTTACTGCAAATAGCAACTCATAAAATTTTAGACAAAAATATTTATACAGATTTACTAACTATATATAAAAATAATGTAATAAATGATTACATTTATGCCAACTTTATGAAAGAATTATATGCTTTTTTTTTTTTTTTTTTTTTTTTTTTTTTTTTTTTTTTTTTTTTTTTTTTTTTTTTTTTTGACTTTAAGCACGTCGACCCCTTTGGGTCCATTGTGCGCCAATAATTATATGCTTACTCTTGGGAATGATGAAGTTTGTTAGTGTAACGACAACAATCTACGTCTATTGTTTATTTGTAGTAAACTAACTTGGAGAAGCACTACTGGGATGATGGCAAGGTCTGAACCTGTTGTGTTCACAATACAGTTTCCTAAGTCCTCTTCGCTAGCTCGTGTTCCTTTCCTTAAATATTCTGAAATGAAAAGTAGGAAAATCATTCAACCTCGTTTTTCTTTTTAGTTTATCTCCAAATAGTTGAAACTTGTTTACTCAATTTGTCTATTGACCAAATAAAAGATGAAAAACGAATGATAAAAACCAAAAATTGTATGATGATGGGGGTGCGAAGGAGTGAAATTTCCGGAAAGAGTGATAGAAATGAACAAATTATACTTCTTGTCTTATGGAATTTATTATAATTTGTCATCGATGCACAAACAAATGAGGATTGAAAAATAACTGATTATTCAAATGTCTTTATAATAACAGAAAAAATACCTATAAAAGTCTGGAATAGCGGATAAAATCGTAGTTGTTATTTGTTACTTAAATAAAAAATATTCGATAAATGGTGTAGGTATTATTTGTTCATGTTAAATTTAAAATTATTTCCACTGTTTTTGATTTCACGTTATCTTTATATTTTATATTATTTTTACTAAATCTGCTAAGTTTCCATCTTCTCGCCATTTTTGGACTTACCTAAAAGCATTAATATAAACACAACAATTACATTTTTTATGACTAGCCTAAACTGTGACACAAATTATTAAAATAGATGCCGATTATTTATAAGAAATACAATTAACTTTATTCATATACTTTTATTTTAAAAGTTTTATTTTGTGAAGTTAAGCCTTTTAATAAAAGTATTTACTTGAAGGTCTAAATAAATACTTATTTTAATAACTTGTTAGCTTTAATCGGAAATAGGCACATACTGAGCTGGAACAGCACAGACTGGGTCCTGTGTTGAACCTACGTTGCACCTCTGTGCAACTGCTGCCCCCTGTGCTGTGCCGCCGTGTGCTCAATTTGCGGCCGCCCTTATTCTCAGAACATCTTCAGTATAAATTGAGTAAATTTTGATGTTTGTTTGCCTTCTCCAGTTTCCATCTATATATATACTCCTCCAAATATTCTACAAAGAATTTTCCTCTCAAAGACTAGGAAGTCATGCTCAACTTTTTTAGTTGTCATCCATGTCTTGAATTCATACAACAGGACTGGACAGATTAATATCTTGTAAAGATGGAGCTTGATCTGAGGGAATAGAAGGTGAGAGAGAGATGAATTCTTTGCAAAGGAAGTAACACTTTTTGGCCATCAATATTCTTTTCTTGACCTCAACCTAAGTTTCATTATCTTGAATAACCATTGACCCTAAATAAGTGAACTAGGCCACTTTCTCAAAGTTAAAGGGACCAATATTGTCCATGTCAAGTCATACAATTCTTCCCGATTAATGCTGTTGTAAGCTGCCTTGACGTTTACGAAAAGATATTTCCTCTCAAAGATTGTTCTAAGACAGAAGATTTGATTGTTGTAAATCTTCCCTGTCTAAACCCACATTGGTTGGGACCAAGCTTCTGCACTGCTAAGGTTAGAAGAGGCTGGAACAGGATGTTAGATAAAATCTTATATCCGCAAGAGAGGAGAGATATATTCCTGTATTCTTGAGCCTTGAGTTAGTCACCTTTCTTAAAGATAGGACATGTTACTGATTTTTTCCAGTTTTCCGCCAAAACCTCTTCCTCCCAGATGGTTAAGAAAAGATTCTGGAGCCTTTTCATCAGCTCCTCACCTCACCTCTTGTTTGTTTTATAGAAAAAGAAAATTTCTTTTCTTTTGCCTTTTTTACATCAGCAAATCATTATCTACACTGCATTGTGTATCCTGATATTGATCCCTTTTCCAGCTCTCTTGGGAGATAGGTTTTGATGAATGAGGTATCAAATGAAAGGAAATTTCATAGTATCAGGTTCAGTCCTTAAATTCCTTCCACAACTTACTCAATACAAGATTAATTGTATTACAGATCAAAAAATAGGAGGTTTCAAAACTCCAACATTGGTAAGTTGATGGATCAAGATAGACAAAATTAAAGATTTCAATGCGGGCATCAGGACTTGGTTCCTTCTAAGCATACCAGACTGTTAGACGTGGAGTCAGGACCGAAAAGGTCGTTGTATTTTAAGCAAATTTTCAACCTAATAGGCTGATAGATACCTTTTAGGTATTACGAATACGCTTGTCTGCCAGCTCAGACAGATCAATTTAGAGTGTTAAGGGCATTTAAACCCATCAAAAAGCTCAAAATTTTGGATCATTTTAAGAAAATTTTATTTTTGTAGCATTAAGATACATTTTTAATAATAGATCATTGGAAAGAGGATGAAATGCTGAACATTCCTTTTGGTATGTAAGTCCGATTTTTAATTTCTGAGATATTTTAATACATGTGTAAAAACACTTCAATTTGCAATAAAATGGCGCCTCTGGATTAAAATATCTCAGAAAATAAAATTCGGATCTGTATACTGTAAGCAAGGAAAATGTTCAGAATTTCATCCTCTTTCTAATGACCTGTTATTCAAAATTTTATCTCAACAAAACATCGTGTTAGAGAGGCGGAAAGGGAAAAAAGTGTCAAAAACCAACTGATAACAAATTTTATGGAAAATATGAATTAAAATATCTCAGAAACTGAAATCTGCACCTGCATATTGTAGGCAAGGGAAATGTTCAGCATTTCATCCTCTTTCTAATGACCTATTATTTAAAATTGTATAACGCGACAAAGAGAAATTTTCTTAAAATGCCCCAAAATTTTGAATGTTTTAATGGATTTAAATGCCCCTAAAACCTTAAATCGACTTGTCTGAGCCGGCAGACGAACATTTTCGTAATACCTAAAATGAGTACTATCAGCCTTTTAGGTTGAAAATTTGCTTAAAGTACTACGACCTTTTTGGACCTGGCTCCAGGTCTATGTATTTTTAAGCCCAAAAATGTTCGAGAGAAAACTGTTATTCATTCCGAAAGCCTCCTATGTGCGACAGTTGCCATGGGATACTCATCATGTATTGTTTAGATTTTTAAAAATGAAAATACAGCCATTTATAATAGTCTACGACTAACTAAAAATCTCTTGAAAAGGTAAACGATTATGAATAGTTCTGAGATCTCTTGGGCATCTTTATTTTCGGTTTATATTTTTCAGGAGAGCTCTGTTAAATAATTTAAGGATACTTATAATAAACTACTGCAATATTTCAGGAAATATATAGTTTTTAATTATTTAAAATTTTAAAAATAATATAAATTGAACTGGAATCTACTTGAAAATCATTAAAATGTGTAATGAATAAAAACAAAAAGAAACTTTATTTCTACATAACTCAAAAAGTATACATTTTTATTATTTGTATATTATAGATTATATCGATGTAGAGATGGTTGACCGTTGATATGATATGAGAAGGAGTTAGTTGAGGGTGCGGTCAAATAATTAAAAAAAATTAAAATATATAAATAATTTTAATTTTTGCCCGTTATTAAAATTATTTATATATTTTAATTTTTTTTAATTATTTTACCGCACCCTCAACTAACTCCTTCTCATATAGATTATATCCATGATAATTAGAAAGGTTTCCTTACTTAACAGAAAAAAACAATAGTCTTATTTTGAGCATTTTCTGCAAAGATAAAGCAGATAGTAATTTGTAAATATATTTTTGTCCATTATTTTGAATGAAACATTTTAATCGACCAAGAAAAAGAAAATTAATTTTGTCCTCTCATAATAACCTTAATTTACTTATTTACATATTATATTGCCATTTGTTCAGTAACTATTATACTTTACAAATTATTAGCCTTGGCCGACTATTTTATGAAATTGTTGTAAATTTAGAAATGGATTATTTTTTTATTTAATTTATATTAATTAAAAGGTTGACAATAAAAACTTTTGATGCAAGCATTTGTTATATTAGTTACAAATTATTCTTGTTAACATTTTGGAATTTCTTTCCCATTCTCAGAATTCTCTGTTACATTCAATTACAAATTAATTTCTAGAAATATAAGTATAATTTAAAAAATGTTACATATTTAATAAAACCAACAAACATACATACCCATGATAAAGAAAATAAATAATTAGGTACAAAGTATAAAGGTAAACCCCAAGTATTTAATAGAGCAAACCAACTGTTAGTCAATAAATGTGTCTGCTTCAGATAATATCTATGGAAAAATTTATAAAACTTAGACAAAGGAGCATGGATACCAAATGAATAAATATAATAGTCAACAAATTTAAACATGTAACATTTATTTTTAATTATACTTATATTTCTAGAAATTAATTTGTGATTCAACGGAGAGTTCTAAGGATGGAAAATAAATTCCGAATCATTATCAAGAAGAATATGTAACAAATATAACAATTGCTTGTATCAAAAGAAGAAATTAATCTATATTGTTTTTTTTTTTTATTTGATTAAGAAATGAGTATTTTAATTTTTTTTACTAAATAGTTTAGTTGCAGTTTTCATGAAATTTAAATATGTCATTTGAATATTATTCATTCCTACATCATTATAATTAAAGATCTTGGACTCACACAAAGATGAGATTAGGGCTACATTCTTACAAAAACTTTGGTTATATCTCTAAAAGATTTTCTATAATACCAAAATCTCAATCGGCATCAACTTATATTTTATAAAAAGTTCTATAGTTAGTTTTGTCAACATAATCTTGGTTATAAACTAAGTATTGTTGCATCTTTTATTTATAATTGAGTTAAATTATCAAATTTAAACTTTTTTTTTTAAGATGGTTTCTCATACCATTGTTCATATTTAAATGATTAGAAGCCAAACAAATAAAAGAAGATGGCAGGTGATGCCAACAGATCTATAGATAAAAAGGTGTTTCTTTACAACTGTCGACAAAGCAGCCTTATCTTATCTTTACTCTCTCTCTTCTTGTCTTAGCCTAAACAAATCTCGGACATTTTTAGAATCAGAGACATGGACTCATGGATAGATTAAGAGAGGGGAACAATGCTAAGCACACATTTTTCTGATACAATAATTAGTCATTAAACAGTATTCTCTTATCGAAACCAAGTCCGTAAGCTGTAGTTATAGATATTTTTTGTCTTCAATAAAAAGAAAAATAAATAATCCTGCAAGTTTTTATAAGTTATAGTTGTTTGAAATGTAAACAAATTTTATATAAAATAATTATTTGTATGATTATTGTGTATTATTATTAAATGGTGCAGTATAATATTGATTTTACTAAAACTATTGCAACAATTAGTTCAAATGTATTACTCAAAATTAACATGAAGTATGCACACTATAGGTATGTTAAGGCTGCGGTAAAAAATAATAATACTGGTTTGTATTTATTTTTAGGAGCTAGTGAGTAAGGCACCTATGCTCCTATGCTCCCATGTCCTGGGTTCGAGTCTGTCTGTTTATTTTTATTTATTTATATTTAGTCATTTATAAAAATAGAAAAGGATAATTTAATATGCAACTACGATGGACTTGATATTTGTAGATAATATTTCTATATTTTGATTGATAATAAATAAATTTATTAATTGGCAATAATTTTGTTTTAGGGTATGCACAGGATTAACTGAAACAGCTTATCAGTTGTTAACAGCAGAAGTCTATGCTGAGTGGGTTTGCGACAAGTGTCTTACAACCAAGAACATACCTCTTGTCAAGTTTAAACCTTAACACCTATCAACTTTCTGTCTGGTATCCTCCCACCACATGTTTTAAATTAAAGGGCGGACTTTCATTTCCTAATTTTAAGTTCTTTTTTTTTCTAACCAAGTGATATTTCTGTAATATTTGTTTGTATAAATGGTTTTGAAAATAATAAATTCTTGTAATGATAATTTCTGAAAAGCTAACAAATTGTAAATAAGAAAATATCTTTGAATTATTGTAAATGACTTGTAATGAATGAATCCCCCTTTAAAAATTATAATATACAGTCAAGTAAATTGTTATAAAACCTTTAAAAGGAAGTAAAGTACACTTTTGTTTTGGAAATGTTTAGTTTAACTATTATTTTATTTTTCCAATTGATTTATATGGCAATTCATTACGTGAACATTTATTCCCCTAAGATTATTTCATCTTATTATTTTGTTTTTATGGATACAAATCTTTTTATTTCAATAGCATGTTACATACCAATGAGGTTTATAAGTCATCTGTAATAATTCAGAAGACAAAAATTCAGTTTTATTTTTTATATGTGTATATACAAAACCATACCCATTGACACGAACATGTGCCATATTAAGGTAGATAGTGTTAGTTGATTTTTTTTTTAATACTAAAAAACTGTTTGTTATTGTGTATACTTCGTTAGATCTCATATCTAGGAATGAATGTCCCTTATAATTTTTGCATATTTTTACTTATCAACCAGTCACTGTTATGAGGAATGATTCACTAGTCCAATTTTTTTTTTCTGTTGGTATAAAACATGATAACTATTTGATTGTAGATTTTTTTTTCTCTATCTTTTTCTAGAAAAATGCAAAAACAGTCTGGAAAAAAGTTTTGCTTTATGTGCATTGAATTGTAAATTAAAATTGGGCTTTTGTGTCATACACCTCTAATATAGATAGTGTGGTTATTAGAAATTTGTTAGATTCCGCTGTGTGTAGTAAGTGAAAACATGCTTATTTTTGGAGGGTATCTAATATCTACTCACTGAAAGAATTAATTGTGCCTTCACAGAGTTCTAGCACTCTTAGGGGATTATGTACTTTTAAGTTTTTTTTTAAAACACTTGTTCCTTTCTCAAAAATATTTTAAACAAGATTTTGTTTTCTTTAAAACTATGATTATGAAATAACTTTGTGTGATATATAATAAGGTGGAACAAGCCCAGTTTATTTTACTTTACTATTTTTTTAATGTATAATCTGTTTTTAAATTTGGTTTATTTTGGGATTGAAAAAAATAATCTAAATTGTAAATGTGTAAATAGTTGCCATTTATTATTGGATCAACATACCTGCCTCCGAATATAATCACAAGATATATTTGACGACACGGGTCTTTAAGATGCATACAATTTGTAATTGTAAATATCTATATTTTGTTAATTTTATTTTTAGCTTTTTATAACATCTCAGTCACATTCAACTTATGTAAATATCAATTAGCAATAAATCAACGGTCAAATAGCAGGTCATGTTAAAATGAAAATTCCGATAACGAAGCTAACTAGTTGTAGGAAATGTGAACTAGCGTACAAATGTATTGAAATTTTATTGTCAAATGAAATTGCAGTACATTTGGATGTAAATCAAAATGTCCATTGAAGGAAATGAGTTATAGCATTGTAAGAATTGTAAACATATTTTGTAAATAATACGTGGATATTATATTGTTATAAAAGATAAGTGCACGCGCTTAGTGTATATGAAATTGTATTGCTCATTTGATAATTTAATTATAATTGTATGTTTATTGTCCATTGAGGGGTAAATTATAAATAATAAAATAAAATGTTATTATAATATTGAGAAAAATTATTATGATAACATTTTTATAACTTAAAATCGATAATTGAGTTATCCTCTTCTTTGTCGGCCATGTTATTTGGCTTTAAGCAATAATTGGTCTGTGTAATAGTTATCAGTTGTTCATTTGTTGGCGTTGTCTTTGGAAGATTGCTCATTTCATACATTTTAAAATTAATTGTTATTTATTTCTTTTTTTTTAATTATTGTTTGTATAGACTTTGGTACAATACTATTAATTTAATATTATGGTACTACTATTGTTAGAAAAATACTTATAAAATGAAAAACCTTTTTTTTTCACTAAGATTTTTGATATATAGAAGTTAATTTAAATTTCTATTTGAAACATGGTACAAGTACTGTATAATAACAATAACTGCATTTTTTATATGTACATTTAAATTTACAAATAAAAGAATAACAAATTTGATAAACTAACAGTACAAAATATCATATTGTGCTAGCGCATAAACCGTTCAAAGGACCTATTTTATAAATTGTTGTTATATATTTTGTTATTGAGTTGAAAAGTTTTATCATGATATTTCACCGTGCTAAAATATAAGGACTTTGATAATTTTTACTTTATTGTTCTCTGTTATGTATTGTGTTTCATTTAACACAAAATGCTAATCAATTAATGAACCATTTATTTTTTTTTTGTTTCTTTTATGATTATCCCTTTCCATTTGTAAATTTATATATATCTTCTTTCTTTTTTTATTTACCATTGAAGATGAGACAATATTTCAAAATATATGAAAATATTCTGTTGATTTGTTTTTATTTTTATTTTTCTATCTATGAGATTAAAGCGAATATAAAAACTTGTTTTTTTTTTATTATTCATTGAAAATTTTCTAAGTGTAACTATGAAGTATATAATTTAAATGAAAAACATTAATTATTACTGATTGGATTGAGTCAAGGTAAAGGTAAAAATTACTAAAATATAATTTATGAGGACAGCAGTGATGAGGTGAGTATTAGAACGTACTCTGTTGGCAGCACTGCGCCCACCAAACAAGATGGTTGTGTAGGATTTATTGTAGCTGTAAGGCGAGCCTTTAACCTTAGCTTTTGTCAATTATAGTTTGTTTTGCCACATTTAATATAGTATTAGCCAATATTAAGTGGTTCCAGATAACAATTTATCCTATATTCGTTTGATTACTACCTACTGTTTTCGTATAATTGCTAAACCGGCGTTGAGCATTCGTTTTTTTAAGCGTATTTTTTTTATTCTGTATGTTTGATGCAAGAATGCTATGTTTTGCTAATGTTAAATAGATCGTTGGTTCTGCTGATGTAGCAAAAATAATTGGATTTCATAAGAGTCTTTGGGTTTGGTGTGTAAACAGTAGTGTAATGACTGTTACCCCTGGAAAGTGAATAGCATGTGCGTTCATTAATATTCTTATCAAATTAACGTTTTGTTGTAAATCATAATGAGTAAAAGAAGAAGGACGTCCTCAGTTGCCAGCAGAGGTGTAGATGAAGATGAAGATTCCCAGCAGACCTCTGAGCCTGTAAGGAAGAAAAAAAAGTTAGATCCAGTAAGTTTAATTTTCATGTTTTTATCTACTTCTTTACGATTGTTTACAATTTATAAAATATAAATTTGTTGGATGTGCTCTTCCTAGCACAAACAGCAGATACAATGACTTTTTTTAGGAATTGCCTACAATATTTTACTATTTGAAGCTACATTTTATTGGTGTTTTGTTTGATCATAGTTTTGAGTATTGAGTTCTGTTTCATGAACCTATTAATGATTTAAATTTATAATTTCTACCTTGTTTAGAATTTTGTTGCTGGACTGTCAAAATTTTAACATAGTAATATAAGCATTAGTTTTATGTTGTCGAAATGTCAAAAAGATAAAGATAAGTCTGTACACACTTTTCATGCATTTGATGAGATCTGATTTTGACATGAGTTTGTTATTTTATTTATTTTATTTTTTCCTGTAGAGTCCAGTGTTATATTTACATGTATAAAAGTATTGAGTATAATAATTAATTCAATCTTGAAATATTTTATCTTTATTACTCATTTATTTTCATAATAGCATTCCAGCTTTTATAATTACTTATAGCACCAGAATCCTCAATTATTGTTTTTTTCTTATTTGTTTTATTTCTAAAAGGTGCAATACTATGTACATTTAAGGCAACAAGTTCTATCATTTAGTATGAAGTGAATATTACTAGTTAGTAACGGTTTAATCTAACTGATTAGTGATATTTGTCTTTTCTCCCGTAGCTAAGACAAATAGTAAATGTTTTTACTTATTTTCAGGTGAATAACAGAACTCAATCTATGGTGAGTAATAGTTATTAAAAGTAAACTAACTGAGTTTTAGTCCCTGCTTCATTACTGGCATAATAATCCTCAACTTTCGTATAAGTTCTTGTCACCATCCGCTTTTTAAAGTTACACTATTAGAAAAAGATCTAAGTATAATTAGTTATATTTGTGACTTTTGTTAATTGAGAACTAGGTGTAAAAATCTGATAGTTGAGAAAATACTATTGAAAGTTTGGAATTTTTTAAAAAATCACCAACATTGACAAAACCCCAAAATGAAAAATGCAAACTTGTTTATACATATATGCTATCAATAATCAGGCTTTGTTTTAATTTTATATAATTTTAAATTGTTATTAATTATGTTAATAAATACATGTAATTAACTCTACATCCATTTGTGGAAACCGTGTTGTGATTATAATTTGGCATATAACATGCATCTACTTAACCTATTAATTAAAGTCAAGAGAAGTAATGTATAATAAAACATATTTCTTTTTTTAATTGAGGTCCTTTGTGAACTATATAAAAAAAAAAAAAAAAAAAAATCGTGAAAATTTGTTAAATGATAAAAATAAAAAGGTAGTTGAATGCTTTAAGAAATGGGGGAAAAAATGAAGATTATAAAATTTGATTACCTCAATGTATATCATTATATTTTTAATGTTAGTATGATCTTTAATAATGCTGCTTTGCCTTCGATTGTCTTAATATCTTCATCTATAAGCACATTAGTTAATAGCTCCTTATCATCACAACTAACCATATTGCTATTAATAAGTTTTCTAATTCCAAATTATTGAGCTTATATTTTGCTTCCAAAGTATTAATAACATCATAATTATTTAATATAATTAAGGAGTTTAATGTGGGCTTAAAAAATTTGGAAAGACTGTCCGTTGCTTTAAGACCTGCAGCTTGATTGTGGAGTTTGATTAGTCCAGATATTCTCGGATCAATGTAGCTAATTTCCATTTACTATATTTGTCTATGTAATCTATTTTTTTTAATTAACAACACGCTTATGGCCAACTGTTTGATTTTATGATGTAAAATCTCAAACCTTTTCTGGAGATTTGCCTTGAGATTGTGAATTTGCTAGGCAACCTTTCAAATCTTACCACCTACCCAAGCTATACAAGCTTTCTCCCTAATCAGTGAAATTTCTGGGTTTTATTAGATCAATGACATTTTAAATGTTTTTGATAGCAAATAATCATTTCTATTAAATTATTAATTTTAATCAAAATAAATATTAAATTACAGCATTCCTAATTAGTTTTTTATTAGTGTTTCTGATAAACAATCAAAGAGTCTTAGTAATAATTGTTACCATAATTTTCACCTCTATTGAAAAATGTGCTAAGTAGAGAAAAACAATTTGTCATTGCTTAAGTTTCACAAATCTGAATATTTATGTTAAGTGAGTTGAGACGACAAGGCCAGTTATAGGGACATCCCCTCCACCACCGCTGATATCACATTATTGGAGCCTAATAAAATATATATGAAGCCAGCTTTGTTTCATGCTCCAATCTTTGACTATCGCCCAATATGTTATGAAAATGATAACTCTTTAAATGATTTGAAATATTTAGAACTATCTTTTTCTTAAAATGATCATCTTTCTTTGGCATACATTAGGAGGTTTTTGCTTCCCAATTGGAGAACAAAGTTAATTGCAGTATTTGTTTAAGTAAATAACTTCCATCAACAGAAATTACCTGGCGATCTGAGTCATAACAAGATCTAGAACTCTTTAGTCACGGGAGACTGAAATATCCAACTGACTTAATTCATTTCATAATTAATATTTTGTTTATAAAGTTTTTCAAAATATTTTAATTGAGCTTTATAAATAAGTATTTTTAAAGATCAAATACAAAATTTGTCATTTATTAATATTTTTTTAGCCACCATCTCAGATTAAGTCGGTTGTAACATTAGGGACAAGGAATGTTATATTGGGTTAAAGCAAATAGATATGATCAAAAGAATAATTAAAATTTTCTCAAATATATTTATAAAAAAATACTCTAAAGTAAAGGAAAGTAGGATAGGAGGGCTGATCGGGCTAACAAGTTACATGTTGCTCAGCAACCTGATGAACAGATAACATGATAAAGTAATACTGATACAGTAATAAATGATAAAGTAATATGAGTTAGCATCTCTTTGCCAGAGGTACTTTTAACTCTGGCAATAATACCCCACTTTCTGGCCCGGAAGAAAACCTCATATAGCCTAAAAGGCCAAGAAGGTCTGAACAAAGATATAAGATAGATGAGAATGATCAAATAAACACACTTATTGGAAAAGGTGTTGAGAAAAATATATTTCTGATTTAGCTCCCCATACAGTGATGAGCCACTATCTTATGAAGTGTTTTTGAATAAGAAAACTATTTAAATAAAGAAGTGTTAAGAGTATAAGAGTAATAAAGAAGTATATAAAAGGAAACCTTTCAAACAGCAGCAGAGACTCCGAGGACTAACCTGATCTAACAAAGAGATATAAATAATACTATGAACAAAAGGTTTCCTAAAATACATACAATTATTACTTCATAACATAATGTTGATTATATATTACCAAATATTATTATATAATATACTTTATCTAATCATGTTTTTATGATGGATATAATCAATTCATAAGATTTTTTAAACCATTATGAAATTTAATACAAATTATAGCTGTTGTTCTTAATTATAATTGGGTCTACAAGGAATTATTTGGTGTTGTGTTACTTTGTTGTAAATCTAGTCTACTTTAAAAAGAAAGCGTATTTATTTCTTTTACTAAAAAGTTGCTGATTATATAAATTTTTGAAAATTAAACTATTTATATATCGTGAAGTATCAGGTGTGAAGAAACAAATTTGGTCTCATTATGTTACAAATTAGTTTACTATATACAAGTTCTTCACTTTTGTTGTCTTTTGCGGGTCAAAATTGATGAAAACTAAGAATTAAATTAAAATTGTGCAGTTTTTCAAGCATTTCATAATGATTTGGTGGTCTGCAGAGGTCAAAATTTGGGTTTATCATTAGCTACATCACATACAGCAAATCAAAGAATCAGAACTACCTCATTTTCACAAGGTAAAAACTGGGCTATCATCCCCAGTTGTATATTTTTATCAAAACCATGTTCCCACAATTGCTTGTATAAAGCTTTTTAAATTGTTTGCCATCTACTGTATGACAGGTACTTCAAAGGTTTTCTCTCTCTATTTATCTGTTTATTTCTTTGCTATACTAGTGTGCTGGGGTTTGTCTATCTTAAAATATTCTTCTTGAATTGATCTTAACTGATTTCTATTGCAATTAATGAACTATCCTTTAAAATTTGTAACTCCTTTTTCAGGAAATCCTTGTTATTTATTTTCTTATTTCTCTATATTTCAATCAAACTTATTCTTCTTTATGATATCTGTATATTTATATTCATTATCTTTTTAATTGAAACAGGCCGAACTTGTGCAGCAATTGTATGATACCATTAGAAACCATAAAAAGGATGATGGCAGTTTACTGTGTGATTCGTTTATACGAGCTCCGAAGAGGAGGCAAGAGCCAGCTTACTATGAGGTATTTGTTATAATTTTCTTTTTATTAATCTGATGTTTTTTATGTATATAATGTCTTTTATATATTATATAATGTTTTTAGTATATTAATAATTTTATATGTAATTGTAGTATTTTACTATTAAAACTTAATTCATTAAAATTTTAATGTTTTAATTTTGCAAATATAATTAAATGTACTCAACTAGTTTTATATATATATCATGAAAATAACTCAGTTCGAGGAATAACTATAACTGAGTCCCAGGTCGATTCTATAATTATAAATAAGTTTTAGTAATGATGTAGAGATGGTTGACCGTTGATATAATATGAGAAGGAGTTAGTCGAGGGTGCGGTCAAATAAATAAAAAAAAATTAAAATATATAAATTATTTTAATTTTTGCCGACGTTTTGACCCACTTTGCTGGTCGTCTTCAGGGCGTAGGATGTGGCACTGCGGGAGGCAGTTGAAACACTGTTTCAAGGCAGTGTTTCAACTGCCTCCCGCAGTGCCACATCCTACGCCCTGAAGACGACCAGCAAAGTGGGTCAAAACGTCGGCAAAAATTAAAATAATTTATATATTTTAATTTTTTTTATTTATTTGACCGCACCCTCGACTAACTCCTTCTCATAAGTTTTAGTAATTTAATATTAAAAAAAAATGTTAATAAAATTATTTGTACTTAAAAATGTAGGCAGAAAAACTTAAAGTAAAATGAAGTAGATAGAGTGAACATTAAAGAAAAATAAAGAAGGTAGAATAATAACAGAGAAGTAAGAAATAAATAATAATTTATGGCTACAAAGTGTGGACTAATAAAATAAACATAATCAAAATAAGGTAACATAAGAACTAAAAATGGTAATGATGTAGAGATGGTTGACCGTTGATATAATATGAGAAGGAGTTAATTGGGGGGTGCGGTCAAATATTTGGTCAAATATCAAATATTTGACCGCACCCCCCAGTTAACTCCTCATAAAAATGGTAATCTTAGAATAAAATGTAAAACAGAGAAAAGGAATATGAAGTTATGTAAGGAAATAATAGATATAAATAGAAAATTGAGATATTATAAAATATACTGACTATGTATAAGAGAATAAAAAGTTTAAATAATGTAAAAAAATAAATGAGCAAATGTATCAGTTTATACAAAATAGAGATGGAGATATGGAAAATAGAGTGACGGGAAGGAAAAAATGAGGAGAAAACTAAGATAAGATACATAAACGAACCTGATCAAACCAAAGGCTTGGAGAGATAGAGGTATAGTAGCAAGAGAGAGGGGAGATGTATTATTGTGCCATCTGTAAAGGTTGACTGCAAAATTTGAACTAAAGCACAGGAAACGGATATAATGGATGAATGATATATTATAGATAAATACTATGAATTATTAAATAAAAGTTTAATTGAAAGAGGATGGAAATAATCTGGAGATAGTATAAAACAGAGATAATAAATGTTAAGTAATAATGGAGAAAACCTGATCTGCGTGAAACATAAGATTAACGAAAACAAAAGTGAATTTCTTTAATGAGATTAAAGAAAAAGAAAACTGAAAGTTGAACGGAAATCAGTAAATCTATCTATAAAGCAATTAAGGAAGATGGTATAATATAGAGGTAATAAACATTAAATAAGAATTGAGTATTAATGATTTATGTGAAATGCGTATGAAAGGAAATGAAAAGAATTAAAAATAAAGAAGAAGTATTATGTGATTTAGTATAAAATAAGGATAACAGTGGTATAATAATATAATATAGAATAAATTAAGGAGATAGCATAATGCAGAGATAATTTTAGGGGTATGTACAAATTAGAAAGTGAGTTGTGAGATTTGAAGGCAAATCATAAGTTATGATTAGTAGATCGTAAAACTTTGTTTATGTTGTCAGAAAGATTAGGAATTTAAGGTAGAGGTCTGTATATGGAGATAGCGATTCCAATCTATATATGAACACTGTTTAATAAATTAAGTATAACAACAGTAAATTTAAAGACCCCAATGTGTTAAAATCTAATGTGCTAGCGCGCATATTTAACACACTAATCATATACACTTTTTTTAAACACATATAAGAGGTTTACAATATTTAACACTGTTTGTATGAATACTCCTGTTTTTATTTAGTTCAAATTTGTTTCATAATATGTTTTATATATATGTATGTATATATACATATATATATATATATATATATATATATATATATATATATATATATATATATAAATATTTTTATTAGTGAATATTATAATCTTATATATGAAGGGAATATGCATGCATTATACCATTTATATGAGAAATTCAAATTTAAAATACTTAGAAATTGGAGTGCTACTAATGGCTAGCATCTCTTCATGTTGTAAATGTCATATTATCAATTCACATTTACTTGTAGCATTTGTTAACTAATACAGTTGAAAATTTCAATAAATATATTAATAAAAAAATAATAATAAAGATAAAAAGGAATAAAAAATAAAATTAACTACTTGCTGTTATGATTTATATTACTGAAAGTGTTACAATATGTGATTAAGAGGAAGGTCCTTGTCCATTCCAGAAGATACCAATAGCCAATTGATCCTGAGGCTATTAACTAGCGGTTTATAATAATAGTTATTTTAATGAAAATAAGTTTAATGAATATTTTTATTAAAATATCTCAAATTTTTTTCAACTTATTTATAGGTGGTGACTAATCCTATTGACTTATTAAAAGTTCAACAGAAATTGAAGACTGATGAGTACGAAGATATGGATGATTTCACATCTGATATTGAACTTCTTGTAAATAATACTAAAGCATTTTATAAGGTATTTACTTCTAATTTTTTATTTATTTATCCTTTTCCAATTCATTTTAGTGACATTTATGATGAATAGCAATAATTTTGATCACTATTAATATTATAGAGCTCCTAGGTTTATTTCGTGCCTGTGTGATGCATTAGTTGGGGTTCAAGATTAAATTTGAATAATTAGTCTCATTTGGTATCATCAATAAAAAAGTTTGCTTAACTTTTCTTTTTAATATTGGTAATTCATATTCATTGTATTCACTCGAAGTGTATACAAAATTTAATCCTATGAAATTATTGAAAACTATAGAGGCACTCCCTGTCCACTTAACGGCAGACCAACCCCATTTACAAAATTATACTGTCCATTTAAATACTGACGTTTTGAGCTCGTGTAATCTCCTACCCTCCTGATATAAATAAAGATTTTAACCCAAAATTTGAATAAATGCCATAGGAGAGCAGCACTATCAATCCTAGAGGACTAGTCTGAAAATTTGGGCTCCTGTAAATTCTTACTCTCCTAATACTAAGTAGAGATTTTCATCCAGGTTTCTTCGTTACGGTCCGTCCCACTTTGAATTTGTAAAATAAAATATGACAGTCACTAAAAGTATTTTTATGTTAGAGAGAGATTAGATTATTTTCTATGAGAAATTCTAAAATAATTACTTAATGGTATTATTTTTTTAATTACTTCTAAATTTATATTTTCCAAATCCTTTAATTATAGGCAATGTTTTTAATTACAGTAATCCCTCATTATTCGTGAGTTTAAATTTCTCTATTCTTAATTATTTGGGAATTCATAAATTCACCCATCATAACAGAAGTATTGCACATTAACAAAATGTGTGTTATTCATAAATGCTGTAAATTATTTCCAAACAATTATACATATAAAGTAACATTACTTTTCTAGTAAAAAATAAAAATAAATAATAAGTGATTCCTATTATTGCCCCACTCATTTTTTTTTCATTAGTAATTTTCTAAAAAAAAAAATAGTATTACTTCAGTAACACTTTAAAAAACCAAAATAAAGGATATAACCTTTGCAGTAGAATATATAAAAAATATCTAGAAACCATATATTTGCTCCAAATTGTCCGATTTTAATGATTTAGTTATACCCAGTTCTCTCATTGTAAAATTAAGAAATAAATTTCATAACTGTCACTGAAGGGATGATTTGAATTTAATAGTCTCATTTCACAATATGTATTTAATTAAGATCATGGTATTAAATCATGTTTATTTTATAGTCAACCCATTATATTAATATTATAAGAATTTTATTTATTTTTATGTGCACATTGCTGTTTAGCTACAATTAAAATAATTTTTTATTTACTAAAAAATACTAAAGATAAATATGTATTAGGTAATATTCTGTAATTAAATGCTTTAAAGTAGGTTTTTCATTGGTTTTATAAAAAAACCTAAAAAGTAGGTTTTATCTTTTCATTTAAGTTCCTAGTTGATGATTATTTCAGAGAACAACTCAAGAATATAAAGATGCTTGTGAGCTGTGGGAACTTTTACAAACAACAAAATCAAAACTATTAGAAGATTCAAAAGCTGCTGAGGAGGAATCAAAAGGCAAAACTATGTTAAAAGTAGGTATACTAGGTTCTTAGATAATGATGATTTTGAAAGAATTGTTTTTGGTTATGTTTTTTTTAATTACTTATTGTTTATTTATATTTGATAAAAATTTTAATCTTATTTGTTTCTGAAGTCTAAGAAGGAAAAGGAATCTAAGGCTCAGGAGTCCAAGAAAATGGATGATAGTGAAGATACGTCTGAAGGTTCAATTACTGAAGAAGAATCCAATATGTGTGAAGATCTGTTTACAGCTGTGATGACGGGAACCTCTGAAGATGGAAGAGCTTTGCATACTGTTTTTCAATTGCTTCCTTCCAAGAAGGTACCCGAACATTCTTAATTTTATTTATTTTTTCCTTTCAATTATGAAAATATTTAATTGAATGTGTTTTTTAACAGCGGTATCCTAAGTATTATGAGGTGATAGACAATCCCATCGACCTAAGAATGATAGCTAGAAAAATTCAATCAAGTAAATATTCTAATTTGGGAGAAATGGAAAAGGATTTAATACAAATGACTAAAAATGCCTGTACTTTCAATGAACCCGGATCACAAATTTACAAAGATGCCAAAGCGTTACGTAAACTTATTCATGCCAAAAAAATAGAAATAGAACAAGGGAAATTTCAATCCCCGAATAAGGCTAGTGAAAGGATTAGAAGTAAAAGATTAAGGAGCGGCCAATCTCTCTCAGCAGTGACCGCTGCTCTGAAGAGCGAAGAAGAGGACGAGGAGGAAGAAGATGGAGGCAGTGTTATAGAAGTTGAGGAGCCTGATAACCCTTGTTGGCAGTTGTACGACTGTGTCAAATCTACGACGGTTCAGGGTATGTTCCTTTTATATTTTTATCTAATTTGAAAAAGGATTATAGTTTAACTTTACTACTGAGTCTTATTCTTTTTTCTTGGTAATTACATTTATTTAAAAAGTAAGGAATGTCTTAAGTGAGCTAAAGAAATGTATTACTGATGCTTAATATTTAATAGTTCTTTCAATGTAACTTGCTCAATTGATAATTGATAAATGGAACAAGAAAATTAGTTTCGTGTTATATCTATAGTTTTCGTGTATATAAATATTTCGGTCCTTACTAATTTATCTTTAAAACGAGTTGAAGAAAGTTGCTGCATTGATATCTTTGGTTTGTAGCATGTTTAATAGCAGCAATAATAGATTTATATTTACAATAAAAAATTATAATATTAACAATAAAACATCAATTTATTCATTTGACCTATCAAATAAATTGTTTAGAACCAGAGAAAATTGCTCAACATAAAAAATTGACAAAAATCAAAACTGAATTAATAAAAGATTGAATCCTGTAAAACTTATTAAAACTTTGGTAAAATAGAAATTAAAAAAAAAAAATTTAACTAATTTATCTCGGGTATTGTATTTAAGAATAAAATAATTTTTATGTGCTTTTTAGTTAGGTTGTTTTATTTGTAAGCATTGTTTATTTTTAATTTTTTGTTAAAGATATGGGCTTTCAATAATCAAGTTTTCTTTACAAATAATATGATACATCAAAATTTAATTTTTAAAGGAGATAAATATCGATATATTTTTATAAAAATACTTTTATATTTCAAACATCCCTAGTTTAGATTGTTCAGTATAAAACATAACTGTTTAAAAAATATTGGCTTATTCTATAAAATCATCAACTAACATTTTAGAAAATAGAAACATTATATTAAAATAGAGTCTATATATATATTACTAAAAATTTAAAAAATCCCGTTAACAACCAAACAGATGTGGACAAAATAATAAATAATATTCGCATATAATACAAGAATAATGTAAAAGCAATACAAAAAGCATAAATTAGATAAAATAATCCACTAATGCAAAACAATAGAAGGAAAATCCCTCTCCTTTTGACTATCCCCACCAGGACAATATAAGTCAGTCCCTCCAGAAATGACGTAGGTGAAACCCCTATAGACCATGACAATTTAATGTTCACTAAACATATTATTTGCGACATTAATGATGAATATATAACGGAGGACTCATCAAGGGTAATAGTCAATTGTTTTTAATGTTTAAAGTCACGTACATTTAAGGTTTTATAAGAAAAAGAGTATACTTTTATGTATAGTTTTGGATAAATTGATGTGTATCGAAAATAGATCGTTAGACAAGTTAATTAAGTGTAATAAGAAATTCTTTATGTAATTATGAATGTTAACTAATAATGATGTTACAATTTTCCAGACTTGAAAATGACCCTTGGTATGGTCGAAAAATTAAATAGCGTATTAATAAAATGTTTGGTGATAATTGGCCTAATTTATATAAATATAATACAAATTTTGTTTAGAATTATGTAAAACAAATTTTTCCATGACTTCTAGAGCTCATTGGAATAAACGGCAGGATATGTGTTTATATTTTTCGATGTAGTATCTCTGAAAAAAATTTGGTTGCAATCAATGACCCACTGATTAAACTCAAAATTCACAAATATATACTAAGCAATATAGTGCGATCAAATGCGTACTTAGTGACTTTTTTCCAAATAACAGACGATATATTTGTTAGTAACTTTTAACTTTTTCACAATTGTTTAATTTTTTTTAAATTCTTAGTGTAAAAAAAACTATAAAATATGTTAACTTATTTTATTTATTATTTTTATGAAAATTTTATTTTATGTTTGTATTCAAATAAATTTACTTATTGTATATTTATTTATATATATATTTTTTTTAAATGTATAGGGCAAGTACTTTCTGAAGCTTTTCTCAAGTTACCTTCGAGAAGGTACTATCCAGATTATTATAAAGAAATCAGGAACCCTATCTCATTGGCCCAGATTAGCAAAAAGCTCCAGGTTAGTTTCAATAGTAAATATATTTAAATGTAACCTTTAGAGTTTTTCTAATTGCCTTGAAAAGTAAATTGATCAATATCTTTTTCCACTGAATAATTAAATCATAATAATAACAAATCCGTCAATTTTAATGTAATACCTATTCCATAAAAGATTTTTCCATGATTTGATTCTTATGACATTTATGTGCCTATTCACTAAAAATCAATCTGTGTTCATTCTGTATCTACCGGCTGTTTTTGTTAGAAATTGATAATATATTTAATTTAATAATTTTTCTATATCACATTAGATACTAATCATTCTTTATCTTATTTGATTGAAAATACTAGGCCTAATTGTTTATTTTGTTATTAATCTTTAAATCGTGAATGTGAATTTTTACTAATCTACTTTTCTACTTAAGCTTTTTTTTTTTTTAATTTATTGTATTTATTATTGCTATGTACTCTAGAAAAATAACTTCCTTTCACCAATCTGTAGTATTTTCACAATATCCTTTCTGGTTTACGATTTTAGAAAGGACAATATGGGACTGTCAGTGAAGTTGCTGGTGACATGAACATTATGTTTGAAAATGCCAAAAAGTACAACAGGCCTGATTCAAAATTATACAAGGTAAGTGTAAGTACCGAATTATTGTCAATGTTACCTATAAGAAACAAATAATTTAGGACATAATGAGATGTTCAAAATATACTTAATAATACATCATTTTTGTAACATAGCTTCAATTCTAATGATTGTAATTTTTTAATTTAATTTGAACATTCTTACATTAAATTGCCAGAAACAGTTTTGAGTTGAACCTAAAAAAAAAAAAATCTGTTGGCATTATGGAATGAATTATTCTAAACAACCATTGTGGATTAAGTACAACTCATCTGATCATAATCAAGAACAGCTTAGCAAGAAAGTGCAGAGCAGCATCTATGAGACTTTCAGCAAACTGTTGTAATAATTGGTGTAAAGATTTTTTAATGTATTTTATTTCTTTATGAATATTTTTTTATTGAATATTACAATATTCTGTCATTGGTGCCTTGGTTTTAATGAGGTAGAATCGTTATGAAAAAATAATGTATAAAACATTTTTTCCTATAAACATTGATACTTTATAATACTACATGGATAACAATAACAAAAATAGACTTAGAGTTGTTAGCACCCAAGTAAAAGAATTTTGGATATTGGCACTTCTTTGTAACATTTAAAGACAGCATTAGTATAAATAATAGGTCCTCTCCTGATCTCTGCCAATCAACACTCACATGGGTCCTGACATCACAGGTAGACATGGTCTGTTTTTTGGTTTATTCTCTTCTCTTCTCTGATTAATCACTGAAATAGAAATTCCTTTTATAACTGATTAAACAAACTGTTCTTCATTGTTAGGTCTTCTCACTGTACTTACCATTTTACCGTATCCTTCTTTACAATTATAAGAACTGATCGATCCTCTGGTTCGTATTACTCCTAAAAAATCATCCGAACTGATCTGTGTCTGATAGAAATCTTAGTTTCTACATTAATTGTTGTCATATTTCATATTGATAATGATAATTTTTTTGCTTTTAGGATGCTTTAAAATTACAGAAAATAATGCAAAAGAGGGTTCAAGAGCTTCTCGACTTTGACCATCAAGTATGTAATATTGCTGAAGTAATCAAACTGTTTGTATGTTTATATTATGTATTTTTAGAGAAATCATTCTTTTGTTTTCAAGTATTCAGCCAGTGAAGATGATTCAGTTGACGAAACACCTTCCAAAAAACCGCGAGCTTGCAATTCTGGAAGTTCTACTCCTACGAGCACACCACATCCCGTTCCTGTTATGCCTACTTCTACCTCCACAACGAATAGGCTTCTCACGAGGGGGAAGTACTTAGACAATATTCCGCTAAAAAAGCGTTTATATTCATTGTGCAAGTGCCTTATGCAGTATATTGTAAGTATCCGTAATTATGTTAAAATTTGTTATAAACAATCAAGGACTCGTCTGAATTATTTTATAAATCATTTCCATGCAGTGTGAAGATGGTCGTCAACCGATGCTGATGTTTATGGAAAAACCTTCGAAGAAACTTTATCCAGAGTATTATAAAGTTATAGAAAAGCCAATAGATATGCTTACAATAGAAGCATATATTAGAGCAGAAAAATATCAGTCAGAAGAAGAAATTCTTTCAGATTTCAAGGTATAAAAATTTTATAATGGGAAAATATAACAAATTGAATTAAGATGTGTATTTTCATTAACAAATAATCTAACTTGATTATGAATATAAGTTTAGTCTGTAAAACATTTGTCTGTTTTCTTAACTTAATTTTTTTTTTTCAGTTAATGTTTCAAAATTGCCGAAAATTCAACGAAGAAGGATCGATGATTTATGAAGACGCTATTAAATTGGAAAAAATATTAAGAGATAAAGTTAAAGAACTGGGACCTCTTAATGATTCAAAACCTATCGAAAAGAAAGTACTGAGGGAACATAAGGATCATCGAGATCACAAGGATAAGGATAGTAAAAGGTATTTATGTATTCTTAATTACTTTTGTTGTAATTCCTATCCACAGAGAAGAGATTGCCTTCACCAGACTGAGAATAGACCATACCAATCTAACCTATTCACATCTCGTTAGCAAGCAGCCACCACCGAAATTCCAACACTGCAATAGCACACTTACAGTCAGTCACATTTTTTAACAATGCTCTTTTTATATAAGAAACTTAACAAGTTGAGGAATCAGGCCGCCATTATCAAACATCCTAAAAAATTACGAAGTAAAGTTAGGATTACATTTCTTAAAATTAAACAATTTGTTAAGTAAACTTTAAATCTAGTTCAGCGATAAACAAAATAGTCTGTGGTACAGACTCCTTTTATGAAATTATTAACATCCGCCTGAAACTTCGTAAATAACTTTATCTCATCATAGCCTACAAATATTTGATTTAGGAAAATTCTCAGAACTAGGGCATTTTCAATCTGGAGGTCAGGAAACTTTTTCTATTTAATTAGATAAAGTAAGATAATTTGATCACTAATTTTTACATTTTGGGAGTGTAGATTCGCCAAACGGCTCAATATTTTTGAAGGTCACCTTTTTTCTCTACTTATTTTACTCAATTTATCTTACGATTCAAGTGGAAAGAAAATGATTATTTACGAGTTTTTAGTATATAATTAAATAGACAAAGTTTACCAACCTCCAGATTGAAAACGCCCCAATTTAAAAAATTTTTGTAAATTTTTATTTACTACCAAAGACTACCATATGAAAATGCAATTCCAGTAATATGTACTGAGAAATAGAGCTATTTCCATTCCATCACTTGTCAGTGTACTTAAACTTTTTTTTTTATTTCTTATTTGGATTACTGGGGATTTAGGATTATCAGGAATTTCAACTATAGAAACCATCCTATAATTGATATTTAATTATATAAATTGAGGAAATACAGAAACTAAAATCTGTGTATTTAACTGTGTTTTTACAAATGTTCCCTGCCTTTGTGCTATATTATAGACCAACGGTTCTGAAACATTTTTTACAGCGGCCTTCTTGTCTGATTAAAAAAAAATTAGAATACCCTTATAATTAAATAAATAATTAAAATATACAGTTTAAGATGGTAATGGACATTATAATTCTTATAACAGAAATAAAAAATTGTCAATACAATTTTTTATCAATATATATATTTTTTCCCCTCTTAAAATTGAAAATAATAACTATTATGTATTGCCTACCTAGGCTGGGAAGATTTTATAGTTTGTAAGAGCAAATATAATGCTTTTTTTAAATTTATAATATTTTTCCTGTTCTGTATATCAAATATTTATTTATTTTAAATAAAATTATTTTATTTTTACAAAATAAGTGTGTTAGCTATCTCAAGATAAATTATTATATTATAATTCTGATCTGAAAATGTGATTTTCTATTGTGCTTTAAACTTTTCTAGTTCAAACTCTACCCCGAAGCCTAAAAAGGTAAATAAAAGTGTTGACAGCGTTACGCTGCACAAGATGAGAACTTTATTCCATACGATAAGGGATTTCAAGGACCAAAAAGGGAGGCAGCTGTCCCAGATATTCATCAAGCTCCCATCGAAAGTTGTAAGTAATTTCAAATAATAATAGAACTATTGATGGTATCTTATTGGATTGTGATTTATTTTTTCTTCTAGTTTAACCAGTAATAACAAACTGATATTGTAGACTATTGTTTAATTAAACTCCACTACCACATTTTTGAATCCAGCAATTTTTTTTAATTCACAATAAATAACTTATAATAGAATCATTTTAGATGTTCTACTGTTGTGAAGGATCCCAGTGTTACTCAATTAACAATTTTCCATATTTTATTAAAGTAAGAGTTTATTAGCGATTTTCATCTCTAAAATAAATTTACAATTGATCCGGAATGTACCCTTACAATAATACATTACTTTTGTTACAATATTTTACAAATAAAATGTATTATGTTTATTAGCATAAATGAACTGATAAAAAAAATATATATCAGTACTGTTTTAAAATAAAGTATTAAATCCTATTTTTATTGTTAATCTATTATGTTCTCATATTAATATTTAGGCTTCATATCTCCCCTTATTTTAATGGTTACTGCTTCTATTAAGATATTGTGAATTATATATATTTTTCCTCCTTTCAAGGAATATCCTGATTATTACGAAGTGATCAAGAAACCAATCAATTTGGAACAGATTTCTCAAAAATTAAAATCTAGTTCCTACGACGGCTTAGACGATCTTTGTAGTGACCTTATATTGATGTTCGATAATGCTTGTAAATATAACGAACCTGACTCACAGATATACAAGGTAATGACCATTATTCCCATAAGTATTAGCTTAATTGATTGATGATCATTTACAACTTAATTTTTGTTGGTAAAATATTTCTCAATTAGTAAATAATTTTATATTATAATAGTTCAATATAATAATGGTTATATGAAGAAAAAATACAAAATTGAAGCTTAACCACATTGAAACCATGGTTATGTTATTAGCTTATCCCACAGCCAATATTAACACTATAATTCTTTAACTCATTTCTATAATGAATCATTTGTTATTTATTTATTAAAATATATTTATATATTTAATAAAATATATATTTCCTCTGCGCCTTATATGCCTTGTCCTTCCAGGAGACATTAGACCTGAATTACAGCTAAACTACCATTTACAAGGGGGGAAACCTATAAGTTAAAAAAATTTAAAAGAAAGATTAATCTTTGGTGGATTTTGATTGACTCCGTGCTGAGATCAATTGGGTACTTTCATGAATTTTCATTTTGTATTCATCGGTGAAGATAAGTTTATGACAGTAAAAACGCTAAAAGTCCTGAATTTTACTGATGCATGTTTGCAAAGATAATTAGCATTAATGAAAAGTGTTGGCTACGAAGCTACATCTGGGTCTGCAAGCGCCTAGGTCATACCGTTGGATATGTTATACCTATTAGTTTATTCTTGTGTTTCCAGCTTCAAAATTTATATACAAGAAATATCTATCATTTTTTTCTTTCATCCTGTTGTCTCTAAAGATATTTAGTTTGAAATATATTTTGTTCTTCTTCCATTCGCTTGACAGGCGATGATTACTGGTCCCTGCCCTCCTCCAATAATTTTCACCAGTCTGCCCACTTTCAGGGCTCCTTTCATTCCTCCTTCAGTCCTCACATTAGCTCTCAGATGCACTGTGATTTCATTTTTTAGCCAAATATGAATCTTTTTTGATATTATAAAAATGAAATCTCTATCTTATATACATTCTTTATCATTTGAATTCTATCCTTGTTCAAATTTATGCGATTTGGTTCCATATATGTACCCTATTATTCATTAAAAAAAAATATATTTATATATTTTTTTGCATGCTCCAATAAATCAAGACAGTTAAGAAAGAACACATATGTAAACTTAATGCTCTGAATAAATGTGGAAAAAAAAAAAACTACACTTTTCTGCCTATTGAAAATACATATTTTGGATTATTTATTTGTTTCTTTTTATACATTATATGATGACAAACATCTATAAGGATTGACGAACTCTCATTAACAGTGCTATACCGATGAATTATTAAAAGGCAAAACTGAGCCTGACGCTTCAAGTGAGCTTTTAAAAATTTATACATTTTTCTTGATGTTTTGAATTTGGTGTATATTATATGATTTAAATTATAATTTGTAACGGTTACTCTTCTTTGTGGTGCAGGATGCGTTGACTTTACAAAAAGTCGTGATGCAGACTAAGCTTCAACTTCGCCAAGACGAGCAAAGTGTACCTGATGTCCAGGCAGCCGTGCAAGAGCTCCTCATGTCCCTCTTCATTTCTGTCTATAATCATCAAGATGAAGAGGGCCGTTGTTTTTCAGATTCCATGCAAGAACTTCCTGAGCATGATGAAGTTGATGGAAAAAAGTACGGACAAGATGTTTATTTTTATAATTTATAGCTTGAGAAGCACTAATTTGTTTTATTGTGTTAGATCTTCTGGAATGTTTGTTTATTTATCAGATACAAATCAAATGAAAAAAAAAACCTATAATTTTTTTTCAAAATAACTTCCAGTAGCTTCAATACATTTCTGAACTAAGTTTTATATCTCCTGGTTGGAAGTACTTTGCTTAGCTTCAGTTAATCAAAACCGATGTTAAGTATATAAAAGATAAATGATCTTATTTCCTTTCCTTATTATCCTTTATTCTTCCTTAATGTTCTGCCTTTTCACTTCCATTTTTCTGTTAAAAACTTTGGAGTAATCTTTTATCAATAACTTTCCTGAAATAACCATATTCTATTAAATCTATTACTTACTATCCTCAAACAGTTCTTAAGATTCTGTAATTCCACGACTATTAAAACCAGTCAACTCTGTCATTTTCCTCCACTTTATTTATGGCTGTCTTGTATACGATGGATTGTCTGGTGGGCATGTTAGGAGGTTAAAGAGTCTAATGAATTGTTTTATTAGTTTTATCTTAAAAGCCCTCAGGCATATCTCCAGTTGGTATGCCGAATTAAAGTGGCTTTATCCAAATTTCCTAGGCACTTACCTTTACCGATCCTTTAAAACCAAGAAGCCTCTTTACAATCCTTGTTCTTTAGTTTAAATTAAATGAAGTTCTTTAAATACGAAATCCCAATCCATTAACCTTTATATTCTCATTGTACTTCTTCATTCAAAAAATCCTTTTATCATCGGTGCTACCTTGTTCTGGTATTTCTCACCCACCTCTATATGCAAAATCTCATCTTCAAATTATTTTAACACCAACTATTTTTCCATATCCTCAACATCCAATTTTCCAAATATATGTAAAATAATGTTTTGTGATATTAGTGTTACCTATCTGTCATTCATTATTTTCAGTTATTTATTTAATCCAGACAAATGAAACTATAATTGTACATCTCCATTATTCTTAGGGAACTCAGTGTCTCTGAATAATGTTTACTTTCTTTCTTGATAACATATAAAAAGGGGTTTGTTATTAACGAAGTTCTTGTTGTTTAATTTAAATTGATATAGAGAATGCTAATATGAGATGTTATCTTATATTCTTAACTATATGTTTATTCTTAACTAATGAACAGATGTGTAAGATTTGTGATCGGTGCCCCAAGATACTCCCATGTTTCTCACCACTACGCTGAGTTAAAGTGGCTTTTCCCCTCCTTCCGAAGACAATATTTCCTAGATACGTTCCTCTACCAAATCATCATCAACCATTTTCCTTCCTTCCTTAGATCCTATACAGACTTTCCCATCCTTCACCTTAATGATCAGCCAATCTCCTTCTACTCCTCTGTTAAAAATTTAGGATTTTTCATTGATCAAAACCTCTTTTGGAATCAACATATTTCTCATATCTCTCGACGTACAATTTCCACCCTCAAACTATTCCATCGTTTCCGCCATCTCCTACCTCAACATACGCGTAGACTCCTAGTTTCCTCTCTCATTTTCCCCCACTTTGACTATAGGTGTGTGGTGTATGATGGCCTCTCTGTGGAGCTCCGTGATAGACTGAACAGACTAATGAACAGCTGCTTAAGATTTGTGATCGGGGCCCCAAGATTTTCCCATGTATCTCACCACTGCGCTGAGTTGAAGTGGCTTTTCCTCTCCTTCCGAAGACAATATTTCTTAGGTACATTCCTCTACCAAATCATCATCAACCATCGTCCTTCTTACGCCTACAACCTTCTCCAGTTCAAATCCTCAGTCCATTCCCTGTCCACAAGATCTCGACCTTCTAACCTTTACATGCCTTCTCACAGATCTGCTTCATTCCAAAATTCCTTTATTGTTCGGTCTGTCAATTTCTGGAATTCCCTCCCTATCAAAATTCGACATTCCCCATCCATATCCACATTCAAAACTCTTCTGTTCCAATTTCTATCCCAAAACCAGTCAGATAGTTGCTAACCATTCGAGCTGATTTTAATAGAGAATTTGATATATTTTTATTTTTTAATTCTTTATTATTTTCTTAAGAGTTTATACTGGTCTATCAGTGCAAATAGCTTAAGTGTCATGTCATAGTATTAATTGTTTTGTATATAGTTTCGTTTGTTTTGTATATAGAATGTTTACCTTATATTTTCTTTACATTATTTATTTTTTTCGATTGATTTTATTTTGGCCAGATGTAATCTTTTTATTTTGTTCTATTTTGTTATTCTTAAGGGACTGTGTCCCAGAATAAAATTATTTTTCTATTCTATTCTATTTTATATGTTTCATATTTATCTCATTTGCAGAGTGCGTGCGTTATCTCTGGATTTGATAAAGAGACGCTTGGACGGTGGGCAGTACAAGAGGCTGGACCAGTTTCAGGAGGATATCTTCTCCTGCCTTCAAAGGGGGAGGGCATTGTCTCGGAGTGACTCCCAGGTCTTTGAAGATTCAGTTGAACTTCAGTCTTATTTCATCAGGCAGAGGTAAAATCTGGCTCATTTACAAACTCGGTAGAAATAGAATATATATATTTGTATCTTATAAAAATATATCATTGGTTAAAAACTCCAAAAGTAATAAGGCTTAGATTCTTAAGGCGTCATAACCTAAGCAGTATCAAGTCTAGCAGTGCTATTCTAACTTGTGCTTGGGTCGGTTGAAATTTATTTTGTGGCGGATTCATGAAATGAATCTTTCCACTCTGGTTAGAATAGGTTAGTTGCCTGTAGAATAACCCTTTCTATGTGATGGCCTAGCACAGAGGTCTCCAAACTATGTCTTACGGGCCCAATCCCGACAACTCCTGGTTTCCTCCCTTGTGTTCCCCCACTTCGACCATGACCAGACAACCATGTCTGGTGTACGGCGGACTCTCGGGAGAATTAGAGGCCAGACTTAAACGCCTGATGAACTGCGCAATACGTTTTGTTTTCGGAATCTCAAGAGATACACATATAACCCAGTATTACACCAAGTTAAAGTGGCTCTATCCATGCAACCGCCATCTATACTTCCTTGCTACCTTTCTATACCAAGCCATCAGAACTGCACGACCTTCCTATATTTTTCACAGCCTACAATTTAAATATTCCATTCAATCCCGTCCCACTAGATCCCGTACTTCTGACCTCTATCCACCTCCTCATCAAACTGCTGTATTTGACAAATCCTTTATAATTCAAGCCGTCTGCCGTCTCCACCTGGAATACCATCCCTCCCGATATCCGACATGCGCAATCAGTTTCCTCATTTAAATCCCTCCTTTTTAAGCACCTACTTCTTTCCCAACCCGATTGATCATGAAAAGTAGATAAGAGAACTTTTTAAGTTACCCCATAAATGGTTTTGTTTAATTATGTTATTTTATTTTCACATGTTTGTATTGTATATATCTGTATGTATTTAGTGGTTTTGTTTTATTTTTCTTCTAATATTTTTATTTTAATGAGCATTGTAAATATTTAATTTAATTTTATGGCCACACAGGCATTTCCTCTGTATCTATAATTTGTCCTAAAGGGACAAGAGTCCCAGAATAATAAAAATCTATTTTCATTTCAATCCACAAGCACCTCCGATCTGGCTCACGAAAGTTTCTTTAATTACATGGTAAAATTTTTTAAACTATTAAAAAACCATAGAATTCAGCAAATTACTCTCATAAGAGGTTACAATATTTATTTATTTATTTATTAGTACTAGTTGGTGGTCGCACTGTGGCCCGCCGGCCAAAAAGTTTGGAGACTCCTGGTTTAAGGTTATATATGGTATCTATACATGCAGGGTGTCCTGTGAGTAAAGGGGAATATTTAAGGGAGTGTCAGGGGCTTTTAAACAGCTAAACTAAATAAGTTTTGTTTTTCATAAAACCATTGATTATTTGTGATTTTTTTGTGACACCCACCAACTCTACCTCTGTTATCCGACTTTAAAAAAAAAAAATTCTTGTTTAGTAAAATTCATATTAATTAAGTTGATTTTTGTGATAAAATAAATTGAAATTTGTCTCTTGTTATGAAAAATGATTACATTATTTCATATTTTGTCATCCCGAAGAACCTGTGTTTTGGGTGAAAATATTCATGATAATTTATTAAAAAGCTTTGATTTTTTACTTCCATTTACCTGTATATGTAATATATAGTAAGGGGAAGTATTGCGATCGTGAAAATTTTCGAATCTGAGTTTTCAATGGATATACACGTTTTGAGGTTCCCTGAGTCCAAATAACCAAGTCCTGCAAAATGGTCTGTGTGTATGTGAACAGCCTAGCTCAAAAACGAAAAGTCGTACAAAACTTAAATTGTTTTTTATATGGTTCTGATGTGGCAGCAACTTAACTTTTTTGTTAAAATCGGCTAACCAGAAGGCTAGCTAACGTTTCAACCTGAACATGTGGGTCATCCTCAGGCCTTGGTTCGAGCACTGAAGGCTCTTATTTCTCATTTCTGCTACTTATTTCTACTGAGAGGGTGGTAAGTGAAAGTTGTGTGATACACGCACCAGATTTTTTTAACTGTTTTATTCAAATGAAAATTATAAAGAAATTTATTTTATTGGACCAAACCCCTATCAACCTTTTTTTGTTAAAAACAGGCCTTGGAGTTATTCTTTCCAATACTCTTATGGAGTTTTTCTTCCAAAACCCTATTTAAGTTTTGATGTTTTTTAATTGCTACTGATAATGATCTGTGATTTTTGGAAATATGTCCTACAAATTAGGAATTTCTTAATTTATTTTTTTAAAAGTATTGGTTTTGATATTGCCATTAGAATAGAAAACATAATTTTTTCCTGTTTTCATAAAAATTGTTGATAATGATTAGGTTTCACTTTGGAAATAAATGACTCATTTATTCTAAATATTTCCATGTTGGTTTGGATTTTAATTTTTGTTTTATAGTATTTTTTTATTATAGACTTCTTCTTTTTTTTAATTTTATGTTTTGTTTGATTAGAGATGAATTGTGTCGCAATGGTGACCTTCTCCACTCTCCTGCTTTAAATTATACTCTTCTTGACCTTTCCAATGCAGTTAATGCAGAAAGGCAATTGAAGCAGGCTCAGGAACCTGAAGAGGAAGATGTGAAGCCAATTTTCATTAAGGTATTGTCAATGCCAACAACATCATTTTATAACATCATACATCTATTGTATATATTGTGCAATGATAGTTTGCTATTAATATTTTTAGGAAGAGCCAGGAGTGGCCGGTACTGCTGACAATGCTCTTTCCTACAATCAGCAAGTTTACCGAATAGGCGATTTTGTCTACGCCGAAGGGAAGGAACGTGGGATGGATCCTATCATCCTTAATATCCAAAGACTTTGGACAAATCAAGAAGGGCAGCAAATGCTCTATGGTAATCAGTATTACAGACCAAACGAAACTTACCACGTAACAACGAGGAAGTTTTTGGAAAAGGTTAGCTAGCTTCTTAATCTATTTGCATCATAGATGGGTAAAATACTCTTCATCGATTATTATTACAGTGATTTTGAATACATAATTACAATTGTAATCAGGCTTCTGATTGAGATTGCAATCAGGTAATCTTGTCACATTTTTATTATATTTATAGTGCTATTGAATCAAGTATAAAATTGGTTATTAAGTTTTATTTTCAGTTGTAATCATTGATTTTGATTTTGCCCATCTCTAATTTGAATAATTTAGAATCATAACGTATTGTCACTTTTTTTTTTTTTACTAACAAAAAGTAATAATATATGTTTAAATGGCATCTTCAATTGGATTGAATTTTTAATTTCAATGCATTCTTACATATGCAGAAAATTGATCTTTGTACCGAAAGTAACAGGTTTTGTTTTGAAAATTATCATGAAAACTAATTATCAAGTAAATTGACAGCCACACCGCAAAAGCCTGAAAGTACAATTTAATTAGAATATGCAGTTTTGAGCTTTACCGGTTAGTCTTGGCTTCAGACATATTCATAAGAACAAACTAAAAACATTATTTAGAATATTACATCTTGGTCTTAAGTATACAATAAAATTGAACAGAAAATCTACTTCTTGAAATAAGAAGTACGGCCTAAATAATAGTATAAAATAATAATATGGTCTGATGGTCTCTTATGATAATCATATTATTTGGTAACATGAATAAACTATTTGATTTAAAGTTTAGACGTACATACACAACGGCGCAACAACTCGTCACAGAGTCCAGGCCGCCTCAAGTAGCCTCCGCCAGTTGGCCTTATCCTGTGCAGCAGTTCTCCAGCCCCACAGGCCTAGAAGAGCCCTTGCATTCCCCCTCACTTTTGGCCGTCCCACTCTCCTCGTCCCTAAGATCTCTTCTATGGCCACTTTCTCCAGAATCTCGCCATTGTCCATTCTGGCTAGATGGCCAGCCTATCGAATTGTTCCCAGTTTTATGACTTTCTATATCTCATTATATAAATAACCCTTTTTCGGGGGACTAGGTTATTTACACTCGTGAATTTAATTTTCTTCAAACAAGAGCACTGGATATAGACTTTTTGAAGGTGTTTACTGTCATTGGAAATTCGGGAACCTAATTCTTTTTGTGATACTGAGTGACAAGAAATAATAAGAATATGTATATCTGAAATGTGGGACTTAGTAAACACACTTTGAATGAATTGACTCACCTGGTTTGTTATTCTTCGATTGTGAGGCATACAGGACAACTAAATAAAAGGACTTTTCACTCCTGTTTAACAAAAAAATTTATGACTGTAGGCTTGATCTTCTTAATCTTGAGTGTAGTAGGCTTCTCTTCTCAGGTAACATTCTTCCTTCTTCCTCTCCCGACAAGTGTTTTTCTTTATTCTCCCAGCATCCTTCTTCAGGAATAGTTCCCCCAACCTAGAGGGCCAGTGGTGGTCTGCGGTACTATGACTGAGCAATGGGGCCACCACTTCCCTATGCCAAAAGTTTAGACAATATTGAAAAATTGAATTCAATTGAGGAATCAAATTGAAAAATTTAATTAAAATTTTTTTTTTTTTCTTACAGGAGGTGTTCAAAACTGATCAAAATGTGGCTATACCTTTGAATCAAGTGTTGGGAAGGTGCTGTGTTCTTTCTGTGAAAGATTACTTCAGGTCAAAACCAGAAGGTGTCAGTGAAAAAGATATTTATGTCTGCGAATCACGCTACTCTTCGAGGCAGAGGGCCTTCAAAAAAATTAAGGTATATATATGAAAATATGTTTTAATTTCTTTGTTTTCTTTTAATTTAAAATAAGCTGGATTAATTTTTCTCAATAAGATGTTTTAGCACTCAACAAGACTTTATGTTTTAAGCAATGCCCTGTTTTTAAAATTTTAATTATTTTTTGAATTTACTTTAACAAATGCTTTGATGTAGAATTGGCCCCCGAGCTTGATGACTGGCTACAAGCTGGTATCGAGGGATGAGCCACTGGAACCCAAGCGTGTTGTCTCAGTATTCAGGCAAAGGGTAGAAAAGCATAAAGAAGAAATTGCAGAATTAGAAGAACAAGAAAAACTTGAAGAAAAACAAAAACCTGTAAGTATATCGATATCCTGCAGGTTCCTTATTTTTCTAGAGTTTTTTTATTTTGATAAATATTAGTACATTTTTATATAATTTAATACAATAGACATTTTGAGAATGGATATAATAAAGTTGACAGTTAAACTTATGAAAGTGGCAAATATTTAGATATCAGGGTGGCAACCGACCTGGGAAAATGGGAAAATTAAGGGAATTTCCAAAACAGGGAAAAGTTGGAGCATTTATTATACTGTTTATAGTAATAAAGAAACTAAATTACTTATGAAAAACTAAATTTTTTTTGTCTTCATTTTATTTGTGATATTTACAACTGTATTAAGAATAAAAATACATTCTGTAAATGTGGTAACACGAAATAATAATATGAAAACACTTGTTGAAAAACTACCCACTGGTTGCACTCTAAAAATGTATTTACAATAGGAGATCTCGAGGCCATCTTCTTTTCAGACATCTCAGAGGGTTATCAGGGATCGAAGAGGAAGCAATGTTAGAAACGAGAGGGTCCTAAAGTTTTTTAAAGGAAGTATAAGTATCTGGATTGGGAGAAATCGGAACCATAAGGAACATTAAGATCATTATGGATGATTTTATTAGTAACAAAGTATGAAGGATTAAGGATTGGATACATGAGGAATTCGATGGTTTAGTGGAGTCCAATAGCTCAACTCAATAAGTATAGTAGTCATTTATATGAGTTTTTTGTAATTAACTGAAAGCTTCGAGCGTTTTTCCAGTAAGTGCTGGAATAGTTGGAAACGTCGAGCGGTTTCTTGTTGTTTCAGTGTGGTATGAGGATTCCATTCCAAGTTAGACGTTTGTCCAAGTGGAGTCCAAGGTATCGGATTTGTTCAGCAGGGATAAGTGGGCTATTATTAAAGGAAGCGGTAGAACAGAAATTCATTGGTTTACGATGATGTGTGAAGGTGATTTGATGGGATTTATTGGAATTTATTTTAATCCTCCGGTTTTGACATCATTCTTTTGTTTTTTATTCAAATTATTTTGTAGTCAATTTTCTTTCATGTATAATGAATAAATTTAGATATAAATTATACATTTTTAATATTTGTGTCTCCAGACGTATTGGTCTGGGAAAACTATCATTATATAGAGGAATGTCAGGGGATTTTACTTTAACTTGAAGTAAATAATTGAATTAATCCTGGAATAAGCAATATGGTTTATTAGGCTTGCAAACATTTTGACCCAAGCATGTGGGTCATCATCATGGCTAAAAATTAAAAAAAAGAAATATCAGAAATAAGAGCTGTGGATAAAAGTATGTAAATAAGCCAAGATAAAAAGATGGAAAGTACTAATGGTAATGTTAACGTAGTAGTATGCCAAGATATTAATAAACATAGAAAAAGTACAAATAAATTTTTAAAAAAAATAAAAATAAATTAGGTGAAATTTTTATTATACAGACGTTCCGAGGGTTGCCTTTCTTGTCGGGGCTGAGCTCCAGAGGTCACGGTCAAGCCAATCCCCATCCTGAAGACCCCACCCACCCATCTCTTCCACTTCCATGTATTCTTTCTTTCATTTCCATCTTTTCCTGGGTCGTCCTCACCTCCACCTTCCCGGTGGTTGCCAATCTAGGATTCGGTTAGACCATCGCTCGGTAGACATTCGTCTTATATGACCGTACCATACTAGTCTTCCCCGTCCAATTCTCTGGTTGACGGATTTTTTAAATTATGAAAAATAATTGGAATGTAATAAGCAATATTATACAGTAAGATTTTGTGATAAAAAGAATATGAGTTAGCATGTGGAGCAAAACATGGAATCAGATTCATAAAAATAATAAATTTAAGTAGTAGCTTAACAATTAGCAATAGTTAATGGATAGTCCACTACAACAATAGACAATTATGCTTTTCCTTTTCTTCTCCCTGCTATCATTCTGTGTTATGCCCGTCGAGCATAAATATTGGCTTGATGGATGTCAGTCTATTTATATAAATCAATTAACTAATATTAATAGCTTTCCACAAGCCTTTTTCATTTTAATTATTATTAATCCTTTTATTGAAATAACTAATGGACTGTTCCTTTTTATTTTATTGCAATTGCATCTGAAACTAAACAAAAAACTGATATTTGATATTTATAGCTAGATAGCTGAATATAATGTTTTTTTATTTGTTTAGAATGTCTCAATTGGGACAGCCAACGAGGAAGGTATTACATATTTTGAACAGTTCAATGCGCCAAATTGTGTCATCAAAACAGGTGATTGCGTTTACATGAAGTCAGAATCTGTTCGTCCGTTGATGGCACAAGTTGATACTATATGGACGAACAAGGAGTAAGTATTTTGCTTTTAATGTTTTCTTTGATTTTATTATGTATAAATGATGGATGATATTTGAAACTTGTCTATAATCAGCGATCAATAAGAACCAATAGATCTGCCAAGTATGCTTTTAAATTTATAAAGTTGTCCAGAAGATATTTGATTTTTATTGAGATGAAGAGATAACTTAATTAAGTAGCAGGCATAGGCTGAGTGTGAAAAGCTGACTAAACAGAAAATTGGCAAAAACTTGGGGGGGCCTGAAGGCTTTTGCTCAATTTAGAGCTTAATTCATAAATTTGAGTTTTTTTCGTCAATCACTGTATTTATAATTCATTTGATTTAGCAAGAAAAGTATCATCATTTTATATTACTATGAATAAAGGCTTTATTTATTTCTTTATTTTTGTTTATGATTTTTTTCTAATACAGTCAATACATAAAAAACAGTGCATACTTGAGGACTACATAAGATAGTTCAATACTATATAACTGTATTTATTTGCGATATTAGCAGAGCAAGCAATAAGTGCCTTTTCTTATTATTTCAGAGGCGAAGCACTCTTCAAAGGACCATGGGTGGTTATACCATCGGAAATTCCGTATTCACCCAACCGTCTTTTTTATAAACAAGAAGTCTTCATCAGTACATTAGAAGATACACATTCCGTTAATAATATCGTCTCTAAATGCATTGTTTTAGAACATAGTGAACATATATCCTGTGAGTAGATTACTAGATTATTTTTCTATCATAACAATTGCTTCCTTATTAGCTGTTTCTATTTATTATATTTTAATCAGGTCGGCCAACTGAATTCTCTGAAAGTGATGTTTACATTTGTGAAAGTATTTATGACGAAGTGAAAAGAACTATTAGGGAGCTGCCTAGGGAGGGCTTGAAGAAATACACTCATTCCAGTGCCGTCACTCAGGACGAAATCTACTTCTTTAGGAAACTGATTACTCCTCAAAAGGTATTACTATTAGGCCTTTATGGTTTTATCCTAACCCAGCTTAAGTATGTTTTAATTTATTAACAAGTGATGGGGAAAGCAATGAATAAACAAACAAATATTATATCAACCCTTTTACAGTAATACTAAACTACACATTAATTAAAACATCAAATATAAAAACAAATATTAAGGAAATTTTCCTCAGGAAACATAATTAGTAATAATAATAATTTTTAAAAAATTAAGAATACTTCCAAATTAATTATTTGAAAAAAACATTGATGGTACAATATTTATAATAAAAAAAATAAAAACGAAAATTGAAGTAAAACGTTACGAATCATAATGTTTAAAAAAATGAAAAATGATTTTATTTAAAATTGATTTGATTTGATTTTTTGTGCTTTGGTATAGTTTTCCAAAACATAGTTTCATGTATGGCTGAAACAAGGGCATATGAAACCTTTAATCTATCATGATTTTGAAACAAAATAGTGGAGACTAATATCCAGTTCTTAATTTCTTGTATTTGTCACAAAATATATGTTCCATCTACTTATAGAAAGAATATTTATTTAAAACTTTAAATAAAATTAATTATATATATATATATATATATATATATATATATATATATTGCTTTATAAAGAAAATTAATAATAATTTTTCAATAGTACCCATTCCCTCTGTAATGTGTAGCTTATCTGGTTTGGTCTTTTGGTTGTAGTCCATTGTTGGTTCCAAGAATTGTGAAGACTAAATTATTTTAAAAGTATATTTATCCTGAAATATTACTAGTAATGTTTTTATTAGCAAAATGTTATCAACATTCTGTTTAAATGAAATAAAAAACTATTGACATTTTTCAGAGTAAATCTTTAACATGTTAATGGTTCCTAATTTTCTGATAATGTTTTGTTGGATAATAGGATTTAAAGATTAAAATCAGGTTAATGGGAATAAACTATAAACCGCTTCATTTTACTACCTTATGAAGTGGAAAGTTATTTTAATCTAAATATTCATAAATTCTATTAATACACTCTTATAATTATTATTTTTGTCTAGTTGGTTTATAAAACTTGTAATATTTTTTAAGGTATCGGCTGAAGCACTCCATTCCTCAAGTAATGTTGTAAACACACCGGGCAACCCTATGCCTTCAGCTACTCCGTATAATCAATACGAGAATTCGGTGAGTTTTTGTCTCTTTGATTAAATATATTGGTTTGATGTTTTGTTGGTATTTGTTACTGGTGCATGTTAAAATTTTCTCTTTTGTTTTTGTTTGTTTTGTTTTGATTGCAATGTCAGTTTCCTGCTGTGTATTATTATTATTTGTAATGTTCCAAACATAATATATTTCTGAATGAGAAAATTTTAAAATCAACCCTATCTAATACAACTCTTAACAATTAGGTCTAGTAAAAAAAATAAATAACTTAGGTTAGTCTAATAAACTTCATAATATAGTTCTCCATATTATCCAATTCATAATCACTCATTGAGGATGTTAAAATCTTGTAACCTCCAATATTGGATAGATTGGATTCTTGAATCATTCAACTCTGGGAGCTCACATCTGTTGGTGGATAAAATGTAATACAATATAAAATTTTACTTATTAGGCATCAGTATATAGATTTGCCCTTTCAGAGTTGAATTTTGCAAAAATTTATAGGCTTAGATCTTTTTATCTTAAAACTCTCTTATTTAAAAAATAATATCTTCCAAAAAGAAAAGAAAAAAGTGTTTTCTTGAATTTATGTTCAATTGTACACTATGTTTATAAAAAATTTGTTTTAAAATAAAGCAATTGCGGAACATGTAATTAGTAAAAATTGAATTTGATAAATAAATTTCTGTTATATCTCATAAGAGTAAAAAACCATTTACGTTTCTTGAATGTCTTATTTTGTTTTGTTATTTGTTGCTGAGGGAGTGTTCATAAAAATGGAAACTCTTGCAATAATAACTGTTACTTTGAAAAAATAAACATTAATACTGATCCATTTTATCATAACAAATAATGAACTCATTAATAATTTTTGTTTATTAAAACAATCAAGTCAGTGTCTATGAAAGACGGCCTTGACGAAAATAGTTACAGATTTCAATGTAAACACAAACTCTGCTAAGCCAAAACAACTAACTCTCTTATTTTAAATTGGCTCTGGCCCCCTACGGTTCGAGATTGCATTATATAGGGCCTAGTACATTCCATACCAATCTCTAAAATATTATGAATATTAGTTTCTTGTCTTTGTAAGGTGCTCTTTATAACCTTGCTTCTTGTAGGTTAGGTTACGAGTTGTCTTAGGCGGTCAATAACTTGGTTATTACGCTTTACTTCTTATATACCAACAAATTTCATTAACAAAAAAAAAAAAAATTTAATCTTTGTCAGTACTAAATAACAAAATAATCTAATTTATACACAATTAAGATAAACTTCATCGATTCAGTTTAAATTCATCTTCATTCTCACAATATACAAGTAATAAAAACTTTTAAAAAATACATTATGATATCTTACAAATTACAATATATGTATATATTGAACAAGTGAAAGTGTTACTGCGGGATAAACGAACGTGGTGTGTGTTGGACAGGTGGATTCCGACGTTCTGATGGAGGACTCGATGGATGCACCCCCTTCAGTCGGATCTGGTGATATTCCTCACTCGGTGATTAGTACACCATTAGCCACTAAAAAGGTAATTATAATGAAGCAGGAAATTGATTTTTATTATTTTAATTTGTTTGTTGTTATTGAACAGTTTTCATCTATACTTATTCTCTTTTTCTTTTTTTTTGTTTTTTAAATAGAACTTCTGCACTTTAGATTTTGAGAATGGTGATCTATAAAATATCCTATATAAGATTATTTTTTTTTGTTTTTATATATGGGTCATTTTAAAATTTCAATCACATTTATATAACTGAAAACAGTTAAATATTTATCTTGTAATCTATCATTTTGGAAGCACATATATCATTCATTGTTTATTAAAAATTGTAATTATATGACCCAGAAAAAAAGAAGTAAAATTCTGTTTCTTATTCCCTATTACTGTCACAACCAAGATATATGTACTAGCATAGTACGTTGTATATCTTGAACTGTTAAATGAAAAAACTCTAAAATTAGGAATATCATAAAATAATAAAAAGACTAAGCTTAATATTTAGATAAAGAAATAAACATTAAAGCATCAACTGACAGACCTAATTTAAAGAGTGTAACAGGTGTTTATTCTTTCTTCCTAGAATATTTTATAAAGTTAGATGAAATATAGCGAAAAGGGTAATTTTGCTACATTTTGAGCCCAGAGGCAACTCAGCCTTCTGATTCTCTCTCTTGTTTTTTCTTCATATCTAGATCTCTTTCTGCTTTATTATAGAAAATAGTTATTTCATTAAAAGCCTTGAAGTATTTTGTTGTAATCTTATTTTCTTGTGCGTTAGTTTTCCAAACAAAAGTAAATCACTTTTAATCAAACTTCTTACACTTAGTGAAGATTGGTAGTAATCTGTTTGAGAATATTTTGAATTAATTATTGTTTCAAATGCTGAGTATACTTTTGTGCCCATAAAAGGCTAAATCCTCACTCGTTAGAAAACTAAATATAGGAAGTAATGTTACAATCACCGGTCCAATGCCATGCAATGCCGGTCATTTCATCATTCATTTTCTGCAAATCGCAATTTAACATTCTCGAAAAAAATTAAACAAATTAGGTCAAATGTAATAATACTGAGCTATATAATTCTTTATCCTCAATTTATAAAGGAAGGAGATGGTCCGGGGTGGCGGTCATAAATAGGCTAAATAGTGGTAAAACTATTTTATTAAAAGCCAACGTTTCCACCTGACTTAGCAGGTCCTCTTCAGGGCTATAAAGGACAATATACAAACAGATAGATAATTGTGGAAGTTACATAATATTTAGACAAAAAATTATAAACAATGTGAATAAGCTTATCAAAATTATAAACAGTAAGTAAATTAAAATTTAAACAGAGTAAGCTAAGTAACAAGATCCTAAACTGAAGTAAATAGATGGCAACAATTGTTGTAGTATAATATATGCAAATGTGAATTTTTAAGTATTGTACCATCTATTTATGTATGGAATACCTCTACAGATCTACAGGAGAGATTGAAACAATGTTGGATACGGGTCGAAACGTTGGCTTTTGATAAAATAGTTTTACCACGATTTAGCCTACTTATGACCGCCACCCCTTCCTTCCTTTATAATACAACAGTCAACTATTAATTATTCAATATGACTCAATTTATAAAATTAAATAATCATTGTAATTATAATCTTTCAATAATAGGCTCCATACTGTAAGAGAAAAAAATATATATAATCTTTTAAAGATGACAAACTATGGTTATGTTGATAGTTATGTATCCACAAATAAGTAACTTCCTAAAACATCCACAAAGATTGCTTAGAAGTTGAAAAACACATTATTTATATATATTTTTTCCTCAAAAAAATTTTGCCAAATGTAATCAACAATTTTTAAATGACCCATTTTTATAAGCTGGTTATTACTATTTTTTTAAATTTATTTTTGCTTTGTTTTTTTATTTGTTAAATGGAAATGACGGATGTTTTGTTTTAAGAATTGGTGTTGATGAGAATTGTATATATTGTTATGATTTTTTAAAAGTTGTTTCTTTGGTTATTTTTACAAGTTTAAATATTAAATTAAGTTTTGTATTGTGATGATAGTGGAGCTGTATAAAAAGATCACCCCCCCCCCCCACTCTCCCCTTTAGTACCTGTTTTGTTTTTGTTTTATTTTTTGCCCCCTCCCTGGTGACCTTGGGAGCTCCAACTTCTAGAAGCCCTGGCTTTCCAGTTCTCAGTCTGTTACCTTCCTTAGATTGTTTTTGTTTATACCACCATTTTGATCCTGTAATTCAAATTTTAATTAATAAATAATTAAATAAATAAATTATTTTATCATTTCTGTTATTGTTATTGTTAACATATAAATAATTTTAAAACTTACTATAAATGTTTCCATTTATTTTTAATCTCAATTAATTTATTTACTTTCAGGGGAAAGGAACAGGTAAAAAACTAGTTACAGGTTACGTTTTATATTCTGGAGATGTGAGAAAAGCTATCGCAGCAAGCAATCCAGATTGCAACTTTGGTGAAGTGAGTCGTATCGTCGGGAATGAGGTAAGATTTACTAGATCACTATTTTTCTATGATTATATGTATATTTAAGAAACTCTGAGAGAAGTCTCTCTACATATGATATAGGGGAGACCAAGATGAAATTTGACAATTTGTTCTTTCTTAGCTAAAGAAATTAGAAAAACAATAGTGGTTATAGCCAAAACGTCAAATAAAACAACCATATCAAAAAGAAATAAAACATGGTGTAAAAATGGCCTTGATTTATGGAAAAAAAATCTTTATGGCACCATAAATAAGAAAAATTAATAGAAATTTGGAAGATTTTTTTTCAAAATAAAGAACAATAAAACTATCCTTAAAACAATGTTAAAATATCCATTAAAATAATGAGTAATCTTTTAAAATAAAATTTAATTAAAAGCTCTAATTTATTTATATTAAGTTTCCTAGACCAAAAAAACAACTTCACCACTCCAGAAAAAATTTAATTTTAGACGTTTTACCTGTCTGACCATAGCTGATTTAGTGGTGTAAAAGAGGAAATGTCCTATATATCCATGCTAAATTTAAATTAAATGTTTATTAAGGAAGCTATATTACACCACCAAACCAACTGATAATGGCTGAAATGTCTTGAAAAAAAAAAAAAAAAAATTGGATTGGTGAAGTTTTTCCGGTCTTAAGAATTACTGGTAAATCTATTGCATCCACCTTTTTTTTTACAAATATACTGCCCAATAAAGGTTTTTAATACAAAATCAAAATTTAAGTATTTGAAATAAATAAATGTAATTTTGTATCTCTTTGCCTATCCTGTTATTGTTATCTCAATAAATTAAATAAAGACAACATATTCTTCTTTGTCACCACAATCTCTCTGCCTTCCTGACTGTCAACCACTATTATTACCTGAGAGTTTCCATCAAACGAGCTCTGAGTAAATATATTTCTAGCTACCTTCCCTAAACAAGAGGGCTCTCCCACGAAGACCCTGCATTTGAACCACTAAAATTTAACGTTTTTGAGATAACTGATAGGATCATTCTTGTACTTGTTATAGTGAATCTTGATGCCACTGTCGCCATGGATTCCTAATCACATAATAGTTAAAATATAATTAATCTTTATATATTGCTAGAATAGTACCCCTGTCCAACTAACGGCAGACCATCCCCCATTTTATAAATCATACAACTGTTCATTTAATTGTACTACTTGTTGCTCAAATTGTATAACTTTAATTTACATGCATACTGTAGTTCAGATTCTGTTATTGAAAACACAGTTCAGATAAATTTTTAATTTCTCTAAAAACCAATATTATACTTCGCACGTTTTTGCCAACTTGCCCTGCTTCACATAAACCCAACATCATTTTGAGCTTTTTATTTCTAATACACTCCCTGTCAAAAGTATTGCAACACCCATAATTCTCGAGATTTTCTTGGTTTTGAACTTAATCCATACTTTGTTTATATTTATAATAATATTTTTTATTTACTATTTACCAAAAAACGGCGGAATTTTGGTTTATTCATTTAAAATTTCCATTCAGTCCATGTTTATCTTCTGTTTGCCTTAAGTCGGTTCTCTCTTTTCTCTTTAGTCTAGTTATAGCTGTTAATTTTATTCACAACGAATCGTTTAAGCCACAATGATTCGGCCAGAATCAATGCCCTCTCTGAAGAAGGCAAATCATTGCTAATCGCCTTTAGATTCACTATTCTTCCATTTCAAGGATCATAAAAAGGTACAGGGAGACTGATAGTCATTTGAGGCGACTAACGTCAGGGCGTCTCAGGATTACTAATCCCATAGATGACCACTTCATTAAAAACTTGATCACTGGTGTTCGATGGATATCAATCTTGGTGTCAATGGTCATTAGAAGATTGAGAAAGTCAAACCTCAGCTCAAGAAGTCTGTGAAAGGTCCTCTTCTCACCGCAGAACACCGTGTAAAGAGATTGAGATTTGCAAGGGAACACCAATCTTGGACTGCGGAGGAATGGAAAAAAGTTTTATTCACTAATGAGACGAGAGTGGCCCTTAACAGACCAGAAAACTGTGAAAGAGTTCGGAGAAGACCTGAAGAACGGTATAGTCAGTGCTGCACGTTAGAAACTGAGCCATTTGAGGGGAGAGGGGGTTCTATCATGTTCTGGGGTGGCATATCTTGGGAGGCACGTACCTAGTAAAGGCCAATCCTAGGAGGAGCCTTGAATGCTTCAAGGTATGTAGAAATGATTCTTCAAGATCATGTCGTGCCTTTTATGCTGTTCATAGGCTCTGCATAGTTGCCCAGGCATGATAATGCCTGTCCTCACATGACGAGATGTGTTTCTGAACACCACGAATATCCACACCATTGATTGGCGAGCAAGAAGTCCTGTCCTTAACCCAATCGAGCACGTTTGGGATTATCTTATAAGAAAGATTCAGTCACGAGATTCACTTCCTACTACACTTGAAATCCTAAAGGCAGCTGTAATGGAGGAGTGGGACAATATACTCCAAGATTTTCTTCACAATCTTTTTACAAGAAGAGTGGAAGCAGTCATGCCAGCCAGAGGGGGCAATACGTCTTGTAATTTAAAAGTTAAAATTTTAAAAAAGGAAAATTTTAAAAAGTAAGTTTTCTAACTTTTTTGTTTAATGGAAGAAATATTGTAATTTATTTTAATAAAACTTGTTTTTCCTATTTAAAAATCTTTATTATAGAATTCAGAACCTTTCATTATTAATTTTAAAAACCGACTTTTTTGTTAGATTAAAATATTTCAAAGTTTTGCGATACTTTTGACGGTGAGTTTATTTTCATTGTACGTTATATTGTGCTTCCTTTTCTTTTTCATAATAATTATAATTATATCACATAATAATTAATATTTTGTATTCATGGGGAAAATGTCTAGATTGAAAAATAACTGCTGTCACCTAGATAAAATCAATTTACTACCTCCAGATGAATGCTATTTTCCATACAAATTTTTGTTCTGAAATCTTTATTTTGTATTAGAAGAACAGGAGATAACAGGAACTCAACAGATATGTAATTAAACAAACAGATGTATGATTAATTAGTGCTAATTATAGAGCTAAAGGAGAGCTCCGGTTATCTTTTACTGTGCTAATATTAAAATAAAATATGAGTCACTAAAATTTTTTTATATAATAGAGATTTCTCAAAGGTGTGTTCTTGTTTTTTATACACTATATCTTTGTTAATTCTTCAGCAAATCTAATGATTAAGCACCCATTTTGAAGATTTTTTCCTCCTTCATTCAAGAAAAATAGTCTTATCCTTCCTGTGTTTCAGGAAAAAGTTATGAAGAATCTTAGTTTTTGAATAAATAAATAAAACAAACATTTTATTGTTGATTGCACCCATGATCTGATTATCTGAAATATCACTAAATTTCCCATAAAAATAAAAAAAAAATAAAAAATCGAAATTAAACCATTATTAACAAAGATACAGCTTATTGAAATTTCAAAGCATGTTGATTTAAAACAAGGATAAAATTTTAAAACTAATTTTCATTGCCTTGGTCGATTACAATTACTGAGAAAATAAGAATTGATTTTTCCATTTTATGATACGATATATTATTTTATTCCCTTATTATTCTTCACACGTTCATTGATCAATATACTATACAAATTAGTCACACTGATCGACTAGTCTAATAATAATTAAATTATAGCTATAATGAATATATTTTAACTATTAATAATTATAATATTTGTTTTTATTAGTGGCGAAAGCTGGGGGCTAGTGAAAAAGCTGCTTGGGAAGAGAGAGCAGCTAGAATCAATGAAGAGACAATGAGTAAAGGGGCCGCAGAAGACCCAGCTTCACCCGCGCCACCTCCTCAGTTGGAAACTGTTTTCGAGTGTCAGTGGGAGAATTGTGATTGGCAGTTCGAAGATTTGTCGGATGCGATAGACCATGCTGTTGGCGATACTACAGGGCATATTTTTCAGTATTTTGCAACATTGCAAGCATCCATACCTACCCCACAAGGTATATTTTACTGATATTATAGTTTACAACAAAACTTCATAATAAAATTATAAAGATATAGTTTTTTTTTTTAATTTACCTGTATGTATTTTTACTTTTATACGTTGTTTTAGATATTGAATATCAGTGTCAATGGAGGGGATGCACTCGCACACGTAAGACCATTCCACCTTTTCCCAGTGTTCAAAGGCTCGCACGCCATGTAAGAGAAGTTCACCTTCTCAAGAGCACTGGTAGGACTATCAATGTAGAACAGAGGAGCAAGTACGTTTCATTTAATATAATATAAATTAAGTTATTTTTCATTAACGATAAGTTGGTTATGGTTTTCAATCGATGAAAGTATTATGTAAAAATTAATTAATTATTATTGCCAAATTCCTAGAGACCAAAAAGTATAGATGCTTCCTTGAAGTATATGTAAAGTATGTATGTATCCTACATAGATACATAAAGCTCAGTGAGATTTGTAGATAAATATGTTAACTTTTTTTGGGGGGGGGTCCTTCCCTTCCTCGCCGTTAAGGCTATACGGGGTTTTCCCGGGCCAGGGGTTGTGGGTGGGAATTTAAAAGACTCCCTCGGCACCGGGACGCGAACTCGTAACTATTTCTATATCATTTGTCTAGATATCAGGTTGCCGGGCAACGGCGGTGCAGTCGGCTACCCCGCCGACCAGATATGTTAACCTATTGTACGAAAGTAAAAGAGGTTTTGATGTGATAGATTTACAAGGCTGAGACTGGTGGTGTTTGGGGAGGAACGAATGGATCTCCCCAGTAGCTATGAGTCGGTCAATCCAACCAGCCTACTTAGATACACGGAAGCGACAAGATTAACGTTTTAATTAAAAATGACTAACTAAAATTGGCGCACAATGGACCCATTAGGGGCCGACATGCTCAGGGCCAACACTAACAACAATCAGAATCAAGATCTTATAGAACACAAATAGAAAAAGAGGATATCTATAAAATACGCATTCCATATCTGCAGGAGAAACATAGAGAGGAATTTAGTGAAATAGAATGCTCGGTTCGTGGACTTTGGTTCGGGAGTAGAGGAGCGATTCCACTTTCAACTTTCAACTGCTGAATTTTTGGAACATCTGGACGTAGAGAAGAGCCATCTGCAGAGTATGGTGGCATCAATTGTTTTGGATTCGTTAGGAATCCTGCACCATCACATGTATCAATTCTGGTCAGTTCGTTTTAAGCTCTACGGACAGTCGTGAGAAGGAAGAAAATGAGAAAATTAAAACAACTTTGTAGTACAAAAAAGTACTTTGTATGATAGTCCTGCAAAACTATATCCTTTTTTGTCCTCTCTCATTAAACATTATCGATTAGGACTGATCGGTATGCTGGGTTTTGTAGCAACTCAACATAGTTGAGCAGCTGTTCAGTTTTATTGTACTTTTCTCTTCCTTTGTGCTGACTTTTTAGCCTAAGTTTCTTAGGGCTAAGTAAAGATAAGATATAAATATTTATAAAATAGTAGACAATAAAAATAATATGTAAGCAAAATAGTATAGTAGGTAGTTAACAGTAATAAATATGTGGCCAACTTAACATTAAGAAATATGTGGAATGCCTTTATTTATTAAAGTTAAGTTGTCCACTTATTTATTAATGTTAACTACTTTCATATTTATTTATTTTTGTTTGTACTGTTATTCTTAAGGGGCATAGTCACAGAATAAATTTGATTTTTCTATTTTTTAATATACTATGTTACCTACATATTATTATTATTATTATTAATGTCTCCTATTTTCTCAATATTTATGTTATCTTGTCTTTGCTTAGCCCCGATGAAAGCCTGAAGTGTTGGTGTAAAAGAAATATATATATATATAATTTAATAATTTGCACTTTGTACTTTCATGGACTGAAAACCCCAACCAACTTCTCTTCAATATAGAATCTACAATCAATAAAAGCTATCATAGTTTTTATTTATATGAAGTTCTGTTAATTGTTTATTTTTAATCAATTTATTATGACTGTTTTTTTTACAGTACACAGCTTTAATTTTTTTTTTCTTCTCCACTTATTTAACATATAAATAACATGTATTATTACTGTTCATGTAATACATATTATATGAAATGATTTTTTTTTTTCTTCAAATTATTAGTAACTAAAAATCATAAGGCTAACACATAACTATTTCCAGAATATTATCATTTAGCTTTGAATTCACTTATTTATTTGACATTCAACATGTAATATCCAAGTCTGAAAAATATTTTTTTTTAAATTTAATAATTATTATTTATACATTAACCAATAAACATCATTACTTGTAATTTTATTTGATCTAGATCATTGGTAGTCTATCATCGCAAAAATAATGATGCCCTAACCTGGATCTAGTTATTTCTTATCAAATTATTCCTTTAGGTTATTGTTGGAATATTCCAAACCTAAATGCTATTGGTCTCTTGAATCACAGTGAACAACTCACTCTTCTACGTTTTAGATTTTGTTTTTTAATTAGGCTCATCACGTTACTGAATCCCAAGCCTCTTATACAATTATAATATAACTGGTACTTGCATCAAGTCTAAATGATATAAGAAAAAATTCAGACTAAACAAGTAGGACATGTTGTATACTTGTATTATAATAGAAATATACAACATATATTTCTTGTTGACGCCTGAATTCAGTCATTTGACTACTATATTATGCGTGAATAGGTGAAATCATTCACTCCTTTCAACAACACCGTATCTCAAAAAACTCTGATTTTTTTCATGAAAGCTTTGATGACATTGTGCAAAAATGTTTCTGAAGTGGTATTTTGGAATTGGAACTGAAGGATACTAAAAACTGGAAAGAGGGTGCTGAAAATTGATGCATACAGATATTTTTATGTTTTGCTACAACAAAATAAATGAAAGACAATATTTTAGATATATATTTTGAATTTAGAGATCTTTATTTACTTAACAGAATCAAAACTGTTTAACAAAATACTAATAAGATTGAATATGAGACAAAAAACTTTTTAAAGTTTCCTTAAGGGAGCTGAAAACTGAGGATTTTAACCTATACACAAATATAGTGAGTCTGACGAACCTGGAAAAAGAAAGTTAATTCCATAAAAAGGTTTTAGTATAAATCCTGATATAGATGTTAGAGATACAAGATTTCATTCCCTATAAGTTGACTAAAGATTTGGATTGTAGGAAGGGTACTGGTACAAGTAAGATCCGGGATAATATTGTCTGTGAGTGGAGGAAAAGAGCCATTCTAACTGCTTTTAAGAACAAGACATTAGGGATGGGATATCGATGTTTTTTCCTAACGATCAGATTCATAAATAATTTTTAATTTAAAATATCGGAAGGAAAATGTTGAAATTTTGATAATATCGACCATTGATGGCCATCCCTACAACATGGTCACATGGAAGTACTAACGATCAATTTTAAAAACAGTTTAACTATCCACTATTACATTGACTGCCACGTTGCAACTTAAAATTGTTGGTCAGACAAAATAAACCATGTATTTCTTATTTTCCATTCAAATTACATGCTAATAATGACAAAGGTCTAATGTTTTAAATAAAGTTTTTGGTTTGTATTTCTGAATATGCATAAGGCCAAGATGGATAGGAAAGATGGATTAAAAAATGCTTTTAAAACGTCATAAAATTGTACTTACAGGCTTTTGCAGCATGACTGTTGATATACTACAAGGTTTTCTGAAAAAAGAATAACTAAAAATATATTGATATATAATGTCGAACAAATTGAGTAAAATGTTAAGTGATAGGTTATTTACTACTATCTGAGAGGCGGAGGTTTCAGTTTGGAATCTTCTGATAAGAAGCTTTTTTTCTAAATTTTATTATCCATTTTAGGAAAGGATATATTTTAATGTTATCCGTTCATTTTATATGTGTAAACAAAATTATATTTTTATTACAGCCATATGAAAGTGTATTATTAATTTATTTCATTGTATTATATTAGTATTAAATAATGATCTGGTGTCTCGGTTATTTTATGTGAAAGATATTTTCAGGAACTTTGTAGCGAAAGTGAAGCCCCCTCCGCCCCCGGTCAACACATCTCTATCTGACGCAATTACCGGTTTGTTTTAGATGATTCATTCTATTCTAATTCTATTAATTGCCTATTCCCTATTGCTCTGTATTGTGTAGCATGGCTATCCGCTATCGGCAGGATGCTGGATGTATTTAGTTTTTCTAAACAATAATAATAATTATAATTGTAGGCATGGCTTTTCGATTTTTTTATTATTTTGTTTTTGTAATTGGTTTGTTTCATTTACTGTTTTTTCTTTCTTCCTCTACCCCACTCCATTTAATTTTGTTATAATTTAACTGCTTTATTTTTCTCATAAGATCATTTTTGATGGTAATTTTTTTTTTTTTTTTTTTTTTTTTTTTTTTTTTTTTAATTCCAATTCCATATAATAACTAATTTTATTTTAAAGTTTAGTAACCCCTTATGTAAATTCAACACGTTTCTTCAATTTAAATACCTATTTTAATTATTTTTATCAATATTGAACTTGAGTGCAGTTTTATAAAGAAACAGAAAATTTTGTTAGAAAAATATATATATATTTAAAATATTAACATTATATCATATTATTGTTACTACTAAAAATTTTCGTGTAATCCCTTTCATTTTCTTTTGCTGTGATTTGTTGCCGGAGCAATGTTGCTAAATGCTTATGTATCGCCTTTGTCCGCTGTTATACACAAGTCCATCTGAATAGTTAGGAAAAAAAATAGTTTTCTTCTCATTTCCTTGACGAAAAAATCTTTTATCTAATCCAATGCTCTGTTCAAGTGCGCCTAATGTATAACAATATTTTATTTGTATAATTCTTATTTGGTTGCAATTATCAGTAGTTGTGGGCAGTTTAATTACATTAAGTTCCCTTATAAAAAGATGAATTGTATGCTTTTACAATGAATATTATACTATTTTCTCCAAAAACCTACCAGTCCTCTAAGCTGATCTTCTCTCCTCTTTTGATATTTTATGGTCTCTACAGGAAGTGATTGTTAGTTCTTATACTTATTCTGATATTACAGCCTATTCAAGATTTAATAATGTGGAAAGATAATACTAATAATGATCTTCATAATTTATTCTTCATATTTTTTTTATTTTATTACTTTCAATGATGATCCTTTGTAATGGACTAAAAAAATCCCTTTTCATAATTTGAGGTTTTCTTTTAATGTTTTAAGTCAATTAGAATCCACATATCTACTATAAAAAAAAAAAAACTGTCTGTCCTCACTTTGTTTCTGAGATTACTGGTTTAATTGTTTTGAGATTTGATGAAAAAGTTAAAGGTCACTAAAGGGTGATCCTCGGAACTATATTACCATCTGCCCTTTCATTTCAAAATGGTGTCCAAAAAAACGTTTTAGTACTTGAAAACTTTCCATTCATGCGTTCACTCCATTTGGGTAAGATGGTAAAACACTTAAGCCTACGATATCTTAAAGACAAGACCTGCACAATTCAGCCATGATGGTAGTTGCGTTGTATAGGGCGCCCAGTCCTCGCTTCTCTCTCTTTATCTTTGACTTATAATTTCTTATTCAGTTTCCTGTGGTCATTTATTTAATAATTGTTCTGTAAAGAAGATAAAAATAGTTCTCATCAATTTTTCACTTTTTTTTGTGTGCTTCATTACTAATAGCGAAAATATTTTACCCAATGAGATTGAACTTACTCTCGGATTTTATTAACTAATTCTTATAAATTTTCTGTAAGTATAAATGTATTATTTATTATAGCTGTTGTGGCTGGTTGGTATAATTTAGAATTTGTTTAATGCTAGAATGTTGGAAGGTAGTTTTGTTTATTTTGGATGGATTTGTGTAGGCACTATATGCCATCCCGAAAGGCAGCGATGAAGGTGGTATCAGCTAGCCCGATGCCCGGTGTCACATTGCATGTTTCTTGTAAGTAACTTGTAACAGCAACTTCTAGTTCTCTTTTAGTTTACATTTGCATGTCTACTCTACTCTAAACAATATTTAGATATAGCATTTTAGTGGCTTATTGCATGTGTAATTTTGAATTATATTTTAATCAGTTAAAATATTCACATTGTAAATTACTTTTTTGTTAGATTATTAATTGTGTATATATATTTGTTTCTTTCATATGGATCTAATAACTTAGTGTTGCAGAATTTCATTTAATTAAAAACAAGATGTATTTATTTGCACAGACTCATTTGAAACATTTTCTGTTTACTGATTAAATAGTTTTTAAGACTAAAATTTTGAATACTTGATCTTAATGTATAAATAAAAGAATAATTGCTGCAGATTAAATTATTCGTTTATCATGTTTGTAGGACAAAAAATAAGTCACTTTAATAAAACAAATTAAATATAATAAAATTAATTAAGTATAAATCAGAATAAGAGACAGTGACTTTTTTTTCTCTCCCCTTTTAGGTTATGCGAGGTTTTTCTAAGGCCAGGGCATTAATTAATGCCAGAGTTAAAAGTTCCTCCGGCACCAGGATGCGAACTCATAATTATTTTATCATCATATATCTTCAATTTGTCAGGTTGCCCGGGTAACACGGTTTTTGCACATGCATTAGGCCGCTCGGCCACCCCGCCCTCTGGAGTTAATGACATAGAAGTACATTCTTTCCTATGCCACAGTGAATCTCTTCCCCTAGATCAGGAGTATCTATGACCTACAGACCACTTTGAAACTTCCCTTAAGTTTCACTGGCCACATTGGGACCTCCATTAACTCCCACGGATCACGTCTTGTGATCGAAATAAAAAATTGTTTTATAAATGACATGTAAGTAGTGAATTGAGCTTTCTAAGAGATACAATTCATTTAATATAAGCTGTAGTAACTTTGTGTTTGAGTGATTCATTAAATTTCATATTTTTCTAATCATTTTTAAAAATGTAACCATGTAATCACAGAAACTTCCATAAGCCTGATTGGAGGTTAAAGGTGTTAAAGAAAAAGATTCAATGCTAGATTAAAATAAATTTTGCTCAAGGCCACCCATCTCTTATTCTGACTTCTACTTTAATTGATATATTTGAAACTGAATAAACGCATATATATATTTGCGATAGTAATGAGTAATTTTTCTTGCTATTAATATCTTCTGAAAATTAGTCATCCTAGGAATAAAGATCCTTCAAACTTCACTTTTGAATAATTTCATATTTTACTCATGTTCGTCATCATTGTACTTGATTAAATTTAATATTCGATGGTGATGGAATGTGGAATGATTGAATCACAGAATTTTTCATTTCCTTTAGCTCTTAGGAGATCCTGATATAGTTTTACAGGTCCGTCTTGTGCAAATTTGTCTAAATAGTCAACACCTTTTTAACCCACAATTTCCTTTCACTTACCTGAGCCTTACAATTTAACATCCTGCAGATCCTGGATTAAGTAATATGAAGTTCTTTCATCTATTAAACATGACAAATGTATTCACCGATCATACAAAATTTGAACTGAAGATCTTTCTTTCATAAGGCTGACCGTCCACGGAAAGCGGAGCTGAGCTGAGCCTAGCAAGAGGAAGTGGGCAAACGATTGCGTAGTTCAGCTCAGTTGTCAGAAACTAGCCTTGCATTGGTATTCTTCTCTTATTCCACATAACATTTAAATATATATATATATATATATATATATATATATATATATATATATATAGCATATGCATCGCATATGCATCATTTTGAAAAAATAAGAAAGTTGATCATGTTTGAGTTGAAAAGAAAAATTAAATATTTTCCTTTAGACATTAGATTTAGAATTCTTTTACATCCATTGGATATTTTACACTGAACCAAAATAAAATAATTTGAGAAGTTGTGCAATGAAAACAAGCGGAAAGAAAGGATGATAATGAGGAACAAAGCCACACAGTTGTGTGACGTGTGGTGAGGGAAGCTTTCAAAACTGAAAATTGTTCAGGCCAGAGCTGAGCTGATCCCTGCTACAACGCTCAACTGTGCTCAGCTCAGCTCAGCTTCTGGTGGCCAGCCTGTCATTAAAAACCTTTGATTCGGTTTTGGAAGCTGACTCAGCTCAGCTGCACTTCTGGGGCCGGTCAGTCTAAAAAAATACCTATTGTTGTTTTTCTGCTTATTATATCATTATCAGCCTTGATAATTAAGAATGATTATAAACATGAATTAAAGTGAAACACAATGCAATCTCAGTAATCCGAACACTCCAATAATAAGATACAGAAAGTCAAAAACAAAATTTCTAACGAAAGATGCTTAATACAAACTCGTCCTGTTATTTTCAAAGAATCACTTATCTTCTATAAAAAATATAATGATAGTAAAACATGATGATGATGCAGCATCTTCTTTCAAACACCGTATTCTAATACAGAGAACAATATACTGAGTCAACTTATCCTCCTACAACTTCTAAAAACGGTTTTAAGTAGTCATGTTTCTGGATCTAAGCTTTGATCTAGAAATTGCAGTTTAGTACTTTGGATTTCATGTTTAATTTGAGATGAATTAAACTTAAATTTAATTTTTTTTAGGGGGGGGGGGATGATGTCATTGCCCGGGGGTGCCAAATGTCTAATTCTCTGGCATTGAAAATGCTCTCTTCCTTATCACTTCAATCAATTTTAAAACTTGGTTATGGATCCATCCCGACAGTTTTACTATTAAAAGAATAAAATTAATCGCAGTCACACTAACAATAACACAGCATCTTTTGAACAATTTGAAAGCTGAAGAAGAAAGCCTCAAGAGAAAAAGCATTAAGGAGGGTCCTCTAGAGGTCTAAACAACCGTAAATAACAGAGTTCGTTAAAAATAATTTTTTTTATACATATAAATTTCATGTTTTCGAATTGAGTAAATACGTATTTATCCAGATAATAAAGTCGTCGTGCCTATTTCAGTTGAAATATGTTATTTTTTGTATTTTTTCTTAAAACTCTCTGTAGCAATTCGTTTGTATTATTGAGATTGTTTTATAAATCCAATATCTTTTGAATATTTTGATAAATCCGGAAGAATTATAGAGAATTGGGACTTTGTTTTCACGGGTGTTAAGAAACATATTAGGAAAATTAACCATTTATAATAAATTTATATATATAAATGAGATTTATGGGTTAATTTTATTATTTCAGCTGCTGTCACTGGATTATCTGTTAACCATACCAGGAGCACACCTTCCCCACTCTCACAAAATGGAGGTATGACTTTTAACAATTTTATCGTTGTAAATACTTTTTGATTATTACAGTTTCTTTTATGGTAATTTCCTTTTTTAGGGTCGATAACTGGAACAAATGGCAGGATTTCTGAGCCTTTGTTCGTCACTGTTCCTCCAAGGACTCAGCGTCTTCTCCATTCTGAAGCGTATATCAAGTAAGTATCTAAATAAAAATAATATGATACTTTCTTACCATCATTGAAACTAAAACAATGTTTCTGTTTTATTTCTAGGTATATTGAAGGATTGACTCCAGACAACCGAAATATTAGTAACTGGGAAAAACAACTGAGGGCAAGCGAGTCAGCTATCGAACCTGCGGACGCAAGCAGGCTGCCTATTCATTGGCTTAATAACAGAAATGGAAACCATGGAAATATTTTGAATGCACTGTGGACATTACGTGATTTTATGTTTAGGGACGCACTAGGAATATCTAAACATTTATAAGAAAGGAAACAATTGTATTATTAATTAGTGAAAGTGTTATTTTAATTAAAGATATTACGGCATTCTAGATTAACTATTTTAATTTTATTATTTAAATAGATCTCTGGGGAGAAAAAAACTTTTTTTGTATAACTTTTTATTTAAATTTTTGTATCTATTTCTCGTAACGTAGTCTCTTTGTGAATTGGTGTAGATATCGACTCAATAGGAAAATAAAATTGTTTATTTATAGGAAGTCACTGGATATTTTAAAAGTTGATTTGAAGATTTTTGTTTATGAGCACGGCGTGATGATGACCTAGTTTAATATTATTATTATTATTATTGAAATAGGTTATGTTTGATCTGAAAAGAATGCTGCCTTGTTTATATTATGACACTATGGTCAGCCTTATCCTCCGCACCCAAATGTTAAATTAAAAATGTATCAATTGTAACTTGTAAATTATTGTCATTTATCTTTAGGAAAAAGACCTCATGTACAAATTTTAAATGTTATGTATTTACGAACTGCTTAAGTAATAATTAATTAGTAGGAAATAGGTAAATTAATAAATACCTTTTTACCAATTGCTAGATTTTTATTTAGTACCATACAGCTCGTTAATGATAAAGGTTTTATAACAATCATCTTTTGTATGTAATTCTATAAGAGCCAAGTCTGGTTAGTTTGCTGCATGCACTAATGCTTCTTCACTGGTTTTGCTGTGTGTAGTTATGCATGATCATGAAGTAAAATCACTTTACTGTCTTTTTTTTATATTCTGATCATTTTTCTTGTATTACTCTATTCAAATCAATCATTTGTTGTCAATAGCATTCAGTAGTGATCTTCCTCATTGTTCATTTCTCACACAAAAATCACTAATTTTAAATTTCTTAAATCGCTCATAGCACTGTGATTTTCAAAGAGATCACAAGATTACTGCAAGGTTCAGCGAGCATTTGATTTGGTTTTGTAGCAGTTTTGTTTAAATGGTAAAGAAATTAAATTCAGTCCAGCAATCATAGTTTGTAGGCACAAAAGTCGGTATGTTCAGCACTACTGTTATTTGAAACTTGAATCGTTATGAATTGAAAATTTGCTACTGTCGAAGAAACAAAATTTTACCAATAATACAATACAACAGTAACTACATTAAAAACTAGAGCCATCTATGGAAGAATTCTAGCTTTCATATTTACACACCTAGTAGATATATACTATTTTTTAATTTATGTATGATGTCAGTTTAAAAGTTAGAGTTTAATTATTCTATGGCACACCATCAGAATATATTTTAACCTTCCCACTCTAACTAAATGCTGTTAGAAGTAATCAATTATGTTCAGAAGTAGCTGATTGATAGTCCAGTACACTGTTGTATAGATAGATCTTTAATATTATATTGTCGTATACATGGATATTTAAGTATACTGTCGTCCTTCCTCACCCACATGTGGTCCACGCTGCTTTTCTTCCAATTGCTAGTATTAGTTAACAACTTAAAGGAGACCCCTTTTATTACATTTGTAACCTTTTTTTATTGAAATAACCAACTTACAAATTAGTCCCTTAAAAAATTAAATCAAATCAAATTTTTTTCAAGAAAATGGAAGATGGTATATTCAACAAGTTTTGAGCTACTTGAGTAATTTTGTAATCTAGGCCTTGTCCACAAGGATCTCTTAAGTTGCTTGCCAATACAATGCTTAGGTTATCATGTATTTATACCTCTGCAGCGCTCCAACTCTTTGTAGATAAAGTTCTCTCATTTGCTCAGAAAAATCAGCAAGAAAAATGTTTTTGTTTTTTTAATTTTTATAAGCTATTTCCATTTAATAATATAGAACACTTCATTACAATATCTGGATAGATAGAAACCTCTATATATATATATATATATATATATTTTTTTTTTTTAGAATATATAGAGCCATTAAAAAACAAAATAATTTTAAGGTTTACTATCTTAAGTTATTTATATTGCAATGAGACTAATTATTGAAGAATTCCGTGTTAATCTTAAATATATTCTTTAGTTATTTTTTTTTAGATAGCTATAGGTTTCAGATAAGAAAACTGTTTCTATGAAACCTTTTCTCTTATAACTAACTACAACATTGACATTTGTAATGTTGAAATATATAAAAACAAATAACTTTTAAAATTAATGAACTTATTACAAGGTTTTTCTTTACTTATAAATAAGATTGTTTTGCATTTCTTATTAACATTGATTACACTTAAAAGTTTCCATTTGCCTTAACTTCAGTCATTTCTAAAACAATAATGATAATTAATTAATCAAAGCAAAGTTTAGAGGGTCTTCACAATAAGTAGAAAAGTAGGGGATCAGAATATTGATATATGATATAAACTTATTACAAAAATAGTTTTATTAAATTTTTAAAAAAATCACATAAGTTTTTTTAGGCTGTTGAAAATCCCTTCGCTTTATCTTCATCGTTGGTTTGATAGCAATTTCTTGATTGATAATTACATTGGCTGGAGATATCTACCAATAAATTAAATTGATCCAATCAAATATTTTCATTGCCAGATGCGACATCACAAGTTTAAGAAAAAAATTTGAAAAATAGGTGAACATTTTAAAATTAATTAGATTAGTAGTTTTGCTTCTCTACAATTTTTTTTTTTTCTGTTTCACACTATCCTTAGGTACTTAAATTGTTAAAATTTATAATTATATCAAAATTAGGTAATTATAACAATCAAAGGTTAATTAAGAAAATGTAATTAAGGTCAATCAATAGTTCAGGAAGTGAAAAACATGAAAAAAAATCAAATCATAGAGGCGTCACCTACAGAAATACTTGTGGAAGTGAATCGGCTTAAAAGTCACGTCAATGAAGATGTGAAAAACAAATCAGCTCTTGACAAATACACGAAGTTAAATTTTGAATTAAATGAAAGTGGGGTCCAAACTCAACACATAATGATTAAGAGGCTCAGCTAAGTGGAGGAATAAAAAACATCGAGGAACTCTGAAGCAACACCTGGATTCATATCTATGTGAATTTTTGTGGAAGCTGGTCCACGTAGAAGAGGACCCCTTTTTCGATATTTTTAATAACATTAAGCTCTTTTGTCTTCCAAAATAAATAAAAGTGTTTTATTATTATTACATTTCTTTTTGTCTATTTCAATTTCCAAAAATATGAATAAAAATGTACGTATTGTCAGTATCAAAATTATCAGTGTGAAGGTTATAAATAATGGCAGACCAGCTAAATCACAAGTACCTAATATTATTTCAGACAACTTTTATAACAATGTTTACAAAAAACATTGTAAATGATGATGGACCAAGAGCCCAAAACAAATAGAGCATAAAAAATAAAATAATTATATAATAAATGGAAGAGGTACTTTAATTTAAAAAATCCACTACAAAAATAAAGTATAGATATTGGCAGAATACAGTTATATGAATGAAAAAATATCAGAAGCACATTTCAAATTTTATAAACTGAATAAATCTGCAATGTCGCAATCTGACCCGGTCTGGACCAAATGTTAAAGCTAGAAATTTAATCCAGACATATTTAAATCCCAAATGTGACATCAAAACCAATCAAGTTCATGGAAGAAAATACATTTAATAAATTTCACTGCTATGAATAAAAATAAAATTTTTCTATCACCGAATGATATTAACTTAATGTATTTTATAGAGGAATGACATTTCAAATAGAAATTTATATTGTTAAAAATGTGGCTCTCCCAATGATCAGTCACTCGGGACTCTTGGTTTTTTCAAACCTTTGAAAATAAGTCTATTAACAATACTCAGATGATATTAAAGCAATTTCCTTAAGTGTTTGAAGAATCATTGGCTACTTTTAACGAATACTAAATCTTAAAACTTAACCCTGACATTATTCCAAAGTTTTTAAGAGCCCAATCATTACTTCTAGCATTAAAAGAAAAGGTAGAAATAGAATTAATACACCTTTCAGACGTGAGAATCGTGGAGAAGATAGATCATATCGAATGGGCAACTCCTATTGTACCAGTACTGAAAACAGATGTGGAAGTCAGGATGTGTGGCGAATACCACATAACTAAACTCCCCGTCAAAAGTATCGCAACACTGAAATATTTGAATTTTACAAAAACCTCTGTTTTTTTATAATAAACATTTTTAAACTGGACATAAAAAAGTTTTATTAGAATAAATTGCAATATTTCTTCCAATAAACAAAAAAGTTAGAAAATTACTTTTTAAAATTTTCCTTTTTTACAATTTTAACTTTAAAATTACAATTTAAATTTTTAATTTACGTTTAATAAGACACATTGCTCCCTCTGGCTTAAATGACTGCTTCCATACATCTTAGCATACTTATAAAAAGATTTTGAAGAAAATCTTGGGGTGTATTTTCCCACTCCTCCAATACAGCTAGCTGCCTTTAGGATTTCAAGGGTAGTAGGAGGTGGAATCTCGTGACCTAATCTTTATTATGAGATAATCGCAAACGTGCTCGATTGGGTTAAGGTCAGGATTTATTGCTGGCCAATCAATGGTCTGGATATTTTTGGTGCTCAAGTACTCAAAAACACATCTTGCCTTGAGAGGACAGGCAGATAGAGAATGAAATCAAGTGTTCAGAAGAGAATTCACGAAATTAAAGGTTAGGCTAGCAATGGCCCCCAGAGCATAGAGGATATATATATATATATATATATATATATATATATATATATATATATATATATATATATATATATATATATATATATATATATATATAAAATCAATGTGAGAAATCTGGGGCCACTTGAAACAGGGATTGAGCAGAAACGTTTAGTGGACCAAGAAGGAGCTCATAGCTATCACATTGAGGAAACGAGGTCGTTGAGCTAGTTGTTAGGGAGTGACAAGGTCAGCAGGCTATTGGTGGATTTACCATGGAGTTATACTAAATTAAGATAATGAGTGAGGGAAAGAGTTCTGGACAAAGTCAACACAAGGAGGTTTACAATAAAAAATGTTTCATCAGAAGGCGCTTACTTCTCAGGATCACACTTCATCAGGAGACAGAAGAGGCTACAAGACCGGGATGAAACGGAAAAACCTAGGCCGATGACTCCTGCAATGCTTTGAGGCATTACACGAGGCCAAAGAGGAATTTAGAGAAAAGAGTAGAGCCATGAAGACAAAGGAGAATCATCTCCGAGGCATGAGACAGTATATTGATCTCTGGAACTAGTGAATTAAACCAATGAGAGATATATTTAAGATCAAAACAAGAAGGTGGAAAGAATATTAAGTTGAAGAATCTAACATAACAAACAGAAAAACAAGGACAAAAATGTTATATTGCATGAAATATTCTTCTGGAATGAAACTTATTATGAAATCATCAGTCAGAGGAAGAAATTATCAAGCTCGAAGCGGGAAACCCTCAAGAGAATTTTAATAAGGTAGCAGTGATGGTAACAGCTTTAGGAGAGAGTTGAACGCCATGGCAAGAAAAAAATGAGATGGCTGAATCTATTCTAGAGCGACTGAGGAAGGACCCTAAAGGTAGTTAGTAATAACCCACTATATCATGAGGCTGTACAACTCAGGGGTCCATTTACAATTACACTTATCAACGGAATGTCGCAAACATTTGATTAACATGATACAGTATGATGCAGATATGGAAAAATATGGTGACTTTAGCACTACATCACAATGGATTAAACTCGAACCTCGGCGTAATCTACCTTTAACTACTGAGCAGTTTCAGCCGGATAAATATCAACCACGTATTATTTTATCTGTTCTTTCAGAACCATCACCCTAATCCCAAGTGGATCATAGAGGCAGTGATATAACAGCCTACCATAGTTCTTTTTATGAGTCACATTTCTCATGCAATTATTAATTATTTGTTAACAATATAGTTACCTTTCAAGTAATTATTAACATATTATGGTTCCTTTAAGAGTGATATAAATAAAAATAGCGTTCTTATTTTAGTATATACATGGCTATTTAATATTGTATACTTCCATTATTTTACTACACTTTTTTTTTTTTTTTTTTCCACATTACAGTAACCCTGTAATGGGTGCATATATTTCTACACATACCATCTTGCGACATAACGCGTATTGAGATACATAGATTTTACTAAATCCAAATATTGCCTTTTTTTCTTTTAAAAGATAGTTGATTTTCATTATTCCTGATCCTTTTTAACCCTCCAGTGACTTAGTGATTATTTCTGAGGAATAGTATTTCTAAGAATGATTTCTTCTACTTTTAACTGATAATATGGTTGCATCAGCGAATTCGTTCTGCATATTATTTAGTCATAATCCAGCTTTGAAAAGACAAATAGAAAGGAAAGACAGATCTAGAGCATGTATGATGTCATTATATCTTTTTTAATTTTTTACTTCTTTTTTCTTATTTGAAGGCACATTATCAAATAAAACTGATATTTTTTTTTATAAAATAAAAAAATAATATGAGAAGGAGTTAGTCGAGGGTGCAGTCAAATAAATAAAAAAAATTAAAATATATAAATTATTTTAATTTTTGCCGACGTTTCGACCCACTTTGCAGGTCGTCTTCAGGGCTACAAAAGATACAAAACATGTTGAAAATAAAAAATAAATATAAGTATATATAAAATATGAAGAAGTTGTCAGATACAGAAATAAAAGATGGTATCAGAGATATAGTGGGTGACAATGTAGTTAAATATTAAGAATTATATATGTAGAAGATACAAATAAATGGAAAATAAGTAGGAATAAAAATAAAAATAAAGGAGAATATAGCATTTAAGTTAAAAGCTAACTTAAATGCTATATTCTCCTAAAAAAAGAATGTACCGATTTCAAAGAAACATGGCTAAAGTATTCTCCTCCCCTTTAAATTTATCTATATAACATACTTCACTCACCAAAAGGAAGCTGAAAAAAAAGTTGAAGTGGTAAAATTAGACATCCGAATATCTCAAAACGTATACACTTTTTTGTTCATATATGGTCATTTGAAAGTTCATGACATTTTCTTTAAAAAAAAAAAAAAAATTCTTAAATCAGACGAGCAGATATGTTGTTCTAAATATTTTCAAAGCTGAGATCCTTTGTTTTGGTGTTAGGTACTAAGTACTGAAGCTATGAGATTGTTTATTTTTCAATGGTAAATTACTAATGACGAAAAAAAATATTATGGAGGCCAAGATTAGGAATCTCCTTTTATTTATTTTCTTCTATGTGACAAGGAAAGTAGTGTTATGCATGATATATAACTGTTTGGAAATAATAAACCATTGTGTAATAATTTGCAACGTTTTTATTACATAAAATAGAAAATATAATCAAGATAAAATAATATATATAATCTTTTATAAAAATATTTTGATATAAATGTTATGCTAATGGTACTGTTACCAAAACAGAAAACATTGTAAATGATGATGGACCAAGAACCCAATGTCGCAATCTGACCCGGTCTGGACCAAATGTTAAAGCTAGAGATTTAATCCAGACATATTTAAATCCCAAATGTGACATCAAAACCAATCAAATTTATGGAAGAAAATATATTTAATAAATTTCACTGCTATGAATAAAAATATTTTATTCATATAACAAATATATGAAAATCAATATATGCTGTAACCATTCATCATCTCTTAAAATATATGGTCAATACTGCTGAACAGAAATTAGAACTTCTGCGATAATTCCCGAATATACATTTATGTAACATTGTTAAGATTCAACCGAACACAAATTATCATTTTAATAAAAATAAAAATCTTAAGATAACTATAGTTTAACTAGTATTATCATTGGTATTAAGTAAAATCTGTACATGGTTATCTTACAAATTAACAGCTTGGTAGACACCAGCTAGTTCGTAACTTTACTTTTCTACATTGCACATTACCATTGGAGCGCAAAGCTTTCACGTTGTATGGCTTCAGGAGCCATATCGAGAAATTGCTGAAATCACCAGAATTTATAAAGGTAGCTTTTAAATATCTTTTGAAAGTGAATAATTCTACTTAATATTAAATAAAAGCTTGAGATCATCGAGTCTGAGCTTGGAGCTTTGAACTTTGGAAGTGCCAGTAAGAACTGCTTTCGCCAACTCCAGTTTATTGTTCTGCAACTTCAAAATCCTTTCTTCTATGGTATCTTTACACATAACCCTGTAAAAAAATAATGGTTATAGGTTGTAAGTATGAGAAGAGTAAGCATATTTTTTTCTAAATTGTTATTCAATCATCAGCCATTATTTTCATTACAATTAAAATTTTTAATTTGATTATAAAACTTATTCTGATAATTCATAATCTAAACCAAGGGTATCCTTCTTTGTGTAATGTGTGCACAATATATTCTATCACCCCTCCCCACCATAGATCCCATCCCATCACCCCTCCCCACCATAGATCCCATCCCACCACCTACACAATAATTATTTTTAAGGAAGGAGAAGGTCCGGGGTGGCGGTCATAAATAGACTAAATAATGGCAAAACTATTTTATTAAAAGCTGTTTCGACCTGACTTTGCAGGTCTTCTTCAGCAAAGAGTTTCACTTAGAACTGGTGGAAATGTTGGATTTTAATAAAATAGTTTTGCCACTATTTAGTCTATTTATGACCGCCACCCTGGACCATCTCCTTCCTTAATAATGCAACGGTCAACTATTAAATATTCAATAATTATTTTTAATATTTATTTTTACATATGCCGACGTTTCGACCTGAAGTTCAGACCATCATCAGGGCTGACTGCTCTAAGGTAAAGATGCAATGGTAATGATAATATAATTATTTTTATATAATGCACCCCTTATATAATATTTTGTCTGTTTTTGTAAATTTTGAAAATATTTCTAAATAATGAGAATCAGGGCTTGTAATTGAAATTAAATTTTTATTTTTATTTATAATAAGTTTCAATATGACTGGAAATTTTATTTTTAATTTTTATCTGTTTTTTCGTAACTAGAATCTTCTCTCATGTAACTTTTTAAGTAAAGGTTTTACAAAACTTCTATTTGTAAAAAAAGTTTTCATTGCATTCAGAGATTTATGCAAGAAAAAGAAATTCCCCAACTTTTGTTAGTTTCTGACTCACATTCGACTGAGCTTATCTGATGACTTTGAAGTTGTTAGTTTTCAAAACGCAACCTATAACATTGTAATTAAAGGGGAATACTTTTTTAGGGACATATTCTTTACATCATATCAAAATTTCAGCTGTCTGTTCTTTCGTTAAATGAACCATCAAATTCAGCCTCTTTAATTTAAATTTTCGTATAGAAAGCAATGGCTTTCAACCGACTGACCAAAGCTGTGTGTTCAGATGAGGTTTATCTAGAATTTAAAACGGTTATTAGTTTTAAGTCCTTCGGTTAAATGAAATGGTCAGTAGTTTCTAGTCTAGGAGAACATAAGTTTTATATTTAAAAAAACATTAAATATGAAAAATTTAAAAACCTAATGGCCAGGCACATGACAATTTAAAGCTCCCCGCCCCATATTGGGTTAAGCATTCCTGATCTAAATTAATAAAGTATTTAATTCTTCACAAATCTAACCACATTCCTCAACGATTTTATTAGATATGTCTAAGTGGAGAAGTTAAAAATAGTTAATTTATTATAATTCATATGCTGACAAGCAAAATAATTTAATAAGACAGTTGAAACACACTTAAAAAAAAAAATACTCAGGTTTAATTCCTTTTATGTAAAAACTATTAAATAAACGTTGAGAGTTGAACTAAAACTAGAAGACCATAAGTTGGTAATAAAAATAGAAATTTCATAAAAAAATTCAGTAAAAATGTTTGTATAAATTAACAATTTAAAATTAATATTCTCTTTGAAAAACTAACTTGTAAATGTTGACAGTTTTTGATTGCCCGACTCTGTAAATCCTATCACAGGCTTGAGCCTCCAGCTGCGGATTCCAATGAATGTCAAACACTATTAAGTGGTTGGCTCCGACCAGATTGAGCCCAGTACCTCCAGCCGTCAGTGATAGCAACATAACCTTAAACATAATAAACAAGTAACAAATAGGTTAAAATAAAATATAACCATCTTTGAACACATTACCATAAAGCAAATGGATACTTTATTAATATCAATACTTATTAATATCACATGCAGTAGAATCCGCTCATCCGTTCTGATCGGAACCGACACATCATCGGATAAGCGTGAGAACCGGTTAATACAGAGGGTATAAAATTAAAATAAAACTCCAATATTATTTTAACTTCTATAATGCAGAAAAATTTTTAACTTTCAATGGCACAACAATTCCTTTTCTTTTTTCACTCATTTTGTCACAATAGTTAATTGAACGGAAAGTGTAACAAAACTGAAAAGAAAAACTATTCATGTCTAACATGCGTAATATACACAGTTACAGTATTAAACAGTACAGCATCAGTAATTACGCACTACTTGTTCTTCATTTATTTTTTTAGGAAATAAATAAAGTATAAGGATTTATTTCAAGAATAAATTTTACATTTAATAGATTTGTTTTATTGAGGTTCGGTTTTCGATGGACCTTCTTGTCTATATATTTCAATCTATTTAAAATGTATCGAATCGCAACACAAGACTTTGTGTTCTTATATAATTGTAATATTCTGTTCGTTTTTCATGCAATACTCGATCACTTGTTGTCGATAGTATTCAGTATTAACAGTTTCACCAGGTTTAAGCAGCTCATAATTGATCACACCCTTCTGATCAGTTCTTCATTTCTCATGCCAAAATCGCCACTTTTGAATTTTTTAAACCACTCAAAGCACTGCGATTATCCAAGAACATGCTTACCTCTAGCTTTGAGAAGCATGTGATGCAATTCTACAGTAGTTTTATTTAAATGATAGCATAAAACTAATGCTGTCTGCAAATCATAGTTTGTAGGGGCACAAAACATTTGTTCAACAATATTAAAATGATGCTGTTATATGAAAATTTTATTCTTGTGAGTTGAAAATCTTTACCAGTTGTTGAGGAAAAAAAATGGCAACAATAAAGCGGTTTAATGGCAACTACATAAACGACTAGAGCCATCTATGGATGAATTCCGATTTTATATTTACACACCTGGGACAAATAATATTAAGTGAACTTTATGTGAACAATACTGATAACAGATAATTTGAACTAGCATCCCCTAGAGCTTGTAAAATTTCCAGATTTTCTATGTTTTTCATAATATTCCCTTACTTTACTACATTAAAAAAATTCCCTAAACTTTTCCAGGTATTCCAGTAGGTAACCAGCTGTACCACTAGATACAATATAAGAATCTAATATAAATAAAAATAATTTGTATTTTGAAAATAAAAGACGCAATATTCAAAATAGAGTTTACACACCTTGGGTCCCCTCTTGTTATCATTAAAATTACTAATAATGCCTCCTCGTTCTTTGACAGGGATCGAACCATTAAGTGCAACTGATTTTATGCCCAGATCTTTGAGTTGTCTTTCAAGAATTTCAAGAACCGATGTCCATTGTGAAACAACGATCACTTTGTCTTCGCTATTATTCATTATTTCCATTAAGCAGTCAATTGTGGCTTTCATCTGAAAAAAAAAAGTTAAAATAAATCAATAAATATAATTACAACTAATTTTTATTTATTTATTTAGAAATATAATTATCTGTCACGTGGACAATAATTATAGTCATATATGAACACATTCACACCACACCACAACTAAATTTAAAAATATTTAATTTAATATGCCTTTTGATATACTTGTTAGCTTATTTATGTGGTTACTTTTACTTTTTATACTCTAACTGGGGCAAGAAGGAGGGTTTATCCTTCATATTACCAACCAATTTTGGTCAGAGTAAGATTTATTCCAAGAGAGAAGCATAAAATAAAAGTCAACTCCCATAAATCAGAATCAACATGTTTATTCATGACAGCCTCAATGATATAGTTTACATTTGATATAGTTTATAATGACCTCCAAAGGACTTGGTATATTCTGATAGCAGGTCATTATAGCCAATCATCGTTATAATCAAACTACATATATAATGTTAATGTGAAAAAAGAATTTCATAACATCAATTATAGTATCAGGGTGGCTACTAAGCAGACTGTTAAAGTTAAATTTCCTGACATTTCCACATTTAAGTATAGTTTTCCCTGAACAATATGTCTGGGGACACAAATATTAAAATTGCTATATCTATTAAAAAATAAATTGCTAAGGCTTACAGAATCACAGATTCAGAAATATTCATAACTATAACTGATGTTATAAACAATATCAAGAGTTTTTTTTTTTTTAACCTTCAATTCTTTATTGAGAAATATTACAATCTGTCACATCTATGGGCAATAGTAATAGTGATAAAAGAGCAGCTCATTCACAATATGTACAATAAATAAACAGCAAAATAATTATATTAAAAGTAAATATTTTGGGTGATAAATATTCCAGAGATAGTCATTATAAAAATTTTATTATTATTAGTAGTAATTTTATTATTTTATTCTTCCTTCAAAAACCTAAATGTATATAAACTAAAAGAAACTGAACTAAACCAATAGAAATTAATCTAATCAAAATAACTACTTAAATACACTACATGCTTTAATACAATATTTACAAAATTCATTCACTCAAGATCTCCGAGCCAAGCCTTTCCTCCACCCATAGAAGGAAAGGCAGGACTCTATAGAAGATCCCAGCGCCTCTCACTCAGCTGCATTACTGGTATTTCTAAAGTGTAATAAAATTTATTCAATTAACAATTCTGTTGAAAAGTCAAAAATTAAAGGATCAAACAATCAAAATAAGTTTTAAAAACAACATAAATACACCTTTTTTTAAAATATAATATAATACCAGCAATAGTAAAAGAAATACCTTAGAACTGCATCGATCTTTCCTGAAAATAGGATCATCTGATGTAAGGATACCTGACTGCTTTGAATCACCGTTAACATTAATAGAAAGATTCATCATTTGCTCAACGAGATCTAAATCATTCCCTTCGTTGTCTTCAATACCATCTTTACCAATTTCTTGTTTGTCTATAAACTAAAGAATATTACTTTTAACTTTGAAAAAATAACCAATATCTAGAATTAAAAGATAAGAAATAAATATAAACAAAATATATTTATTTTCCCCAAAAGTAGTCATATCCCCCAAAATTTCAGGGAAAAAGTTATAAAGGGAAACAAATTTAATTCCCGAATAATTCAAAAAGTATAATTTTTTTTTCTTGATTTTAACTGTTATTATTTAAAAGATTGCTAAATTCCCTACTAAAAAAAAAAAAAAATCATCAAAATCGGACAATTTTTAGCAAAGATGCAGCCTATAGAAATGTACATGTTTTTTTATTATCATGAATGAAATAATGTGATTCCACTGAGGTAAAAGAAATTTATTTCATCTATCTCATAATCAAGATCCGGATTTTCATGCAATTTTATATTTTGCTTGAGTGGTCTTTTTTAACAGCTGATCAAAAATCTTTACGACTTAGTACACTGTGAAATGAAATGAAATGAAATGAAAAAAATGTTTTATTATTCTGGGACTGTTGTCCCTTAAGAACAAAATATGAATACAGATTATATGTCTGTGTGGCTACAATTGAATTGTATATTTACAATGAAAGTTGACTTACGATAAAAATACAGAAAAGAGAAAAAAAAGAACAAGTAAATTGTACATATGTATGAGAAACTAAAATAACCTTAATAAATTGAGGTACTCTCTGGTGGTGCTCAGATATTTCTCTAAGATATATTTCACAATCATTCGGATTGAGAAAGGAGTAGGTGCTTAAAGAGGAGTGGTTTAAACGAGGAAACTGATTGAGCGTGTCGAATATCAGGTGGGATGGAATTCCAGAGGGAGGCGGCTTGTATTGCAAAGGATTTGTCAAACGCAGCAGTTCGGTGAGGAGGAGGATAGAGGTCGGAAGTACGAGATCTGGTGGGACGGGATTGGATGGAATATTTGAATTGTAAGCTGTGAAAAATGTAGGAGGGTCGATGGGTTCTAATAATTTGGTACAGAAAGGTGGCTAGGAAGTACTGACGGCGATAGGATGGGTAGAGCCACCTCAACTCAGTGTAATACTGGGTAATATGCGTATCCCTTGAGATTCCGAAAACAAATCGTAGTGCGCAATTCATTAGGCGTTTAAGTTTGGCCTCGGAATCTCCCGGGAGTCCACCGTACACCATACAGCCGTAGTCGAAGTGGGGGAAAACAAGGGAGGAAACTAGGAGTTGACGGGACTTATATGGAAGGAGATATCGTAGACGATTGAACTGTTTTAGGGTGGAGATAGTGCGACGGGAAATTTGGGAGATGTGAGGTTTCCAGGATAGGGATTGATCGAAAGTAACACCTAGGTTTTTAACGGTGGTGTAGAATAAGATAGGTGAGTTGTTCAGGAAGAGATTGGGAGATACTGGGGAGGATTTGAGGAGTGAAGGGGATCCGATCAAGATGGCTTTTGTCTTCTCGGCGTTCAGAGTGAGCCTATTGAGGTTTGCCCAAGCACTTATTCAGTCAATATCTTCCTGAAGTTTTTGAGTGGCATCTGAGATATCTGTCGGATTAAAGGAGAGGTAAATTTGAATGTCGTCGGCATACAGGTGGTAATGACAGTGCAGGATAGAGGATGGGAGGTCATTTATATAGATGGAGAAAAGGGTGGGGGATAAGGAAGAGCCTTGTGGGACGCCTCTGGTCAGAGGTAGAGATTCTGATGGTGGGTTATTAGGAATTACAACGTACTGGGAGCGACCGGTTAGGAAGGATTGGAACCAATTAAGGGAACTAGAAGAAAAAGAGATATTTTTAAGTTTGGTTAGGAGGATGTTGTGGTCTACTGAATCAAAAGCTTTGGAGAAGTCAAGGAGAATAAGGATGGTTAGTTTCTGCTGATCTATGGCTGTGTGAAGGTCTTGGGAAATTTTGATTAGGGCAGACTGAGTAGAATAACCAGGCCTGAATCCAGACTGGTAGGGATTTAGGAGATTATTGTCCTCTAAAAAATGGGATAGCTGGGATTGGACTAACCGCTCTAATGGTTTTGAGAGGTTTGAAAGGAGGGAAATCGGTCGGAAATCATTAGGAACTGATGGGTTTGAAGTCTTCTTCAATGGGCGTACTAGGGCGGTTTTCCAGGATGTAGGGAAGGTAGCATTTTGAAGAGAATAATTGTATATATGATAAAGGATCGGAAGAATGGATGGCAATGCGGCTTTAATCAGTCTGACTGGGATGTTGTCGGGACCGTAATCATTGGTATGGGACTTCTGAATGGATTTAAGGAGCTCATCTGGTGTAATATGGGAAAGAAAGAAGTGATCAGGATTAAAGGAAGAGAACATAGGAGCCAGACTGGACGTGATGCAATTAGCCAAATTTTATTTTGTATATTTGAGGATAAAAGCATATAATTGCATATTTACTTTGGATACAATATTTTTGTCATCTTTATTTATTTCATTCTTTAGTTTAGATACATAAAAAAAAAAAAACTGAAATTATTGTAACTTTTAACTTTCTCCATAATTTATTTTTTATTTTAAAACTTTTTGTAGACACACAAATATATTTAAATCCATTACTTGCAGATTAATGATCAAGTAATTAGTAAGTTTAGTGTATCAAGAGATTAGTTACTGTATTTTCCAATTTTTTTTTTATTGCATATTTCAGGGTTTTATACTGCATATTCTGAGGGTTTTTACTGCATAAAAATCCGGCCTTTCTCATAATACATTACATTAATTTATATCTATATTATATCGTCATTTGTTCACTGACCTTACGAAAATTCTAAAGGAATAATAAAACTCAATGATTAAGAGTCAAATAATTTCAGGATAGATTGAGATCAAGCAAGGAAATGGTCTCGACCCTCATTAATACAGGGTGTCTCAATTCTTAATACCAAACTCTAGGGGAGAGGAGAGGGGGGGGGGGGTGATTCTAGATAAAATTTCCAAAAAATTCTTAAATCGATTTGGAAAATCTTAATTTGAAATGGAAAATTATAAATTTGATTTGAAAAAAATCCCAATTTTATTTGGAAAGTTCTAAATTTGATTTGAAAAAGTCCCAATTTGGTTTGGAAAATTCTAAATTTGACTTGGAAATGCTATATTTTATATATGGGTAAGGGAAAGTAAATTCATTAACTCCAATCAAACTTCATAAATAACAAAATTTGAAATTTCGAACCTTTATTTACCACCATCATCTATAAGAGTACAATAATATTATATTATTAACCCCAAGAAAAATCGAAGAAGGTCAAATTTTATTTTAGAATCTTTTACAATGATTGTACAAATTTTACAATGAATGAAAAGAGACTTTACTGTTTTGTTCCAAGATGATTTTTAAAGGAAAAAAATACAACCACCTATAAAACTGGCTATTTCACTTAGTTTTTTTTATATTTTCAAAAAATATTTTTAAAAACTACATAAGAAACCATAAAATAAAATTATAACTAATAAAACTTACTTCCGTAACAAGGGAAGGATGGCAACATGTTTGACGAAGCCTCAGCAAAAGAACTAGGATATGGTGTGTTTTAATTCCGCCCTTTAATGAGACCATTTCATCATATAGTTTCCTAAGCTCTGGCTGATTTTTAAAAGGATTTTCTTGCCCTGAACCTGTGCGTCCTATTGGAAAAGTCATACTTTGAGAGTGAACAGACTATCAATCATAAAATTCTGCTTTTACTTAGCTATTACTTAATGTTTTAACAATAATATAAAATTAAGCAAATAAATACAAACTGAAAACACTTACGAATGTCTAATCCACCACTTAAAAGATTTTGTTTCTCAGCCTGTTGTTGAATATACTGAGCCAACAAGGTCCTTGAAAAAAGAAGAAAAACATTAATTTAAAATAAACAGCAGCCCCCAAGGCACAATAATTAATAATAACTTAAATATACTTTTAAAATAAAATATTTTTAATTTGAAGATTGAAAAATATACTTTAGTTCTATATGAAAAACACTGTATTAAATAATACTTGTAAACAGCACTCGGTTAACCCAAATCCTTGAAAATATCAAAGACGGGTGTCTGTCATTTTCAGAAAGTTGAGAAAAAAGCCAGAAACTTAGGCCGAAATGTCGGAACAAAGAAAATAAATATAATTTATTTATTGTTACTTCGTATTTTCACTGACAGAAAACCGCAACCAACTTCTCTTCAATATACCTGATGAAGTCAATTATCAATCCACTATTTTTAATAATTTATGTTGAATTAGAAAGAAAATATAAATAGCATTCATAACATAAAGAAAAATAATGAGGGAAAAGATGATCTGGGATAGCAGTCATAAAGTAACTTAAAAAAAAATAAACCTGTATCACTATAACACATGAAGGGTCTTGGGTTCAGCACTATTCAGGGAAAGTACTGTTTCTTGATCCACGGTTGTGCAAGGAGGTGATTTGACCGAAATCATGCTCAACCGCCAGGTTTTACCCCTTAATTAATTATTTTAATTAAGGGTACCCTCTTTATAGAGCCTGGGTGTGCCCCAGGAGGGTCTACCAAACTAGGGTCGCCCCACGGCCAATGAAACAGAATAAATAATTTTTCTGGGACCTTTAGCATTGGAAGCTCAGTACCTTACCACTGAGCTACCCCACTCTCTAAAGTAACTTCAAATAGAGTAAACTATTAATTATGCCTGCGTTTTGACTCAGCTTAACAGAACTTCAACAGGACAAGATATGGAACTATAGAATAATGTAAGAGTTATAAGCTAAGATCGATGAGATAAAGAAATTGACAAAAATATTAACTGAATAAATATAAAGTAGCAAGAACATTGAAATATAAAACAAGGAAATAATCATAGAATAAATTAAAATTAATAAGAAATAATTAATTAATAAAGGAATAAAATGATGATGAATTACTAAATACAATAAAAAAAGAAGGTTGATTCACTTCATCATGAACATAAAATAACAAAAATTATGTAAAGATAGAAAGAAAAGAGCAAATAATAAGAAGGAAAGGAGGGATGAATGAACAAGTGGGTGGAAAGATAAACAAATGAAAACTAAAGGATTGTTGAATAAAATAAAATAAATAAAGAGATAAAAATACAACTACATTTGTGACTGAAGAGGCTTCCATGTCAAACTATCAGTTAGCCTGGCATGTATCATCAAAAAGGTTTGAGGGCGAGGAGGTGATAACAAAATATAAGGAATATAACAGAAATTAAAATAAAACAAATGATTACAAATATAACTAATATTTGTATAGCTATAAACTGATTACACAAGAAGGTTCTAATATAAATATGGTAATATAAAATCTGAATATAAGTTACAATTGTGGGGGACAATAGGTAGACTTAATAAATAGTTTGCACTATTTCATGTCATTGTATGACTGCCACCAGAACATCTTTTTCTTTATTATACAAATGTTTAACTATTAAATATTGTTAATTTAAAAAGTAGTATGTAATCATTTTCCATTATTATTCTCTTTGTGCTAAAGGTGACAATTTGTAATCTGAAACTGCTATAAATAGTCTGCTACCATGGAAAATAGCAGAGGGAAATAAAATATGAAATTATACTAATAAATTATAAAGAACTAATCAGTTTTTATGAAAAAACAACTCAATTTTCACATACATTTTGCACTAACAGCAGCGATATTCAATATAGAAAAATATAAATATTTTATATTAATTAAACACAAATACAAACCCTGAAAAACGAAATATTTTATTGTACACCATAAATTCTTCATCATCTAAAGTGACTTCAATTATTTTAAATATCTTTGGCTTGAGGTCTTTAAGACCCCCTGCTTCTTGTATTTCATCTTTGGTCCTCCTCAAAAGCAGTGACTTTGACAGCAAATGTAACCTCATCATTCCGGAATCTCCTTTGTTATCGATCATCCTCTTCCAAACCTTAAATCCAATATCAAAGCATATATATATATATATATATATATATATATATATATATATATATATATATATATATAAATATATATTATGTATACTATAACACACACACATATATATATATATATATATATATATATATATATATATATATATATAAAGGTAAAACATGACTAACAAACATTATAATACTTAATTAATATCACATTAATTAACTGTGAGCACAGATCAAATGTTTGATTGCTTATTAAAATTGAAATCATAAAATAAAATGTTGTATTTGGTTGACTTCTAATGAAATGTACAATTTGGACTTGAGAATGAATTATAATAACTATAAAGGTTATAACTCTGTTAGAAAATAATTGTTACCTAACTTCTTGTTCTAAAGACTCAACGTTTTACCAAAAGTAGAAAATACAGCACAGATAGGTGGAACTCAAATGATAGGGGCTAATACATAATTTATTCCACCATCTCACGTTCAATCACCAATAGGAGCCGTATAACAACTACATCCACCCTCTTTTCTAAATTTTTTTAAACTTATTGCCAAGGACTAAAAATAAAAATATATACTAGATAACAAACTAGCAACTAGCAAAAATTAGATCTTCCAATGTAAATTATAAATAAAGGAAGGAGATGGTCCAGGGTGGCGGTCATAAATAGGATAAATAGTGGCAAAATTATTTTATTAAACGGCAACGTTTCCATCCGACTTTGCAGATCTTCTTCAGGGAGGTGTGTTCAGCTAGGAATTTCACTTAAAAGTGAGGTTTTTGAGTTGAGTTTTAAGTGAAACTCCTAGCTGAATACACCTCCCTGAAGAAGACCTGCAAAGTCGGGTCGAAACGTTGGCTTTTAATAAAATAGTTTTGCCACTATTTAACCTATTTATGACAGCCACCCTGGACCATCTCCTTCCTCTATAATGCAACGGTCAACTATTAAATATTCAACATAAAATTATACATACTTATTAGTTAATGCTTCCAGGCTGTATCTCCATTATCAAAATTTGTTTAATATCACAGTGTGAAAACATAATGATAATATAATATTACAAGTCTTTCTACTAGAGTAAAAATAATAAAATTTCATATGAAAACATTTATTGAAAACTTAAAAATGTCAACAAATTTAATTTCAGTAATTTGACATTAGCAGAAATACATGCAATATTATATTATTAAACTGACCAAGAGGAAATAGAGAGGTTTAGATCTGCAAATGAGGCCAGAAAATTCTTTCACAAAGTCTATGCTACTAGTTTGCCATTGAAGCAAACATCAACTATCCATATAAATGGAGAAAGAACCGATGTTAAGGCTTACATGGAGGAATGGAAGACTTATTTTGAGGCCCTACTGAAGGGAGAAGAGAGAGACAAGTATCCCCCGTGACATCAGCTTTACGAATGCGAATTGGAACCACCTGATGAGGATAATTACCATTAATAGGACCCTCATTTGACCTGTACTATGTTAAGACTCGGAAACATGGACCACAAGAGCTGAGAACCACCTCCTTCTCACATATGAACAGAAAGTATTACGACAAATTTATAACGGTGTGTAATAGAATAATGAATGGAGGTAGAGAATTAATCAGGGGTTGAATGATTTACATCATAAGCCGGATATATAATGTTTCATCAAGCATGGAAGACTGAGAAGGGCAGGGCATCTCGCCAAAACGCCTAACATTCTACCTTCTAAGGAAAGTTTGGTGCCCTAACCACGCCTTTTCTAGTTGTCGCAGAATTGGAAAACAAAAGTTGCAGTGTGCAGATTCTATAGCCTATGATGCAAGAAAATATTTGAAGGTGCGAGACTGGATGGCAAATGCACAGAATAGAAAGCATGGTGGTTGCTGATGGAGAAAGTCAGGACCCTTTATAGGTTGCAGCACTATCAAAGAAGAAGAATAAAGCAAGAAAGAATACGCAGTACTATATTTCAATGGATGTTGAACTCATTATAGTTTAAAATGATGCAAGTTTTTTTTTTTTTTTTTTTAAAGGTCTTTACTATATAAAATGTTGATATCTATACAAACATACCAACAGATCATCAAATGGTTTGCACTTGAGAAACTTAAGCAGAGCGTAGAAATCATCCTGTTTATTGTGAATTGGAGTTCCAGTCAGAGCCCACCTGTATCTTGATTTCAACATGAAAATGGCCTGAGCTGTGATAGATTTATGATTCCGGATGGTGTGAGCTTCGTCCAGAATGACTCTTCCCCACTTCATCTTCAATAATGGGCCCTGTTGGCAAAGTAATAAAACTACAAACTTGAACATTAAGCATTATTTTTATAATATCTTATCGTATTATTAAAAATAGTACAATTTCAAAGAAAACAGATTTAATAGTTACTAACAATATCTTCTCCTTTATTTTCATTTTGTACGATGGTGTAGGTAGTTATTACAACATCAAAAGCTGCTAACCTAAAACATAATCATTAATTTATGAATAAAAAAAATAATCATTAACAATAAAAGAACAATATTATTGTAAACATAACAGATTGCTATAAATACAACTATAATTGGGAATCACTTTAATACTACCCATAATATTCCTCTTCAAATGAGATATTTATAAAATCCTTATAACAGAGTGGGACAGCTCAGTGAATAAGTCACTGTGCCCTTATGCTCAAAGTTCCAGATTCGAGTCTGGCTGTAGAAGGTAATTATTTATTCTATTACATCAGCCGTGGATCGATCCTGTGATCGGAAGACCCCCCAGGGATTTAGCCAGCCTCTACAAAGTGGGTGTTCTTAAATAATTAATAAGAGGGGAAAAACTGGTAGTTATTTTTTTTTACTCTCTCAAAGACTTCAAAACTCCTCATCAGATTTAAAACCACCATATCCATTGAACCATGATGAACAACATTTTAAACTTTTTATTTAATTTCTTTCATTTTGTTCAATTAATTTTCAGAAAATTTAATGACTTTCTAATTCTTGAATAAATTGACAAAAATCCCAGACTTTTTCAGAAAATAGAATCCTTTGACTTTACCGGGATTTCCCTGCCTTTAAGCAACCAGTAATTATTAAGATAGAACCTGAGTAACTGGTAATGGCAATCGTAAAAACAAAATACATGAAAAAAAAAGAAAGAATATTTTAATAAATAAATAAAGAACATTACCGTCGAGGGTTCTTTTCTCTTTTCGGTCCGTGATGGGTACAAACAGACAAATAGCCATTCTTAACTTTTGATTTTATTTCTGCAGCCCATTGGTCCATGACGGAAGCAGGACATATTACCAGTGTATTACCCTTCTTCACTAAACAAAGACAACAATGTTAGTAATATACAAATTATTTAGGTCCGTATAGGTAAATGTAGTAACATTGCTATTACTAAAGAGGACTTATCATTACAGTAAACTGTTATTACTATAATAACATAATTTTAGAAGTAAAATATTTATGATAAAGTAAACTAATAAATTCACATTATTTTAGTTAAGTATGAGAGTTGTTCACAACAAATAATAATTATGTCTTTATATATTGCCAGACAGTAAGGCTCTCAATAACAAAAAAATATTTATTGATTTCTCTAGGAGTTTAGACTCCTTACGCACTCCAATTAGGGAGAAAAGGAACACATCTGTTTCCCGTTTTTATGCAGAATTGAAGTGGCTTTATCCTTCTAACAGTCTTAAGTATTTCCTGGGATCCTTCATCTTCGAAGTCATCCAATCTCACCGTCCTTCATACATCTCCGAGCTGCTTCAGTTCAAATCTTTTGTTCGTTCCCGGTCTTCAGATTTATACACAACAGCACACCAGACCACTGCTTTCGACACATCGTTCATTATCAGATTCCCTATGGAACTCCATCCCTTCCTACATCCGTCGCTCCAGTACCCTCCCTATTTTTAAATCCCACCTATTCAATCATTTCTTATCCATCCAGTATCCATAAAATTGTAAATAAATATTATTGTAAATATGTATATAAATCATTAGATTGTTTTAATTATTTTTATTTCATATTTTTTATTAATAGCTGATTAAAGTGAGAACGTAAATTATATATATATATATATATATATATATATATATTTTTTTTATTATGTCTATTTATTTACTATGTGTTTTTGTTTATGTGCCTCATGTATCTCTGAGGCCCTTATTTCTATCTTTATCTATTATTCTTAAGAGACTCATCCCAGAATAAATAAAGCATTATTATTATTATATTTTATCTGATTTAAAGTTAAAGTTGAGACCTTGAATCTTTAACAACAAGTAAAGTGTTCCCCAAAGAGAACAGAAAGAAAAAAAATGTTAGATTGTTTACCCGGAAGGACTCACTTGAATGAAGACAGGAAAGGGAGGATTGGGCCTTGGATAAAATAATCTGAAATGATATTAATTTAAGATCTAAAATAAAGTAAACTTGAACAAAATAATTTTAATTAATTAGATAATTACTCTCAAATATCATTTAAAATCTTTGAAATGTTCTGAAAAATTTACAGTAAAAATCAAAAGTTTTTCCAAACCAGGTGACAATATACACACACAGCAAAAGGATGAGAGCAATGTGTGAGAGTTCTGGTAGAGAGTGGTAAGGTAGGTGACAGGAGAATGGAACTGGGAAACGAAAATGAAACAGGAAATGGGAATTTAGAAGAAAAAAATATTAATATAAGTAGAGGTTGTGTTGAATATACGTTTTGAAATTTCTCAGACTAGCTGGGATAGATTGGTAAATTGTAGGACAAACTATCCTTCCTGCCCGAATTAGAGTATATAAGAGCATTAAACCCACCATAAACAAATTTTTACAATAAAACTTCTTGACTGTTATACTGACTCTTATCAACAATTATTCAGCAATTGATTGCAAATTCATTGAAAATGTAGATAAAATTATATTAAAAAATACACTGTAAATAGTAAAAATTACCAACTCCACAAAAAAGAGAAGTGTAGGACATTCTAATAAGCAAAATACCAACTTTACATGCACTTTTCAAAAATTAAAATCTCCTAAAGAAGCAGATAATTAAATCTCAAAACCATAAATTTAATAATAACTAAGCATTGGAAGAGATATGAAACGGATTCATATAACAAAAGAAAAATTGGAATGAAACTTGGAAAATAAAAATAACAAAAATTACTGAATTAAAAGTAACTTACAATATCTGCTATCCGCTTCATCACCAGAAGATTCACTATCTTCATTTGATCCCACCTGTTTTGATTTCAAAATCAGTGATATTAATGTGAGAGTTTTACCGAGGCCCATGTCATCAGCTTCCAAACAATTTTAATGAGAAGGGTTAGATGAAATAATGAATAACCAAATATTTTCATATTAAAAAACAAAAAAACAAAAAATAAAAAAATACCTAAAATTCCTCCAGCTGGCTTTTCCTTTTCCCTCTTCTCCAGCCAGGCCAGGCCAATGAGCTGATGAGGTAACAGCGACACCCTCAGACCCTCGGGTTCCTCTGTTTGTTCTTGCACATCTGATTTCCTCAAAAATTTATGCAATCTCTCTAAGGTTTTCACGGTTTCTCTTTGCTGTTTGGTATGGGTTTCCAATGCTATAATAATACGTGTCAACGTAACTTTTCCAATGTTAAAGATTATATAATATAATGAGGTTATCAATCCTAACATTTAACTATAGTTCAAATGAAGTGTATTCAGATACAACATTAAAAAAAAAAAATTGAAAACCAAACAGATACTTGATAATGGAATGAAATCTTTACTTTGTTTAACCTAAGTAATATTTTATCCTACTTATATTCCTTTGATACTTTTTGTTCTACACTGTTAGATATATAAATAGATAAAAAACTATAATGGGCTTATTTATTTTAAGATATATTAGAAATCAGATTCAGATCTACACCGATGTTATATCCAAATACAATGAATCTCGGATAAATGAACTGAATTATAGTATAAACTATAAAGTATAGTTTATCTAATTATTAGGTCATTTCATATGAAATGTCCATTTTTATTTCAGAAATTTATAAAAAGAGGCTACATCAACTTGAAGCACAATATTCTGAGTTAGTGTTGTTTTTTTCATAGGTTTGTTGTGCTCTTTTAAGCTTCTCTATTATCTTTGAAATGTAAGGAATTTCTACTTTATTTATGATAGTATTTTTATTAATTATAATCTTATATTTCACTCTAATTTTATTTCTCAAGAAAAGTATCAAAGTACTCAATTTTAGTGCTAAAATATCACTCAAGGAAAAACATAGTTATGATTTGTTTGTTAATGACCCTTAAGGGTAGAAGCAACCAAATAAATAAAACATAAATTTATGATTTAAATAACTTTAATAATTAACTAATTTCATAACAAATAGGATTTGAAAATGAAACTTTAGGTATGAAGTTAAATTAAAATATGAAAGCATATTCATCTAAACTAACGAATATAAGATAACAATAACTAAAACTAACCTTGTTTGCCCATTTCATTTACGTTCATATGATCTTTCGTAAGATCAATGATCGATGGTAAATGATGAGATGGTTTTTTTTTCGGTTTCTCTTCCTCCACGAATGATCCTAAAAAAAAAAATAAATTTAAAAAAATTAAAAAAACATTAAAAATAATTTTGCTAATTGGTCAATATCTATGTCACTAGGAGATCTCTATTGACTGTAGAAGTGTTAAAAAAACAATTAACTACAGGGCAAAGATGAGCTCAATGAGTGATGAATGACTGCCTAGGCCATAAGTCGGGAACCGTGGCCTCGGATGGAACATGCAGCCTCAAAATGTTTTTGCACGATATTTATTAACCTAGTACGAGAATTAATTCAGATTTAATTATTTAAGTAACAACAATTTGAAAATTAATAGAATTATGTTGAATGTGTCTGTATTAACTGATAAATAAAAATAGAAATGGCAAATATTAAGAATTACTGCAGCCTCCATTAGCACTTCCTAAACATACTGCTGCCTCTAATGATAAAAATATTCCCCACCTCTGGCCTAGACAATGCTTTAATAGGCTTACGGCCCTAGATTCATCTGGAGGAAACATGGTCCAATATATAATTGGATCACCAAAGTAAAGATGATTGTTCCAGAACTGAGATGGAACTGTTCTCACGTGTTTTTTCAGGTATCCAATGGCATTGATAGAGTACTAAATGCCAGATCAAACTCCAGGCATAGAAAAATCTACTCCTTTAATACCACTGGACCAGAAGAATACTTGCATTTCAAGATTTCAAATTTAAACAAACTAACAGCCACCAGTCATCTTTTTTTGTTTATAATATCTAAATATTTATATGGACAAGCATATTCATTGACAAATACAATAAATAATTAATTTAATTTATTCAATTATTGTCTGTGTGTTGTCAAGACAAACGAGCAGGCACTTATCATGTTGATGACATGAGCAAATAAATGTCTAATTGGATTTACTAGAATTTAAATTATTCATGTTATTTTTATAAGCAATGCAATAAAGCCTGATACAATTTTCAAATTTCATTTTTATCAAAATAGTTGTAATCTGCATACAGTGGCGGATCCAGGAATTTTCTCAGAAGGGGGAGGGGGGTGCACCTCTATACCATTTGCTTTCTCCACCCCTACCTGGTCCCCGATCACCATTTCCCCCCACTCCTTAGCTGAGTTTAGCTGCTCAAAAGTCCTCTTTAAATGGTTTTAACAAAAGCAAACTATTTTTATTTAGAGTAAATTTTGACTAGTTTTCAGTGAAGCTATCATTAATTACTTAATCATAATAATAAGGCTTAGCGAACCCGAAGGTTCGATGCCGACACCATCAATCGTTTGTTACACACCTCCCTCCACCGTTCGCCGTCCAAACCCAGTCCCTTCAGATCGGCTTTAATGCAATCTTCCCACCTTCGCTTCGGTCTAGCCCTCGGACGCTTACCATTCGGCACAGCAAATATTAACCTTTTAGAAATTCTCTCGTTACTAAGACCAACAACTTTACAAGCCCATTTGATTCGCCGCGATGAAATTACCTCAATTATATTATCCGGATACAGCTCACGCAATTCGGCGTTGTGTAACCGTCTGAACTCTCCGGTTAACTCATCCTTCTTCGGTCCGAATATTCTACGCAATACTTTATTTTCAAAAACCTTAAGACGCTGCTCATCTCTTAATGTAATCGGCCAAGTTTCGCATCCATAAAGAACTGTAGGCAAGATAATTGTTTTATAGATTCTAATTTTTAAGTTTCGGGACAAGAGGCGCGAACTAAGTAGTTTTGTCACAGAAAAATAACAAGCATTCCCCGCCTTCAGTCTAACCTTAATCTCTTCTTCAATTTCATTTTTTCTAGTTATCGTAGAACCTAGATACCTAAATTTATCTACCTGTTCAAAAATATTACCATCTATATCGATATCACCAGTAGTATCGCCATTTTTGCAGCTAACCATATATTTTGTTTTATCCACGTTTATTTCGAGTCCTAGTTCTTTACCGGCTTTCATTAACGTTGTCGTATTTAGTTTTATAGTTTCAACGTTTTCGCTTAACAGTACCAGATCATCAGCATAGCCCAGCACGGATGTTGTCCCGCCCAGATCCAACCCTTTCTCGGTTCGCGTTACCTCCCTAATGGCATGTTCTAATGCCAAATTGAACAGGACAGGCGAAAGAGAATCCCCCTGTTTCAAGCCCGAACGAACCTCAAATTTTTCGGACAAATTATTACCGATTCTAACTTTATTGAGTGTCTCCGTCAAGCACATCCTGACTAGATTTACTAGTTTTTTTGGAATCCCCTGCTTGATTAGAATATTATACAGTTTCTGGCGGTCAATAGAATCGTAAGCCTTTTTAAAATCTATATACAGCTGGTGAACAATACCGTTATACTCCAATTTTTTCTCTAATATTTGCCGTAAAGAAAATATTTGATCAATAGTCGAACGATTCCGTCTAAATCCGCATTGGTAGTCTCCGATAATTTCCTCGGCGTATTCCGTGATTCGACTGGTTAAGATTGAAGTGAATATTTTATAACATACCGGAAGGAGTGAAATTCCTCGATAGTTATTACAATCCGTCCTCGGACCCTTTTTGTGAATCGGAATAAGAATAGATTCTTTGAGCGATTTTGTCGTTTCGTTCTTTGAGATTCGGAAGTATTCCAGATTGTCTTCGCTAGGATTATTTAGAGCTTTTAATTTAGCGGCTTTTCTTTTTTCACACATGTTTAAGCAATCTTCATCAAACCACGGTTTGTTATTCTTATTTTCCTTTTTTCCTAGACACGAGTTACCGACCGCTTTAATATTATCTCTGATCCCTATCCATAACTTGTCAATATCCTCGTGGTCCTCGTCAGGAAGCTCTAAAGCTTCAAACCTATTCTTAACATCTAGCTCGAATTGGTTTCTAATTGATGGATTTTTTAATTTTTCCAAATTAAAATTCTCAAAATCGAAACGGTTTTCTTTTCTCTTTTTTATATTAAATTTTTGTCGAAGTTTCGCGATTACTAATTCATGATCCGACCCACATTCTGCTCCGCGATAAGACCTTACATTAATTATACTGCTTTGCCAGCTGTGTTGTATCAAGACATGATCGATTTGATTTCGTGTTTGCGAATCCGGTGATGTCCAAGTATATTTATGAATATCCTTATGTTTAAACGTCGTACTTTTAATTATCAGGTTTTTCGAGATGGCAAAGTTTATCAGACGGATCCCATTATCATTACTATATTCCTGCAAACTTTCTTTACCAATCGTCGGAATATAAACTTCTTCCCTTCTCTACCTTTGCGTTCGCGTCACCTACAATTATTTTCATGTAGTTTCGCGGTAGTTTATCATAAACCCATTCGAGTTTATCGTAAAATTCACTTTTGACTTCATCGTCACTGTCTTCGGTCGGACAATGTATGTTTATTAATGCGATTTTAAACCAACGTCCCTGAAATGTAGCTACCGAAATTCTATCACTAAAGAATTGTATGTCACTCAAAGCGGATAGTAATCTACTCCTAATTAGAAACCCGGTACCTAAACAATGATTCCCGCTTCCTCCATACCAAATAGTGTACTTTCCTTCCCTCATCGAGCCCTCCCCTGGCCAGCGAATTACTTAAATTAAATCATTAATTACTTAAATTAAATATTTGTTTTTATCACTTCCTATTCAACAAAAAAATGTGACACATAAAAAATTCTCATCCTTTTTTTTTTTATGTATTACTACTTAACAGTGCATTTAAGGGGAAAACGTATTCTTTAAGAAATTAAAAAACGTCAAATTTTGTGTTGGACGGGAACTTAAACTTAATAATTTTGATTAAGTGATATGGTCGATAACCACGGCCATTTTCTTGGGCTCGAATAAAAGGTGGTTCGAAAGAAAAAATGAAGTTTTTATTTTTTAATAAATTTTCTTCCATCATGTTTTCACCTGCGAGACTCAGTTCGGAGTCAATAGAAACAAACTGCAAAAGGAACAAAAGCCTTCGCATCTCATGGCGGCCCAAAAAACTACATCACTCTTTTCCAGCCTCCAGGGGGAGGTACGCGGCCCTCCCCCCTCCCCCGGCTGGATCCGTCAGTGTTAGCATAAGATTCTATTACAAAATGTAACCACTTAATTAATAGCAGAGTATTTCAATATTTATTAACAATAAAGACTGAAGATTAAATGGCGACTAAGAAAAAAAAAAATGGAATATGCAGATTTAAATCGAAAATCACTCCTTCTTAGTACATAACTAACAGAGAATTCAATATCAAAAACCTGAAATAAATGCATTTTATTTTTATAAATCCAAATAAATAAAAACACATACTAGCTTCATCATCTGACTGAATGCTCTTTGAGAGATGCGATAATTGATTGCTAAGTTCACCAACTTTTTTTAACTGTTTTTCAATCGAGGATCTTAATTTGGCGCCCTTATCAGGAAGTGTTTCAATTTTCAGATTCTTTGTAGTTGCCTTAAACAATAAAAAAAAAACTAGTACAAATAAACAACAAATACAAATAAATTTCAGTTTAGAGCTGGTAAAATTTCAAAACATAATTAAAAGTTCTGCATTAAATAACCTCATCTCAGCAACCACAAATATTTAATTTAATTAGCCTATGAATAATTTTGGATATTTATCATTTCAGAATGAAGATCTTATTTCGTTATTGAGTTGATAACTTTTTAATAGAATTTCTTTTAAAAGAATTATTTATACAACAAATAAATGTCACTAAACCTTGTTCAATGGGCCAAGATCGCTTGTTAGCGATATAAATGGAATCTCGAGAACGGCCAACAGTGGTCAGAAATAAATAGAAGTGATTGAAATGAACCGTCTAGTAAGGCCAAGAACTTCAATGAAAATGACTCGTCTGGGATTTGTTTATCCCCATAGAGCAAGCTTAGTGAACAAGATTCGAAAGGAGCAATTTTATTATAGCTAATTATCACTCTGATTTTAATTTAAAAGGATCAGTAGGGAATTTCCTGGTTGTAAATCGCGATACAAGTAAAGAGAATGTACTGTGAACACATTGTCGATCCTCGTAACCTCATTTACACTATGAACAAGAAATCATAGTCTACTAGACAAGATGGAGTGACATTTGAACAGTGATCCTGAAATCATTACTAACCAATTGTCAAACATACTTTCACATCAGTGTAATTTGTCATCAATGCTCAATATGACATGGAAAAGCTAACATCCTAATTACCAATATATTAGTGGCCTCATATCAAAGACGAACATCGGTCATTTTAAAAAAGTAAATTTTTGTACCATGGCTTTAATTTAGGCTAATTCTAATACCTGTTTTTGTAATTCAACTTGAACATTCTTAAATAAAATCACCAGAAACAATTTGAGTTGAACATATAAAACAAAATTTTTTTAATTTGTTTCCACTTTCTGGAAATTACAAATGTCAGTCTTTGATATGAAGCCACTCATATCAATATTAACACCATCTAACTCAATTCTCACAATTATACAAGAGTTTCGAAAACCTGCTAAAGTGTTGTTGATGGCCTCCTGGTAATTTATAGTACATTCCAACTGCAAAACATCATTATGACATTTGCATGATTACCATTCAATCGGGTATGAAGAAACTAATTCCGATAGCTAACTAACTCATTTCAGGCAAAAAATGAGTTAGGCGGTTTAAGTATCTGTATGAAATTGTATATGATTGATATTATGAAAAGCAAAAATGAAATCGAAATGACCATTCACTGTTGTTTCATTTCTGTATATTATATTTCTGTATCAAGAACTTAAACCTTCATTGTAAAAAACCGAAGATCCATATGAACATATCGCTAGCTTGGAAGAAGAGGAAAACACAACACTTCCAATAAATTGGCACATTTGTAATTAAAGATTTTAGAGTAATACTGATTTTCATCTAAAGAAGTAATAAATAAATAGGTACATACCTATTTCTAAATCACTGCTTTAGAAAAAATCCACCATAATTTAAAACTTAATATTTCTATACTGTTGGTGAATCATTATCAACAAGATTATTATCCTGCGAAAGTTTGGAGCTGTGTTCTATCAAGCTAGAGATATGACAAACCAAAAATAATTAAAATCAGGTTCTATTCTAAATTTAAATTGATTATCAATCAAATAAAGGAATCACCTTAAGTCTTTGAAGTGCTGCTGTTTCTTTAGCTAATTGAGTTTCATAAAATATTTTGGCTGATTTAAGTTCATTTTGTCTTTCAATACTTAAATTAGAACTTGAAGGTGATAAGCTTAGTTCTCTGGCAGAGTCAGATTTGTTTTGCTCTGGTGAACTCCCCATCTCAGAACCTGAAGATACAATAATTTCCGATCCGTTTAATGACATCCTTATTAAATACAAAAATTCAATTGATCAAAGTACATCTGAGTTCAATTGTCTTGAGCGCTTTTTTATCTTTCTCTGAGCAACCACCTGCTTCCAAAGAGGTAAAAACAAAGTTCCAACAATCTGTCCTGGACTGGAATAGTCCGAGAGCCCTTGAGAAAAAAATCGACATTCAATAAAAACTTCAAAAGCATTTCTAAAAAAATATTTATATTAATAAAATAAGAGCCTGCCACTCAGATCTTTCTACCTATAAAAATAGCGGCTGATTTAAAGAATATTAGACCAGTAACATGAGGATCTAAACGGAAAATTCATTGCGAAAAATGTAAAAAAAAGTATTTATTTTTTAAACTTGTATATATGGGTTCAGACATGTAACACGCTAACGCAGACCACCAAGAGAAAACTTCTTACAGCCAAAAAGGCTGAAATTTCCGATTCTTTTTTGTCTTTACTTATAACTCCTAAACGGTGCAACAAAGCAAAAAATTTTGCGTCGAATGAGTACCAGAACTTAATAATTTGATCTAGTGCTATGATCAACAACCACGGTCCACCAACGCTGCTTTTTACCAGATTAATCAAAAACTAATAAAATTACTATAAATGACGTTGAAACTTGGAAATGAGTTAGTTATAAAATAAATGGTAATCAAGTGATAAATAAAATAGTAAATTAACAAATTTCTGTTAATTATTTCAGAAATAACTCATTCAGAAAAATACGGCTTTATTTCAATGAATGTTTAAATCATCTAGAGTTCAAGAAGTATATATTTATAATAAAATTTGAGGAATAATAATTATTTGAGAAATTATTAGTTATTTCGTGATTATTCCTTCAATTCGTTTATTAAATAAATGATGTTAAGTGCCCAGATCACTGGAGTGATGAAGCCCAATGAACAGAGATGTGATTTCACAGCACCTCACAGGCGGATTTACGGGTTGAAGCCTTTCCCCAAAATGATAAAATGTAACCATCTTTTATGGTAAAAAATATTAAAAAATTATGTCTTAAAGTATTATTGCTCGTTTAATTACATTTAATAGGACTTCAAGAATCACTTAAACTTCATTTCATATAGGTAGTTAGTATCTTTCTGTCTAAAGTAATTATAGATAGATAGATAGATAGATAGAAAGTAAACTTTATTCTGGGACAAGGTCCCTTATGAATAACAGATATGAACAAAAAAATAAAAACTACATCTGGCCAAAAATTACATTAATCAATATTAAAGTATATATACAGTATCTTCAGTGAAATTAAATTAAAACAAGTAAAAATGAAATAAAATTTTGAGAAAAAACGAAATAAAAAAATATATTTAAATGAAAATAAAAATAAAATAAAATAAGCATGGGTTGATTTTTGAAATTAAGACTCAATAAATTTTATCAACCATTCACCTCAGTCAAAATCTGTTTCACATAATTTATTTTATTGTATAACGTCATTTTGGGATGTGAGAAGGAATTGGTAGAGATAATATTTAAATGAGGACAAGGAAGAGGCATGGCGGATTTCAGATGGCAAGGAATTCCAGAAGGCTGTAGATCGGGAAATAAAGGAATATTCAAAAGTCTTAGTTCTATGGGAAGGGATATAAAGGTCGGAAACACGGGATCTTGTTTTCTGGGAGTGGGCCACGGGTTTAAACTGTAGGAGACTGTAGATGTAAGAAGGGTGTCTGGTGTTGATTGTTTGGAATAGGAAAGATCCGAGGAAATATGGTCTGCGGAAAGAAGGGAAGAGCCACTTTAACTCGTCGTAAAGGTGGGACACATGAGATCGCCTTGATGTACCGAAGACAAATCTTAAGCACGTATTCATGAGTCGCTTCAATCTATCCTCGAGTACCATCGGGATGCCTCCGTACACCACACAGCCGTAGTCAAAGTGGGGGAAAATGAGAGAGGATACAAGGAGCTTGCGGATGGGTTGTGGGAGTAGGTGGCGGGAGCGATGAAATAGCTTAAGGGTACCTATTGACTTACGGGAGATGAGGGCGATATGGGGTTTCCAGGAGAGGTTTTCGTCTATGGTGATTCCTAGGTTTTTAACGGATGAACTGAATGTGACAGGATGATCGTTGATGACTAAAGGAGGAAGGAAGGAGATGGATTTAAGAATAGGACTGGAACCTATAATAATGGCCTGAGTTTTCATCGCATTTAGATTTAAATTATTCAAACTTGCCCAGGCACTGATCCTATCTAGGTCTGCCTGAATATTGGCGAACGCGACTAGTAGCTCAGAAGGATGAAAGGAAAAATATATTTGGGTGTCATCAGCGTATAAATGATGTAAACAGTGGTAGATGGATTTGGAAAGGTCATTTATGTAGGAATTGAAAAGGAGAGGGGAAATGCTCGAACCCTGGGCCACTCCAGAGGACAGTGTAAGAAAGGAAGATAGGGGTTGGTTTGGAATGCTGACTGCTTGAGTTCTGTCGGATAGGAAAGACTGCAACCAGAGGATAGAGCTGTTGGAGAAGGATAGAGATTTTAATTTAGTATAGAGTATAGAGTGGTCTAAGGAGTCAAAAGCTTTGGAAAAGTCGAGAAGTATTAACACAGTTAACATTTTTTCGTCCATTGCGGTATGTAAGTCATTGGTAATTTTTAGTAGGGCGGATTGTGTGGAGAAGCCAGGTCGGAAACCAGATTGGAGAGGATCGAGTAGTTTTGAGTTTTCCAGGAATTTAGAGATTTGGGATTGTGCTATTCTTTCCAGAGGTTTAGAAAGGTTAGAAAGAATGGAGATTGGGCGGTAGTCTTTAGGAGAGGTAGGATTGGGAATTTTGTTTATAGGTCTGACTAATGCTTTTTTCCAAGCAGTTGGAAAAACTGAGTTGTGGAGGGAAAAATTATAGATGAAAAGGAGAACTGGAACGACTTCGGGAAGGCATAATTTTAACAGTTTCACTGGTATCCCATCAAGTCCGATGGAGTTTGTGTGTGATTTCATTATAGAGGAAATAAGGTCGGTCGGTGAAATGTTGGAGAAATAGAAATTATCACTGTTAAATGAGGGTTATAAGAAAAACTGGTGAGAGGTGGGTGAACTGTTGCTGGTGGTGGAAAATATAAAGTAGGAATTTAGTTCATCGGGTGATACCGGGTAGAACGGTGAGGAAGAGGATTTACAAAGAGAGAGTTTACGAAGGTTTAGCCATATTGATTTAGAATCAGGAGCAGAAGAGAAGATTTCGTGAAAGAAGTTTGATTTCGCTTTCCTGATCGTTGTTTGTGTCATCTGCTAGTCGAGTTCGTCTGAAGCGTCTACGGGCTGCCTCACGTCTCTTTTGCATGTCGCGAATTTCTTGACACATCCAAGGAGCAGCTTGGCGACGGAAGGTTGAGGTTTTGATAGGAGCATGTATGTCAAGAATATGGATAAGGTTAGAAGTGAGGATGTCTACCATATGATCAATAGAGGTACAGGAATAAATATCGTTCCAGTTTAGGGTTTCAAGGTCCGGTAGGATTTTATTACGGGTGAGGTTGTCAAGATTGCGGAAAGTTATGGTTTTAGGAAGAAACGTGGGAGTTTGGATATCGTACGATAATTGGATGAGATCATGAGAAGAAAGGAAAGGAACGGGTGATTGAGAACAGGACAAGAGTTTCTGCTCTGAATCGATGATATGCAAGTCCAACTAGGTGTCAGACCAACAAGTATGGTGTGTAGGAGCGAAAAGAACAATAAAAAGGTTGAGGGAGAAGAAGAGATTTTCCAAATAGCGTTTGTTGTTGGATTCTGTGAGGAGGTTGGTATTAAGATCACCGGAAATTATAATGTTATTATAGAAAGGGACATAATTGTACAAGGCTGATTCGAAGGATGAGTCAAAAGGAGTCAAAGGAGGGCGATATACGACCACATAAAGGAGAGGATGTGCTTTACAAGAAATTTCAGCGAAGAGGAATTCAATGTGAGGATGATTGGAAGGGGGTGAAATATCTAGAATACGAGGTTTCAGGCTATTATGAACATAGAGACCAACACATCCGCCAGTCCGGGAAACCCGGTCATGACGGATGAAGGTATAATCAGGTAAGGAAACAGAAGAGGAAGGGATATAGGGCTTAAGCCATGTTTCAGAGACTGCAATAATGTGGTAGAAGTTACGGGTGAAATATTGGAGAAATTCGTCATAGTGAGCAGGAAGGGATTGAGAATTAACATGGCAAGTAGTTAAGACGCTAGACATAACGGAAAGGAGAAAAGTATATATATGATGGATGACGCTGTAGGTAAGAAAAAACTGTGAAAATAAATTTGGAAAGAAGTAAATAGTGGCTGTGAGAGAAGAAAAAAAAATACAAACAAAATAGAGTTAGGTTCAAAAATATGAAAGAGGAAAAAACAAAAAATTACATTGATTAAAATAGAGAAACAATAATAATAATAGTAGTAGATGGGCAACCCAGCACGGTGCTGTATTATACAATAGAAGATAATTGGGAGTTTACTTATACATTCTGTAGGTTGACGTAAATCAGAAGGTCAGCAGAAAACATCTAGATCATCTGGTTGGTCGATGTATATCACGGGATGGCCATCTCCTTTTCTGCAGCGCAATCTACCCGCCGAAAACCACACCTATTTTAGTTTACCAGCCGCTCTCTTCTGACGTGCGAGCCAATACAATCTTCTATTAGCAGAGGTCATTTCTTCTCCCAGGTATATCCGGTGGGAGTCGTTTTCTTGCCAGCCGATGTCTCGAGTTGAAAAGTCCCTTTTGACCTTTCTTCTTTGGACCAGTTCGTCTCGTACTGCCTGCCTCACAAAGCGAACTATAACTGGTGGTGGTCTAGGATCGTCTTTTTTAGGTCTACGGCGCTCCACAAAATCTATGTCCTCGATGTTAATCTTAACATCGAGACCAGCTCCCACACTGGCAACTAGGGCCGAAGGAGTCTCTCCTGCACGTACCGGAATGCCTCGGATCTCAACCGATCTACAGAGTAGGCCCTGCTCGGCTCTGTTTAATCGTACCTCGAGTTCCCCCACTCTGGATTTCAGCGTTTTATTTTCCGTAGTCAATTCCTCCAGATGTTTAGCTTGGCTCTCTAGATGATTTTCTATTTTTGAAAACCTTTCATTTAACTCGAAGCTGAGTTCCCCGTATTTTTCTAATGACGACTTAATATTTTTAATGTCTTCATTGACTTGGGCCCTAAGTCGATTAACCGCTCCGAGAATATCAGCTGCGGACGGCTCCTTGATTTCACTTCTTGGTGGACTGGCTGATTTTTCCCTAATTTGGTATGTCTTTTTGCCTTGGTCACATTTTTTACAAAGCCATACCTTTTTTTGAGATTTTAATGTCTTGATCTCTTTATCGCCCAGTTTGCAGTATTTACCGTGTAAGATAACCTGACATTTACTGCAGCTTATATTAGTTTTGTCCTCTCTAGAGATGGCACTATCACAAATATAGCACTGAACCATTTTCGTGATAATATAATAATATTTACTCACGCTAGAAGAGTGTTTGTCAGTAGAAGCGTGTTGTTGGTCCTTAATACTCAGAAGCTTAGGAGAATCAATAGCCGCTTCTCAATCCACAGCTAGTGAAACACGACCTTTATCTTTAATAATTGACTAAAAATAAAAATAAATAAATAAATGAAGGACGTAAATAAACTCGCTTGACCGTGATGAAAAAAACAATATGTATATAAAAATTAAGAAGAAATAACAGAGGGTACGAATGTCAGAGAGAAAAAACTATAGGAACGAAGTGAACTGCTTGCCGTAGTATAGTATAGTCTCTGGCCAGACTATAATTATCGTTATATATATGAAAAAAAAACGCTTCCGGGCTGAAGCCCTCCCCCAAAATTAAATCCTGGATCCCCTAGTGCAGCACCTACAGTGATTTTCAATATTATAGTGCTGTAATTCCACAGGACTACAGTGACTGTCACTGTTGGAGGGCTATTCTCTGAGGTGTGTATCTGGACTGCTTTGATTACAATTTTTTATTGTAAAGATTTTTAAAAAAAAAAAAAGATTTTTTTTTTCTAACCTGTTCATATAATTTTTATAGGACTCCCTTAAGTAGGGGTATCAATTGAATCAAATTAGTTCATCAAAATAAAAATATGGGGAAGTAAATATATTGATTAAGCTTTATGTTGGACTGGAGCTCATTGTCAGGTACTCATAGAAGAAGAATTTCTAGACTAAATGAAAACTTACTATTATTTTTAAGCTTGGTATACAAAATATAGATATATAATGTTTCTAATGGTTGTAGATGAAGTGTTAAATAGCTATTTTTTTTTTATTGTGCTTTTGTGAAAAATACTAGAAGTTCATGCCACTGAAAATATTTATTATCTTTACAATTTTGAACAGAAAAGAACAGTCTCTTGGTTCAGGTACCTTTAATAGAAAATTGAAGTTGAAAAAAATATTGATATACAATTTTTATTTTCATTAAAAAAAAACATTAACTATATAGTTAATTTTTGATCAAGCCACTGATAAAATAGCAATATTTTTAACTTTTTTTTTTTTTTTTTTTTTTTCTTACCCTCCAAAAAGTTTATTGAAACAATTACATATATAGTATACAATATAGCAACGGATATTTTTAACTAGACATATGTAGGATGGACATAATGCTATAAAGAAATAGTTTCCATGGGAAGGGAGAGGAAGTGGCCAACTTAAATAAGAATGTATTTTATTTTACAATAAACTCTTGATATTATAATATTGTAGTAAAAAATTAACTATATAAAATATTGGTTAGAGACGATTTTGTTGTTTTGGCTTGGGTATGCTTAAAACATATTTTTTATTAATATAAAAACATAAAAATTATATTTTTAGGGAAATAAAAAATATCCATTTCTGCTTCTTGGTAGTTTGATCTTAATTCAATCAATAAAATGAGTTCATGCTATGTTGTGTTAATATTTATTTTGAAGAGGGGTAGCTGAAGTAAGCTTCCCTTTTATAGACAAAAATCCTGGGGTAACTTGATAAAAAATACTTGCAGAATCCTGGATTGTGCTCCACTAACCATCTTTAATTTGATTTGAGACTTCTTTGTTAAATGTTTTTATCATAATATAATATTGTAACATATTTTTATCACAATGTTACCAAAGAGGTAAAAACATAGTTCCCACAGGCTGTTCTGGACCAGTACATACACTAATTCATAACCGATTTATTGCAATGTCCTGTACATGTATTAGTGAATACATATCCGGTAAATGAACTTTGGTTTATTGGAACACTTATCTGTGTTTTTTTTTTCGATTTTTGACAAATATAGAAACAAAAATATTGATTTCAGTTGGTCTCCAAATCAGAGATTATTTGTTTTACCCCGACCATTAATGCAAAACCAATCAACTAAATTATGTTTTTTAAGAAAAGTTTAGAATGAACTTCAATACAGTTATTATCTGTTGGAAGAATCAAACTTCAAGATTAAGATTGACTTTATTTTCAGATGCTGAATACAAACAAATTGTTCCCTTATTGTTTAAATTTTCCTACTTTTTTTATCCACTTCAGTCTTAATTCTTTTCATTAACATCCAAAGCCATTGTAAAAACTAGGAAGCTAAGTGTATCCCTAAAAATTGTTCTTATGTCGAAATTTTTAGTTTTTTTCCATATTTCATTTTGTTTTCTATTTAATGTTACTTTTGTATCAAAAAATTGCAAAATATCATTAAGGTTCTATTTTTGGAATTCATTGTGATTAATTTTTTTTTAACAAGCATCATGGAGACTTGAAACTTACAGGCAGATCTAAAAGAATAATCCTGCTGTTGAACAATTGAAATTATTTTTGTCAGCACAACTTCTTAAAATCTAGCAGAGGACTGGGTCAAGATTCTGATGCTACTAGGGTCTAAGGGAACTCCTATCATTAGGGCTTAAAGGTTGAGTTCGCAGAAGAAAAACTATTTCTTCAGCCTCTTAAGTATTCTATCCAAGACCATTTGTGCTTTATAGCGGTATTTTTTTTAATACTCCTTAATAAAATAAACATTGTAATATTGCCAATTAATCAATAATATTAAATAAGGGAGAAGATGAAAATTAAACTTTTTTTTAGGTAAAAGGAAGAATATTCATATAATTTTTGAGATTGAAAGAACATTTCATCACTTCCACACATTTCATTTATTTCCATGGTTTGGTTATTCCATCTTTAGGATAATCTATTTAATTTAAGAATTGAATTCTTTATATAATTCTCCTGAAGATTGCCAAATACCTGGAACAATGAAAATTAATGACTTAAAATGATGAATTTAATTTCTTAATCTCAAGAATTTTGGGCTATTAGGAATATTTAGATTTAATACTTAAAAACATTATTATTTATACACTGTGTAAATATGACATTTCACACTTTAATATTTCTGATAGCACTAATTTTGATGATAACAACAATAACTCCTTTTAGAATGTTGCATCACCTCTTGGTGAATCTCTAATATGCTAAACATTTAATATACTTTTAATTCACACAACCGCATAAAAATAACGTTGATTCGAACTAGAAGAAATTGAAAATGATAAAATACTTAGCAACTGATATGAACACAAAACCATATTACAGACAATGTGATTATAAATAAATTTTAACAGTATTAAAAAAAAAAAAAAATGTGTTTTCCATTTCAGTCTCTGTAATTTCTATGAATTCTGTCATATGAATCACTTGTTTTCATAGAAGCTTCACCATCAAGAAACCTACTATTTCTTTGACTTTTGGGGCAATAATATCCTTTTTCATAAGGTTGCCAATAAGACAACTAATGCAGAGAGTTAAGAGCTAGAAGTCTGAAACCCTCCCTTTTCTCTCCCAGTCTCCATATCTAGTCGGTTCTGGGCCTATTGGCCCACCAATTTCTCCAGTAACAGGATTCACACCACCCTCAAATCCTTTTAAAGGTTCCTTTTCTTGATGAGGATGTTTTCCTTCAAACTCATCCAATTTACCTAGGGAAAAAAATCATTATTCTTCAATAGTTAAAAGAATTAGTCAATATAAATTTAATACAAAAAATGCAATTTGGCTAAACCTAATGGAGTCTTCTGCAAAAGAGACTTTCTTGGACTTTTCTTCTGCTTTGGATCTTTGTCTGTGGCAACCTTACTACAATTTCGAGAGAAAACAATCTCAGTAAAAGAACTATTCTTAAGAAATTGTGATGTACGAATCATTTCAGTGACGAATAAGTTAAAAATTAATAGAAATCAAACCAACATAGGATGACAGCAATTCCCTGACATTCAGGTAACCTCAACTGACGGATGTCAAATATTTACTGAAACAAAATATCGATACAGATTTCAAGGAGATTGGTTGCTAATAGTTAGCTGGAAGAGACCTCCTAGTAAAGAACACTCGCATACTAGTTAACCAGCTGTGAGTTATTTAAATCGGTAGATATTTCTGCCTCTGTTTTATTAATTTATTTTTATGTTTTGTTAATAACCAATATATTAGCGAACAAAAACTTCTCTAGAGGAGAACCTACAATGTTATTTCGAAAGTTAATTAACATCACAATCTAAAGCTGCGCTCAGACATTTCTCAAAGTATGAGGTTAACAAATTTATAAATGATTATTTCATCATCATCATCATCATGCTCGTATTTTTGTTTTTGATATTTTTCATCTGCCGTCTGTATCAAGAGAAATGAAATAAACAGTTTGGACTAGAAATGAAGTCGCTGTTAGTTAAGTTAAATAATTGTTTTTCCAGTAGTTTGTGAAATGTCTAAACGCACTTAAAAGATTGAGTGTGTTTAACATCTCATTTACTACTGCTTCTAATTACATCATATTTCATGGCGGGACAGAAAACTCGAAATCATATTTTAAAGAAATAAAAGTAAAACCTGTTTTAAAATAGTAATGAATGTTTTAGCTGAGCATGAAATAAAAAGAAAAATAAATGTTTTGATGTTGACTAGCAACACACATTCCCATGGCAATATATTAAGTTAGTGTGTATGTGAGGGCAAGTTCCTATACTCAGCACTGAGACCATTGATAGAATTCAGCTCGTTTCTTTATTCATGCATTAAATCACCAATAGCTTTGCGATTCCATCGTTTTTAGTAGTGGAGAGCAGGGATGCCCAAAAGCCAAAAGAAAATTTTATGGCGCAAGCTGCGCCTGATAGATGGAATGGACACAAACAAAATATTAGTCTAGAGAAACCTCCTATTTTAACATTCGCGTTTCTCATAGCTTGTGAAATGCCCAAATTTACCTTAATCGTTACCACTATATTCTATCTAGCGTGAAAATGCTAAGTACAAATTGAGAAACGCTATGAAATATGTTTTAATAGAACAAAGTTGGGATAAATGAAATGTGATCCTCGCTTCTGCTTTAGTCAAGAGTTATAAAAAATAAAAAGTTTTATCTTCCTTACTCTTTCCATTTTTTTTATATTACACTTGTGGTGACCCATTAGGTTATTTTCGTAGTATCACCTAAGAAATGTTACCTAAATGTTATTTCAGTGCATGTGCAAGAACTTTCTTAATCTTATGCAAAATAATGCTTGATTGAATCTTCGACCTCTTTGGTGTCACCATTCTCTGACTTGAAAAAGACTGTAACAGCATCAAAACAATAATGTAGTGTTTTTTAATTTAAAATAATTACGTATTTAATTATTTGAAATGCTTTTGGACCTAATATACGTCACTTAATATGATGTTTACAAAGATCGATAATGATACCTTTAGAAACTTTAGACAACTATATGCTTATTTGTGGTATTTTGGGTGTTGTTTATGTTGCAATAATGCTTGGAATACTGCTCTGCTTTCTTCGGAAGTACCATTGCGAACATTTAAGCAGTTCTACTGGACAACAGATAGAAATGCACCCCGTTTCACAAACTTACCAATATTCTGCTGTCAATCATAGTTCTGATTCAATAACCCATTCCTGTGCTACTAGATCAATTCATAGTTATGGATCAAGGAAAAGTTCAAATATTTACCACAAGCCATCCAATAAGAAAGTCATTTATGTCAGAACAGTGCCAGATTTCAGCCAAATGGAAAGATTAGCGACTCTTTAATAAAACTTATAATTCGAACAGATTCTAGTCATCATTTTGTACCAATATTATATATTGGCAAAGGTATGAAATAATTTCTAATTTGATTTTATGAATTTTCATCTTATATTAATATTTTTCATTGGCAGTGAGGTAAGGTATTGTTAAGGAAATTATCACTGTAACAGTTAAAAAGTATAAAGCTTCTCTAATTGTGTTTTCATTAGAATATATTGATAATGTATATAGGAATAGACATGTTAACAGCACAGTAACCTTGCAAAACTAATTTTAGGAATAATATTATTCTGGGTTTGAAGAGATTAGATAAAATTATTTTATCTCAACATGAATGAGAGATATTTCTTGATATTGTGTCATTCGAAAAGTGCTGTTGTTCGAAAAGTGTTGAATAGTTTGTTCCCAACTATTCAACTAGGATTAAAATAATATTGGTAGAAGTTTGATTGAAACTAAAACAAGTTTTTTATAATCGTTATTACATCCTTTTTTTAAAGAAATATCATGGTTAAATTGTGCTTATGTATGTAGTTAAGTTAATATTTTCTTATTATAAACATTTCTATGAATGTTCTCACAATAACATTTTTATTCCTTTATTAATGTTAATGTTGAAAAGGGATTTAGTTTTTTATAACCTGATAAAGGGCTTGGAAGCCCTCCTGTATATGTAAATCTACAAGCAGCGGTATTATACAAGTATGCCTTAAATTTTTTGGATACTTTTACAGAAAGTTTGCTCAGAAAATACAGAAGTACAATTAAGTATTATAAATTAAAAGAGATACTTGAATCTTATTGCTAAGGATTTTTTGTGATTTTACGCTTTAATGAATTAAAATTGAACGATTGAGTTTCAAAGATTTTTTATATTGCACTTGCTTGTTTACTTTTGTTTCATCTCATAATTTGGCTGAATTACTCTGAACTTGTTAACTATATAGATCATAGGTGAGAAACCGCGGCCTCAAACATTTTTACAGAGTATTTATTAATCTGGTGCTAGAATTAAATTAATTAATTAATTCTTCTAATTAATTAGAAGAATTATTGTGACCTCTATTAGCAATACTTCTTCTAATTAATTAGAAGAATTATTGCGGCCTACATGAGCAATACCTAACCTTACTGCTGCCTCTGATGATAATAAGGTTCCCTACCTATGGTATAGACTATGGTGACTGTAATCTAACCTCTGTCAATGGATTTTATTATTTGCGTTTAAATTGTTAATGTTTTCACTCTTCTTGAACTTTGAATTTCTTCGACTGGTAGGATAGTTTATCATGTTTTGAAAAAATTTCTTTCATAGGTTAATTAAATTTCTTTCTGTTCTTAATTTGGGTAGCCTATATTTCACCATTTCTTATTTTTGACAATTTTCATGTAAAATCAATCCTTTAATTATCCTAATTATATTTGGACTGTTTCATATATATGTGCAGTCATTTTGTAAATTATATCGGAAGATTAATATCAACTGTCTTTCATAATGTCTCACTGGGAAGGAACCTATATATAAGTTAACTATTTCATAATTTACAGTAGATGTGATCTATAGGACATTAATTTGCTAGTAATTCATTATAAAAAAAAAGATTAAGTTGAAAAAAATTATTTTTTATTTTATTTTTTCACCTTTGTGGGTTTTTTTGTTGATCACCTCAATGATTTATTCTGGAACTTTCAGCTGTTTGGACAACACTCAGATCTTCAATTAATAACCTTTTACCACATCCAATATGCCTTTCTAGTTTTGTCACCTTTTATTTGATTGAATCATTTAAATTTTTGTTGCAAATCTTCAAATAACTATATATTTTGTAGGTTAGTCAAAGTGAATGTGCAACATTGTAGCAGAATGAAAATAATCCTGCAGTTAGCTTTTGTGAGCCCTTTTAGCAAAATTTATGGCTGCAGATCATCTTTGTGGTTTACCATAGTATATTCTTACCATAGGAACATTTGAATGTTCATTTGGTTGTTTTCTATTTTTTTTAAACAATTTGATAAGAATTCATCTACTTGACGACATACGCCAGATGCCACTTACAAGGATCCATTGAATAATAGCCCTTAAGAGTAATTCATTGGGTTGCTTTAGGTTATATATGTTCCCTGAAGGAAAGTAAAAGTAGTAAATCATTTGGAAGAATTTATTGCCTTTTAAAGATAATAAATCTTGTTTTAACAAAAAAATGCATTAAACAAGAAAATTTATTATGCTATGCTGTTTAGTGACAAATTGTTGTAAAGAGATTGATATCATTCTGCTTTGTTTTTTTTATTAATTTATGAAGTTAGTTCTTTTGGTCCTCTTAAATTGTTTTTAGTGTTTAAGTTTATGAAGGAAGGAGATGGCCGGGGGTTGCGGTCATAAATAGGCTAAATAGTGGTAAAACTATTTAGCCTATTTATGACCACAACCCCTGACCGTCTGCTTCGTTTAAGTTTATGTTTCTCATATTTTTCTTATATTTTAATATTAATACTTTTTGTTTTTTAGACAGCCTTTAGAAGTAGTTAAGGCCCTAATAAAATGTGTAATTTATAAATTTTATCGAGAACTCTTTTTTTTTTTCTTTACATAAATCTTTTCTAAGCAGCTGTTTATAATTTTCCTGCCTTTTTATTTTTTCAAAAGGACAAATTTGGATGATTTTTTGATCAGAGAATTATATATTGAATAATTTTTCATGTCAAAATCAAAAAAAATCTGAAGATAATTTTTTTTTTTTTCAGATTAAAAATTACTTTATCCTGCACTGTCGTTGCTGCTAACTATATACCTATTTTTTGTTAAATCTAAGTAAAGTATTTTAAGATAAATAATTTACAGGTAATTATTAACTTCAGAAATTGATATGAGTTTACCGGTTATGCTGTTTATG